ATACTGATGTGAAAGATTCCCTCTGCACAGAGGGCTGCAGATTTTTCCCCATTTTGGCAACCGAGCGACCTGCGGCACTAAAACACATCCAAATTCAAAGATGTCAAGCTTTCAGTGGCGTGTGTGCGCGTGTGGTTTTGGCCATTTCTGTGCACCTTACCTTTATCTTGACCTGAAGAAATGCTCTCCTCCTCTTTCGGATTTGCAACCTGTGTTATTATGGACGTGTTGTCCATGGAAACAGGATGGTGCGCACCCCTCGGTTACACGGCTTTATTCCTTGGCGAACATTACCGTGCGCGCTCCGGTCCCCCTGGCCGTGCACAGCCTGCTACAGCCTGCGCCCGCTGCGTGCACCATTAAAATCCCATTTCACCCGAAGCAGACAGTCCCGTACAGCGGAGCTGGGAACGAAAAAAGATTTTTTTTAAACGAAAAGGGGGAGAAAAAAAAAAGAGGAAAACGTCAGCGGGGTGGGGGGGGGGAGAAGAAAGTGGTCGCAGTTGGAAACTGAAGTGACTGGCGACGTGCGGGAGGCAAACAAAGCGTCGGTCCTGCGCTGAAGCGGCGTGTGTGCGTGCGTGTGTGTGTGTGTGTGTGTGCGTGCGTGCGTGCGTGTGTGTGTGTGTGTGGGTCCGCTGCTGCAGGCAGCACAGCCCCCGCCTTCTGCTGCCGCCCGCCGCCACCGTGCGCTCCGCTCCGCTCCGGTCCGCGCACCACAGGATCTGCTGCGTGCGCGCTTCAGTTACGGCGCTCGCCCCCGAGATGGCGACCGTCCTCCCGCCGCGGGCAGGCAGGCAGGAGGGCGCACCACCACCGCCACGACGCGCCCCTCGGCGTCCCCGTTCTCCCCTCCACAGTCCGGGCTGGAAAAAAAAAACACCTCCCCGTCCGCCCACCGCTCCGTCCGGCTCCCTGCTCCTAACGCGATATGAACGCAGCATTCAGGGGGGCCGTGAATGTTTAGGAACGTCTCTGTAGGGTGTTGTGTTTTTCTGAATATTTCAATTCTATAATAATGGTTTCAGTATGCTCATTTGATCAATGATTATTCTGCCCTAGCTTTGCTTTTGTTTTTTTAAAGAAAGATTACTTAAACCTTCTTTGGCACTGCCAGGAATTTCATTCTTTTGGAAATACCAAAGCTTGTTATTGCAATCCCTTTTAATCCCCCATTTACGTGTTTATGTAACAAGAGAAAGCAAATCCCATGTTTTCTGAAGGAAGACTGAAAGCATTATGATGACAGTCCTGCTAAATTAAATCCAAATCTGTGCAGAGCCTCTAAAGAACTTTACTAATTGTCAAGAATCTCTGATTCTTATCCGAGCGTCATTAGCTGGACAACCTCAGTCACAATCCAGCAACAGATGGCATGGCCCCCACAAGCGGGAGGTCTAAGAATCATCAAGTGGAACCCACAGACAGAGAAGGGGCTTAAATCTCCTCTTTTCTTTAAATTCCCAATCTGTCTCTGTGTGGAAGACTGTAGGGATCAGAGCTGGTGGGGTCAGGACACGGGTAACGCTCAGGTGAGAGTCCAAGGAAGAAAGCCGTCTCTCTGCATGTTGTTTCTTTACACAGAACGGAACTATACAGACTGATTAGAAAGGAATGATTCAACGTTACATCTAAATGAAAACAGAACAGCGGCAACACCATCCATGTTTAAACATTGACACTGTATAGATTTTTGAATAGTGTGCACTCAGTTGGAATGTTGTGGTGGGCAGGTGGATGTTTTCGCCTGTGCTTCGACGTTTCTTTTTATAAAACTCTGTTTGGGATCTGTGGTGTTTTCCCTTTCTTTTTATTTCAGAGTTCCAATTGCTCCGTTGGTTGGGGCCTCTTTGTTGTATTTTTAGTTCACAATGTGCCAAATATTTTCAGTGGGTGACAGGTCTGAACTTCACACCGGCCCGTTTAGCACAAAGACTCTTTTACTCGGGAGCCACAATGTGGTTTGGCCTTATCTTGCTGGCATAAACAAAGTCTTCCATCAAAAAGATGTTATTTTGGTCACAATTCTGTCTATATGAAGGGATCCCTGACGGCATGCTGGTGCACAGCTATCAGAAATGTTTGCTTTTGAGGAAGGCAGTCGTTGACCAACCATTTTCTCTGGTTCAATGTTTTGGACATCCTTTGGGAAATAATATTCTCGAGGACAGTTGTCTGTCAGATCATTTTCATTGATCATTTGACCTGAACTTGTATTTGTCTAGGCGACGAGGTGGCTTCAAACATCATGGTTTTCAAGGTTCTGAACCTGCAAAGAACCACTTATTTAGTTGCTTTTATTTAAATACACCTTTAAAAAACTCAATAATTGCATTATATAACAATTTTGTAACATTTTTTAGGAACAGGGTCGTGGGATTGGTCAGTGTTTTCCCTCTTCAATGTATTTCTTAGATTACGTGGCCTGTATTCTGGAGCTGAGGCTCACCTGTGAGCCTGAGACTGTATACCACCCATGCACTGCCAAACAAACATGATTCGTGCCGCTTCAGCCCCAGCGGACCGTGGAGTAACAACAGGGCAGATAAAGTGGTTTTCTGGTCCACTGCCAGCGGTGACGCATTCAAGCGTCCATCCCTCCTCACATCAGCTGTTCTCTAATGGAGTTTCGGCCCACGCAGTTGTAAGGGACCCCACCTGAGCGCCAGGCATCTGATGGCGTACCAACAGGAGGAAATCAGCAGTAAGAGCAGGCTGTCATCTGCTGATGCCAGTCATAATTAGTATGTGATCCTCGCTGTGGGTCAGCGCCTCTCTCCTTTTGCCTACATTACAGCCTGTGTTTAACGGACGCCGCACAGCAGCTTTCACGGAGACTCTGCACGGTCACAGTTTCCTCTCAGCACCTGACCGTCTGGGTCAGGTTACTGCTTTTATCAGGACTGAGCGGCCATTTGAAATCTGATGAGAAAGAGCCCGCCAGGGACCGTGTGTCCCATTCAAACACGACACTGAAAGAAAGCAAAAGTGAAACAAAATAGTAAATGCCAAATCTGACAGAAACTAAGACTGAATTCCAAATGATGAGTGACAGCCATGGTGCAGTTTAGCAATTAGATCTTTATTTATAATCAGTTTGGTGGTTTTAACAGAACTGAATCTGTTGAATTGAGAAAGTCCCAAACATGTGTCAGATTACATCACACCAAAGTTTTAGTTTTAGAATGACATCTGGAACATCACGCCTCAGCTTTTGTTGTTATTGCTCATTTACTGGAAATGCTTTATAAAGTCACTTATCTGATAAGCATACGATATCAGCCAACATGGAGCAGTTAGGAGGGAGTGGGGTAATGGTTTCTGCTGGGGGAGGGCAGGGCAGCACCTGAGTCAGAGGCGCTTTTGCACATTATTGACCGACACTGCCTTACCACACCTTTTGTTCATGGACACGAAACTCTGTTTCTCGTGGCTGCAGTGGCCCAAACTGCCCTCCAGATGTACACCCATGTTGATGTATAATTGAAATGGATTTGCCCTCGACATTGAACTGTGGTGGGACGCTGAGGATCTTTCTAGCTATTGTTCAATACATCTGTTGCTTTGCTCTCGGAGCGTGGGGTCCATGAATGTTTCATGAATATGGGTGTACGTCAGAACTGGAATCACATTGTAATCTCTTCCCGGAGAGGCTTGTATGTCTCTGCAGGCTGCCAGGCCTTTGGAGTGGACTGAGCTGAATCCATTACACAATAAGGCCCATTTGAAGACACATTTCAGTTCACAGCAATATAAAGTGTCAGGCTTACTGTTGTTAAACCGTGTCAAATGTATCTTTTGTGAGAAAAAAAAGCTATTTTCACAGTTTCATTTGCTCAACTGTTTTATGCTCGATATTAAAAGAAAAGGACCTGCTTTTTGTATGAATGTCGATCTGTTCACTGCAGGGCTTTCAGTAGCAGTTGGTGCCACCTTGTGGATTTCCACTCAACTACTGAGCTATGATGTTGATTTAAATCCATTTGGATAGATTATGTAACATAATATGTTACGTGATATTTTATTCAGTTATACTTACTGTAGGAAGTTCATAAAAATTGCTCTTGAATATACACATGGTATCACGTTTAAAATTTTCAAGTAAAACGGGGTAAAAAAGAGGTTTCGCTGTTTCTTTTAAACAGTTTTTTATTCTTATTTCCCTCCTTTTCAGTTGTTCTCGGCTCACTGTCTCATAGTTATGGTTCAATGTGAAACTGGCAGCGTGGCTACTTTATGGATATGTCAGGAAAGTTGAAAAAATTTAATAAAGAACATTTATAGCAGGACCCGAACTGCAAAGAAAAAAGTTAGCTATTTTCAATCAAATATCTAGAACTTGTGAAAGTTATTAAAATGACTGCAACCATAAAATTCATACTTAGTCATTTATATGATAAATGACTCAATAATTTGAGTTCCGAGGATACAAGAAGGGCCTGGGATTTATCCTGAAGGACAAACGATTAAACATTTCTCTTTACAAAAACAAAAAAAGCCATTCAGATAAAGAAGATGCGAAAGGACATTCGATTGATTATGTGATGCGAGGGTTGTGAGAGTATGTTTGTTTATCTAATATTATGAATTTTACTTGCAATAAAACCGCAATAAAACCAAAAATACAGTCTTTTACTTTTCATCTGCTTCAGATGGAGTTTTCAACAAACTCTTGATGATTTTTGTAGGATATTATCTAAAAGAAAAAGTGCTAAGAAATACAAACAGATTTTTTAAAATCAAAACTGAGGCACAAGAGCAGAAGAATCTTGACGGTTTCTCTATTTAAGGTGCATAGAGTAAAGGGGTCACAGTCATCACTATCTATCCTACACACGCCTGTGAACGTTTTATCTGAATAATGCGTTTATTTTACAGCTTGGAAAGAAGTTACATTTATATTGTATTCATTTTTTTCTCGGTGACGAATGTGCTGGTACATCTCGAAGAGCCTGTGGCTGCTGACGAAAGTGCCGGCCCGGGGCGGAGGCGGTACTTACTCATTTCCAGAGATTTCATCATCCTCCTGAGCTCGCGTTTCGGCGGTCCATGCTTCTCCGCAGCGCAACGGCAGCCTTCCTGCTGAGGACCAGCGCCGAGATCTCCTCCTTCTGCCCGGTCTTCGCGGTCCGCTTTTCCCGGCAGTCGCCTCGCTATCCGCCCAGAAAGAGGCCGTTTTCGACGTCGGTCTGCTTGTGTAAGAAGAAGAAGACGAGCCTGTGGCTGCAGCTGGCGGAAGGACAAACCATGGATGGAAACATTGAGGAGATTCTCGCCCCTTTGAGGCTAGCCGTCAAAGAACAGGTTGCAGTGTCTTCTTGCTGTTTGTTCGCTTGGGTAAACTCGGGGGGTAAAATGAGTGCTTGGGTACTGAAAGAGTGCCCCATAGAGCACCATGCAGCCGGGCTGACCGGCTAACCGGCCGGCTGCTCGCCACCTGTCAGCGGCACAGAGCAGCCCTTTATGCTAGCTCACTGCTAGCTCACTGCTAGCTGACGGTCATGTCTGCGCCCACTGCCACGTTTCAGAGAGCTGCTCCTGCTGTTGCAGACGTGTGTGTGAGAGAGCAGGGTGGGGTTTAGATAGGAAGTAGAAACAACCCGAAAAACAAAACACCACTTTCACTTTGTGGACATGGTCAGGAACTGGCCGGCCCGTGCTTGTAGTTGGAATAGCGGTTTACTATGCGGAAGTCTCATTCCAGCTCTCTGGTTTAGGGGGACCTGGTGCGCCAGATGAAACAAGAAGGAGCCCCAGATGTGGATGTTGCTAAAGCTGTGGCTGAACTGAAAGCCAGGAAGAGAGCGCTGGAGAATAAGGCAAGTGTTTTTTGTTTTTTACAGTACAGCTCTTGTCATAAAGAGCAAAGTGAGGAGTGTGCAATGCAATTCATTTTCTTAATATTTGTGTTTATTTTGTTGAGTTTAAGGAGCCTTAGAAAAATGTTAATAGACCAAAAACCGAGTTGAGTCTCGCAGACTTAATAGAGAATGTAAAAAATTGCAGGAACTGGCATTGCAGCCCAAAGATGATATTGTGGACAGGACCAAGATGGAAGACACCCTCAAGAGGCGATTCTTCTACGATCAGGCTTTTGCCATATACGGAGGTAACACCCACATGGATGATGACATTTTGATTTCAGTTGGTGCTTCAAGCAGCGCTCAGTGCCGGCTTAAAGCATTCTGTTACCGTGCAGTGACTCTCCTCAGGTGTGAGTGGCCTGTATGACTTTGGCCCTGTCGGCTGTGCCCTGAAGAACAACATCCTGCAAGCCTGGAGGCAGCACTTCATCCAGGAGGAGCAGATCCTGGAGATCGACTGCACCATGCTGACGCCTGAACCCGTCCTCAAGTAGGACCTTTATCTGTCGCATTGCTTTCGATCAGTTTCAGGGGTATACAAGACGTTGTGATTAGCATGTTATGATTGGGGGTGCCTTGTGGTTCCTGGAGTCGGCTCCAAAGTGCTGAACTGCAGGTTTTTATAAACAGGCACATAGTAATGTCTGCGATTTTATGCATGGAGGCTGCCACTATTGCAGCGCTCCATAGCCCGGTTGCAGGGACACTTGCCAGCGAGTATAACCTCAACATGAGCAGTTTTATTCCTCCCTAATATAATTTTTTTCCTTTTTCTTATTTGATTTGTTGCATTGTGCACTCCTCCAGGACTTCAGGACATGTGGAAAAATTTGCAGACTACATGGTGAAAGATGTCAAGAACGGTGAATGCTTCAGGGCTGACCACCTCCTAAAAGGTATGAATTTCCCCTCTGGCACATTAAGGTGTTGCCGCCCCAAGTGTCAGTCATCCAGAAAACTCTTTATAGACTTCTTTCATTAATCAGTATTTAAATGGACTGAACAGGGAGGGACACATTCCAGAGTTGTGCTTTAGGAGGCCGCTGGCAGGCTTGATCGTGTGTGAGCATCCCTTTTTCTGCCACAGAGCAGGTAGAACCAGTGCCCAACAGTCTTAAAACCACACAAAAGCAAAGGACAGCAAGGGAAGAACTCCAGCAGAATGCGTTAATGTGGAGATATTATTCCAGTTTTTTTTGTTTTTTTTACAGTATACAATGTTTGATGTCAAAGGGATTTCACACAACTTTTAAGATGTCATGAATAATGTTTGTGTGGTCATTTTGCTGTCTTCATATCATAGTTAGAATGATTTACACTACTCACAATAAGATAGGGATATTGAGAGAGACTCAGTTGATTTCATTGGACAGACTCAGACTCTTGCTTTGGAATAGAATGACGTTTTTCATTTAGGAGTTCTTCCAGGATTGTCTTTGTGATTTTATGGCTTTATCTGGCAGCTCATCTCCAGAAGCTGATGTCTGATAAGAAGTGCACGGCAGAGAAAAAGGCTGAGATGGACAATGTCGTCACCCAGGTCAGTGTGATGACCTTTTCAAAGATTTAAGGGGAAAAGCAGAAGGGTGCTGTAAACATGACAATTTCTGTTAGCTGGATATTGACAGAAGGGTTTTTATACTTTTGGTTTGGGATTCAATATTAGGTTGTTTCTTACAAGGCGTATCATTACTGTAATCAGACTTTTGAAACATTTTTTTATTCCGTTTCAGTTGGACAACTACACCCAACAGGAGCTGACCGACCTCTTTGTGAAATATAACGTGAAGTCGCCCACCACAGGAAATGACCTCACAGCTCCCATCTCCTTCAACCTGATGTTTCAGACATCCATTGGACCAGGGGGCAACATGCCAGGGTACAGCCAAAAGCTCACTTTTAGGGGGAGCGGTTCTTTTTAGTTTTTCCATCATGGTTGGTTTATGAACACATTTTTCATTTTTTACATTTTTTTATGTGAACTTGCAGCTATCTGAGGCCTGAAACCGCTCAGGGAATCTTCCTCAACTTCAAGCGTCTTCTGGAGTTCAACCAGGGAAAGCTACCGTTTGCTGCTGCTCAGATAGGAAACTCTTTCAGGAACGAAATCTCTCCCCGCTCTGGACTCATCCGTGTCAGGTGTGCTAACTCGTGGCTCTGCCGTCTTATCCCTGAACCCAGAGCATTCTGGGAAACGACCCCCGAGTGACCCCCTCCCTTCTCTTTGCAGGGAGTTCACCATGGCTGAGATTGAGCACTTTGTGGACCCAAATGAGAAGGTCCACCCTAAATTCTCCAACGTAGCTGATTTGGACATTATATTGTACTCTTCCAAAGCTCAGACCAGCGGTCAGTCGGCACATACCATGAGACTGGGGGACGCGGTGGAGCAGGTAACATCCTAATTAGGGGGGTTGAAAAAGAGCTCGTTCTTGGTGTGAACTGAGAGTTGCATTTTGAACAGTTTCTCCTGTCTCACCCAGGGAATGATCAATAACTCCGTCCTAGGGTATTTCATTGGGAGGATCTACCTCTACCTTACTAAAGTCGGCGTGGCCAAAGACAAGCTTCGCTTCCGGCAGCACATGGACAACGAGATGGCTCACTATGCCTGTGACTGCTGGGACGCCGAGGCCAAAACGTCCTACGTAGGTGCCCTCCCCGCGTCGCCCGGCTCGTCTGGGTTTCTTCATCCCGTCGCTCAAAGAAACGTTTGTGTCTTGCAGGGCTGGATCGAGATTGTGGGGTGTGCCGACCGATCCTGCTACGATTTGAAATGTCACGCGCGGGCCACGAAGGTCCCTCTGGTCGCCGAGAAGCCCCTTAAGGAGCCCATATCCTTACAATGCAGCCGCGTCCTCACAGAGAAATGTCTCAACCCACTGCCATGTTCCGTCCCCCTCCATTCTCCCTAACTCCTCCTCCACAAAACCGTAAACGTCGTCCAGTTCGAGGCCAACAAGGGCGCTATTGGGAAGGCCTACAAGAAGGATGCGAAGATAGCCATGGAGTATCTGTCTGTGTGTGACGAGTGTTTCATCACAGAGCAGGAGCAGCTGCTGGGGGAGAGCGGGTGAGTCGCACCGGCCAGCGGGGGCTGGGAACGCTCACCTCCTTTTTTTAATCCTCCTCTCACTATCAACAGAGAGTTCACCATTGAAACAGAGGGCAAGACATTCAAACTCACTAAAGACATGGTCAGCGTGAAGAGGTTCCAGAAGACTCTGCACGGTGAGACTTGTCCCCGCGGGGGAAGACGTATTCTGGAGCGACCACGTGTAACTTCCTCTTTGTCTTTGCTGTCCCCAGTGGAGGAGGTTGTTCCCAGCGTAATCGAGCCCTCTTTTGGCATCGGTAGGATCATGTACACCATCTTTGAGCACACATTCCAGGTCAGAGAAGGTGACGAGCAAAGAACGGTGAGTTTTTGGGTGTAGTGCCGATGGGTAGCCGGCCTGCTGACTGGAATACTTCCCACCTGTTCATCTCTGTTGACGTTTCTTGCTGGCCGCTTAATTGTCTTTGTTTGTTTTGTCATCACAGTTCTTCAGCTTCCCTGCCCCCGTAGCTCCATACAAGTGTTCCGTCCTACCTCTGAGCCAAAATCAAGAATTCGTGCCCTTTGTGAAGGAATTGTGTAAGTTTGTGCACACGTGCTGAATTTGTCTTGGAGAGTGGGCACGCTGGAGTACGGCTACTTATTGTCCCTCTTTCTCTTTTTAGCTGAGGCAATGACCAAAAACGGTGTCTCTCACAAGGTGGACGACTCGTCTGGATCCATCGGGAGACGCTACGCCAGGACCGATGAGATCGGCGTGGCGTTCGGCATCACCATTGATTTCGACACGGTTAACAAGACTCCTCACACTGCCACTCTCAGGGACCGGGACTCCATGAGACAAATCAGAGCTGAGGTACGGCCGCAGCTCTGGTCACCAACACCTTTGTGTGTCACTTGAAGTTAATCCTGCTTTTAAACCTCCACTTTTTCTTTGTTTTTTTTCCTTTCTGCTCCCTCCACAGGTCAGCGAGCTGCCTGTGATTGTTCGCGATCTGGCCAACGGTGCGTTGACCTGGGCTGAAGTGGAGACCAAGTACCCCATTTTTGAAGGGCAGGAGACCAGCAAGAAGGACAATGCCGAAGAGTAGATTTCACTCTGCCTGCAAATTGCTCCATTAAAAAAAGAAAACGACAAACCAACAAAAAATAAATCCAGGAACTGGATGCAAACACGCCACCAGGAGGAGTGGTGCCGCTGTGTTGTGATGAGCCGGAGCGGCGCTCTGAGCACTGCAGTCACTAAAATGTCATGTATTTATCGTATCTCAGAGGTGTGGAGGAGCTGGCACAGGACTTCTTAATGAGCAGCATTGCATTTCATGGCTGGCTGTCGATGTTATAAAAGGGAGAACATGTAATCAGGTTTGTTAATGGAAAGGGGCTTCCCCCTCCTGCAGTTTTCAGGTTAAAATCATTAAGATTTCAATCAAATCAGACAACACATCCAGGACACGCAAAGATAGCTTTTCATTGGGTTTTTTTCTTCTTCATTTTGATAAGCTTCAGACTAAAGAATAGCCTCCACTAAACAGGGAAATCCACACAAGAGTATCACATTACCAACAGATGTCTCTGTTGAACAACCTGCTGCTCAAATAAAGAAAAAATTGAATATCACAGAAATGTTTGGCAAGAGGTGGTATTTAAACATTCTGTTCCAACACAAAGGAGAGTAAAATATGAAGCTCAATTTATTAAAACGTGCAGCTTAATACCGACATCATGTTCAGGCAATATCCAAGTGACCACTTACAGCTGTTTGTGACGGGTAGTCAGTTACAACCACTAGATGACGCCACTTGACTCACCATTTTACACCAGTCTGCAATTGGTGGAAAGAGTTACTTCAGCTTTAAGCATTATTTTCAGAAATATAAATGTGAATTACGCACTTACGCTTTTTTTCTTATTTACTTGCACGAGTTAGTTGTGGTTTGAGTGTCCCGGATGCTGCAACAAACTAGATTCAGACTATAAATCTCTAAATCTGAGGTAATCTTGAAGTAAATGTCCACATAAAAAGGATGTAAGTGAACTAAAAGTGTGTGAATGGAAAAAATACCAGTGACTTGAAGTTTCCCAGCATCAGATTCCATCTAAGCCAAGTGTACTTTTTTTTTTTGTAAAATGAAATTGAAAGTCACAGATCAGTGTTGTTGAGGCTCGGGTGTCTCAAGTCATGACACTGACATGACTCCATTAGACTGGGCAGAGCAGCTCCAGTGATGTTAATGCAGATTAATTGGCCACATTATTAGTCACAAGTAATAATTCAAATTAAATAACCCATCAGTCATCACTCGAGAGAACTTTAAATCATCTGAGTTGATGGAGTAAGGTAATGACTGCCCTGATATGGAAATGCACATTTTTAGTCATATTTCCCGTCAACCACAGCAGGACGCATCGGGACTCAACTATGACCCATTGAAGACCATTTTATGGCTCCTGCACTCAGAGAACCTATTGCAGCGTATTGCTAGTTATAGATGCTGCTACTCATCCTGTCAATGTTGTTATTAACAAGAGGTAATTACTTAATGATTGGATTGTAAAATATAACTGATTTACTTTTCCACTTGGCATTTCTATTGAACATGTTCACGGGTCTGCCTCAAAGGCATCTGCTGTGGGGTGACCCTAAAAGAGATCCAGTCTGGACTGTAGCAGTGGAAATGTCAAGCCTTTTCTCTTCTTATTTTTAGAGGTGTATTTTCAGGTCAAAACTATTGTTAGTTTTTCCTTTCTGTTTTGAGATCTGGCTATCAGCAGTTTACCTTGAGAAGAAGTAGTGAACAAGCCTCCCATATGGGGAGCAAAGGATTCACAGGACGATAATGAATGAAACACATGCACATCAGATCAATAATTTACAAGAGAATGTCAAATAACTGCACAAATGAGTTTCATTTACAGTATACTGCTGGAAAAATCATTTTCTCAAGATATTTTCTTCAGATCTATTGTGAGATGTAAACTATATGTCCAGCAATTGTATGAACACTTGTTTTATTTATGCAGAGGTGATCACATCACGACTTGTTAGTGTTTCTCTACATGTCATACGGTTTGTAGAATTTGAGAAACAAACATGTTTGGCCTAATTTCAATATAGCAAAAGGCTTAGACCTTCCCCAACCAGATCTGGCAACTAGGAATTTTGAAGATAGCATCATGATAAAAAGGAATGATAGATATCTAATTCTATTTCTCTCTTTATTATTGTCAATTTTTAATAGAGCACAGATATAAGCACCAAATATCCCTTTGGGGATGAATAAAGTTATCTATCTATAAGGTCAGATTTGGTATTACATGACTCTATGCAATACTGCTTCTATTAAATGAGAATTTCATATTCTATAAATATATGCATATTTGCATTAATCCATTACACAGATGTACAGCTACTGTAGGCTGGTTTGGGTACAGCAGGTTAACCCCTTTGATGCATCACGCTGCCAAGAAGTTCCCTTATGAGACGAGAGGTATCGGATATTGTCCGGCTGAAAGTCTATTCTACTGTCTTAGCAGCCCCTCTGTTCCGCCCCTTCTGTGTCAGTGGTCAAAGTATAAATACATCATGCCACCTTTAACCAGTGGCAGCTCCCTCTCAGGGAGTCAGAGGGACCTGTGGCCCGCACGGCGCTCTGTGGAGGCACAACACACGTGCAGTTTACGTTTTTTTTTCCATAATTATTTTCTTATGTGACGTTGCAATCTGTGTTTTCCCCTTTTTTTTCGAACAAATTCAAAGGTTGTGTTGAAGCACCTCTTCGGGCTCGCAACTGCAGTGTTCAAGGTCAGTATCACAACAGGTGCTGAGGACAGACTGGAGTGCATGACCGTGTGGCATTTCAACAGCAGCCATCTCACCCGGAGACAGCCAGGAAAAAACAGCGAGAACTTTTATGTGGCCATTGTTTTGAAAAGTATGGAAAGGGGGACATGGCTCATCAAAGCTCAGTGTGACAATGCAGCTCCCTTTTGCTGTGTGTGCTGTGCTTACAGGCAGCCAAGGTACATACATTCACAGGAGAGGGGTTGTTTGGTTAAAAATAGCCAGCAGCTGTACGGTGGTGGCATTTCTTCCCTTTCTTTTTTGTAATCTGTCCTCATCTGTTCCCCTTTGATAAAACTAACTTTCTAAACCAATGTGAGCTCCTGAGTTGTTTGGACTCCAAGAAGGCCAGTACATATCGGATGTGTGTGAGCAGAATATTCTCATTTAAAAGAAAATGTGTCAACTGGCCCTTGTTTTTGGCATAGTACAATGACAAATCTGTGAAAGTGTACCACAATTAACTTAACAATCAGCAGTAATTATCTGCAATTAGGAAGTTTTTCATTAAAGTACAAATTTGATTAAAATGTCCAAATGTTCCAACAAAATATGTAAATTTCTCACCTTCTGAGTAAAGTTGCAAAGTAAGAAGTAAAATCAACTACTTACCACTGCTACAACAATAATGAGGTCATTTAATAGTTCCAGGTGGTCCAAGCAGCTCAATCACTTCAGTGATCACAGGTGCAAGTGATGTTAAAGAGGAGATATTGGTTCCCTCCTTGTCGCCATTAATTTATTTTACTGCAAGATTCTTTAAAAGAGTAAATTAATACTCAAGTTAACATAAGAAAATACACACAGCATTTATGTTATCTCATGTTTCCTTTAGCATTCTTCTCACAAAAACACTTTGTGTTAACTGGTGAAAAATGTCTGCAGCCAAACAACGTCTCGTTCTTTGTTCTAAAACAAGGAACCTGTCAGGCATTGTGTTGACAAGGCTCATAGACATGACTTTTAAAGAGTTTCAGGGACTAAAAATAAGAAGAGTTCACATGTTTAAAGAGCTCCTGAAATTTGAAGAGGAGGATAGCCATAATATGCTTTGGGTAAATTAAATTTTAAAGCTGAAATTGCATCAGCATTACATCTTTCTTCTCTTTGTAAATTAATGAAGAGGAAAGGGAACATGAACCTTCCTTTAACTGCCAAATCAGTTTCTGGTCTCATGATTTAGAATCTGCAGAGTGTCTCCAAAACACTGGTGAATTCTGGAGTGCTGTATTTATATCATCACAGGAAGCAAATGTTCTCTTTCTGTCCTCCTTGAATTATGTGCCACTGCATGTTCATACACGGCAGTGGTCTGAATTAAGAATGACTGGCTAGTTCAGAGTGGTTCAGAGTTCTATTTTTGTAACATCATAGTAATGGAAGAGATGTCTCTCATTGTTGTAGTTTTATTTTTAAGCTTCCAGCTGCTGGCTCCAGACTGTACATTGGTAGAGAGCCATGATGTGTACGACCCCACTCCTTTTCCAGAGGGACAGAATATAAACCTCAGAATAAAATGGATAATAAGATTAAGGGGGGTTGGGGGGGGCATCATGTTTCATGATCGTTGGCCAGTTAGAAAAACCTCTTAGTGTCATCTTGTACTTTTTCTGAGGTAAAACCTGCTACAGATGTAGACTCAGCCGCTGTGATTATGGTGTGTGTTCAGCAGCCTCCAGAGTTCTGCCGTCTGCATCACCATGGGGATCAAAGCCGCTCTTCCTAAGTATGAGATCTACTTCTACAACACCGTGTTGTGTCTGGCAATGTTCTGGGCAGCTAGCTGGATCTTTGAAGTGTCCAGTTGTAAGTACCAGGAGCACAGCACACACACGCACACACACATATATATTTGTGTGCAGAGGAAAGATTGATAGGACAACATACCTTTGAAACTCTCTCCCATAGTTTACACAGTTGTAGATATACATCACTTGTTTTAAAACCTAGTAATGCAAGGATTTTGAAGACCATTCTAATCAGAGGTAGTGTGTTTATCATCAGACCTGCTATTTGGAGAACCAAAACAATATGTCGTTATGTCATCTCGCTATATTAAAGTCAGCTGAGGGAAGATTAGCCAGAAAATCAATGAAAATACATCCTTTTCCAAACCTGACCACTTTCTAGCAGGTAACTGCAAAAAGTATGCTGTGTATGCTTCAGCTTTCATTCAACAGGTCATACATTGCAAACCAAAAAATTACACTGTTCAACATCCAACAGATTCTTGCGTGCTGTTTTCTCTGGTTTTTCATGTTGTTCTTTAGCGTTACCTGCACTAGTTCTTTTTACCCCCACTGAGCTCATGGTGAAATATTAGTCGAGTATTGAATATCCACAAATACGGAATATAATCTGCTGATGTGAGAAACCTGTTATCAGTTTAAATGAAACATGCCACCCATGTCTATGTTTGCTCTATTCTGTAGCTGTAATGACCCCTGAAAACATACATGGGGTAAAGAAAAGGAAAAAAAAGCTCATATTTAGTTTGAATTGTTGTTGAATTGTTTCCATGAGTTTCAGATTTGCAACATGAATATTCTGATAAACTTTTATGGAGAGCAGTGAGGTTTTTCTCTTCTGAATAGAAAGTAGAGCATCTTTAAAAAATTTAGTTCAGCCCTTATGAGGAAGATTTGCTTTTGGCCCATACAATTTAATTCTTGTACCTTCTGTACAGCAGTCCCATCCACAGAGACTGCACTATGTGCAGCAGCGTGTCGGTGTGAGGGTGAAGAGCTGGAGCTATGCAGACCCCGCCGAGGAGATCGGGTGTCAGTATTAATACCACAGAACAGAAGAGGAAAATAGGCCCTGTGTTTTGCCCTGCATTTGTTCCACAGTAACATTTCAGGACAAGAGATAAACAGCCTTTTTCTGTGCTTTTGTGTTATCCATCCATCCGTTTTCTGAACCTCTTATTCCCAAATGGGGTTACGGATGGGACTGGATTCTATCCCTGTATTCAATGGGTGAAAGGCAGGGTACACCAGGGACAGTCCGCCAGTCCATTGCAGGGCCACACCAAGACAAACATGCAGGTTTTTGGACGGAATTGAACCCAGAACCCTCTTGCAGTGAAGCGATGGTGCTAACCACCACACCACCATGCTGCGCCTATAGTGTTGTTTGCTTTTAAAAACGATGGGTGCAAATAATATATTAATTGACTGTCCCATTTTCAGCCAATGCGAACAGAAGGACCTTCAAAGCCAGCGTGAAGCTGGGATACTTTGGGAGGAAGATGGTGAGTGAACGTAAACCGCTCCTAAGGAACTTCATGAGTGCAAACTTTTGTTCTAATTTTTGTTGTCTTCCTCGCTGGACACAGGACACAGCCGATTTTGAGTGGATGATGTGGTTTTCCACCTTCGGAGCGCACATCCTGTTTGCTCTTTCCGGCCATGTGTTGTTTGGCAAGATCTGCACCATGCTGGCTCAACAGGTGCTCCCACGAACTGATTCTTTTCATTACGCTGCTGTATGAGATGTAAAAGGCTTTATCCAATACCTGCTGTAATAGCTGATGACTATTAGAGCAGGAAGTAATCTGGTTACACACTATTTGTGAATTTCTCTTTATGGTTAGTTACTTAGTTAAAGATTATCTATGCAGAAAATCATCTCCTCAGCATTTTACTGTGGATTTTGAATGATAATTACACAGCAAAAATAAAGAGACAAACTTCTTTTCAATGTGAAGCTTGAAAAATAGACTCACTGTGTTATTTACTTGTGTCCCACAGTACAGGTCCTTGGTGTATATGGGTTATGGTCTGCTGGCTGTGTGGACCAGCATGGGATGGACCTATGTCACCCTCATCCTGTCCCACTGTATCCTGCTCTACAGTATCTCCTTAGTGAAAATTCGCTGGCTCTGCTTTGTTACGGGTCTTTGTACCCTCGCCACTTTCAAGTGTGAACCCTTCGTGTCTTGGCAGGTGAGGAGCTCAGAGTCCCTCAGATTGACTTGAGGACATTGTTGTTCTTCTGCATGTTTCATTGTTTCTTGTCCACATAGGCAGGTTTCGTGGAGGGGGACTTTGAGCTGCGCCATGTTCTCTTCTATGGAGGTTGTGGGTTCACCATCATGCGCTGCATGAGCTTTGCTCTGGAAAACTGTGAAAGGAAGGAGGGGAACTACAACATCCTCGAGCTGCTCAAGTACAACTTCTACCTCCCTTTCTTCTATTTCGGGCCTGTCATGACCTTTGATAAATTCTATGTCCAAGTAAGTTTTCTTAGTTTGTTATGATAAATCCCAGTTAGCTTTCATAACATGACACTCAATCACTCCTGGCCTTATCTGATTAAACTAAAGCAAAGTTACCTCGCTAAAATTATTCAGGAAAAGGCTGGAAAGGTCCTGTTCTTTTCCCATCATAAAGAAAGTTAGCTTGCCATATAAATGTTAGATGTATCTTAAAGAATTCCCTCAGACTGTAAAAGTGTAAGGGAGATCTTGGTCATTTGCGTTTGATGGTCTTGGTTGGTCGTGACAGATGTTTGCTGCCCTCTGCAGGTCAACAAGTCTGACTTGTCCAGGAAAGAACAGGAAATGTGGAACATCAATCTGCAGGGTCTGGTCCACTTTGGAGTCATCATCCTAGTTGACGTCCTCTTCCACTTCATGTATATCCTTACCATCCCCACTGACATGAAACTTCTGAAGCATCTCTCTGACTGGGCTCTGGGTTTGTGCCTCGTTTCCACAAAATTCCTGTTTTTACCCATTTGATGGTGTCATGCATGAGATAAGAGATCATTTTAACTGTGTTCTTTCCAGTGGGACTTGCGTACTTTAACCTAATGTATGACTGGGTTAAGGCTGCCGTAATGTTCGGGGTCATCAACACTGTGTCCAGGTTGGATCACCTGGACCCCCCCAAACCCCCGAAGTGCATCACGATGCTCTATGTGTTTGCTGAGACGTGAGTTAAGATAGACGGCTCAACCACTTCAACCTCTAATAGATATACACTAAATTACATCGCCAACTGTTTTTCTTTAGGCATTTTGACAGAGGGATCAACGACTGGCTGTGCAAGTGAGTCACACAGGAAGATGAATACAAAAACATCCTGTAAACCATTCCAAATCTTACAGCTCTGATGGGCTCTGTGCCCACAGGTACGTCTACGATTACCTTGGAGGAAAGCACGAGAATGTGGTGGAGGAGCTGTTGGCTACACTTTGCACTTTTGGTGTCACCATCCTCTGGTTGGGACCTTGTGAAGTTGTCCTAGTGTGGGGTTTCCTTAACTGTTTTGGTCTCAATTTTGAGCTGTGGACCGCCAAATTCTTCTCCATGGAGCCATTTGCATCATTTGAGGTTTGATCACAGAGCCTGCCTTTTCAATTTGCTTTTCCATTAATCATGTAAAGAATGTACTGATGATGGTTTATTTACAGATTGCGATGTCAGAAGCAACGTCCCGCCGCATCAGAGCCCTTTTCAACACTTTCAACTTCTGGAGCATTGTATTGTACAACATTGTGGCCTTAAACAGTTTGGACTTTGCCAAACTGGTTGCCAAACGACTGCTTCTCAAAGGTGACATCATTTTTTCTGACAGGGAGGGTTTATTCTCTTACCCTTTCCACAGTATATTAATGATGATCAATGATGTCCCCAGGTTTCCCTATAACCACCATCATCGTCATGTTTGTGACATACTGCCTGATTCAAGTAATCAAGGAGCGAGAGAGGAGGCAGGCCCTTATCTACGACCCTGATCCCCTTCCTCCCGCCCCGTCTCCAAATGCTGCCCCCAGCCCACCTGCTACTGCCTCTGCGCCTGAATCTGCTCCTGCAACTGTGCCTGCATCTGCCCCTGCGGCTGAACTCGCTGCTGCTCAGCCAGCGGCAGACACCAGCAAAGAAAAAGCGGAGTAGATGGTTTCTAATTTGGGTTAAAAGAACAACAAAAGACAGAGCATTGTTTAAATGTAAAGACTGTCATAGCTTAATTAGCTTTTATAACAAGGATTTTTAACAGAGGCAGAAACTGTAAATAAATCTTGCAGTATTAATATGTATGATAAAAAAACATAATTTCTAGTAAAGAAAAACGTTCCTAACATTTGATGTCAAATCATGTGCTGTACAAATATATGCTGTCCGTGAGCCTGTGAAAATGATTCACATTGAAGTGACAATGCTGGGATTGTGGGATGCCTGACACTTGTCAGCACTATTATACACCAAAAATAAACTGCAAAATTTGCTCAAAGCATAATTCTTTATGTATTTTTGGGTGGAATTTTCAAACTTCTTTTGGTTCTGAAATTTGTCTATGAGACTTTCTGCTCTACATGAGTCATGGTGTCGACTGTCAGACATTTCTCTTGTGTTACATCAGCTGTTTGTCACCATTTTGCTGTAAACTGCACTGGCAGCTGGGGCCATTTCTGCCAGGACATCAGCACATCAATAAAAAGCACAACTAAAGAAGACTTTAGAATGAGAGGCAAGGTCCTGTTTCCTTTATCACAATATTGATATCATGTTATTATACCTGCACCACCAAGGTAAGGAAAATAAAGAAGATACACTTAAGATTATAAGTTATATTATATCATTTTACGATTGTAAAGGATTTCCGGCAAGGTATTAATAAAGTCATTCTGATTCTGATTAATTGTATAAATCCTCTATACCCACACATCTACATCTGTTAGTGGTTATTTCAGAGTTCAGAGGCACATTGATTCAGAGGAATCAATGTTCAGAGGCACATTGATTCATTCATACACTAATGACTAAATTAATTAAGAAATTTAATGTGAAACTACTATAAAAACGTAACAGTATATTTTGTGGACTACCCTCTTTAACCAGACCTCCCACGCTTCTCCGATCACACTCCTGTGTATAACGGTGACTAGCCTGACTTCCCCTAAACAGAACAGTCAGCCGACTTCCAGCAACATGATTCCCTCAGACTATAAGGTCTGCAAAGAGACGAGTGATTTCTTTGACCGGGTAGGGAAGCTTCTCCTAATTTTTCCCTCTCATTTCTTTCCTTTATTTTTCCTTTTTTTTAAATGGAAATCAAAGAAGAACCCTTTCCATGTATGGTGAAATGTGGAGCACTGAGCCCCACAGCAAAAGATGCAGATGAAAAAGTTCAGCGGATCTGTGATGAAGTGAGTCCACGTGTGATTATTGCTGCACTGACTTAGATTTTTGTGCCTTTGTTCCATTCAAGTGTTGCCCTCATGTTGTTTCTCAGGTGAAGCATCTGGTTGAGGAAAAAGCAGGAAAGACCTATGATATTTTCACTGCTAAGAGCTACAAGACACAGACTGTTGCTGGGAGAAACTTCTTCATTAAGGTAACAATTATTGGTTTTGGTGGAAATTCAGAAAACCAGTGAGCACATATAGTTTATTTTCATGCATACCAGTTGAAACATGATTTTAATTATGTTACTTAGGTTTAGAGGAAAACATAGGGGAAATGTTTACATTCATGGGAGATTTTCATTTATCAGTGACCCCTTTAAATCTAACCAATAAATTTTCTAACCTGTTGCTAAGTGCTGATGATGGGAGTTTAGTCATTTTAACCTGTTTTCTGCTGTCAAAATACAAACTGATATAAACAAGGTGCTCTCTGTCTAACTTCTGAACTTTCTCTTTAGGTCCATGTGGGAGGGGATGATCATCTTCACCTCCGTGTTTTGAAAAACTGCCGTGTTATGGAGGAGAACTTGTGTTTCATGGAATGCAGGAATCCAAGAGCCACCACGACCCTATTGTGCACTTCTAAAGAGATCACTTAAAAACTTTTTATGCAGTTCTACTCCCTCATAAATAACTAATTATTGACTGTAAAATGGTGTTTCATGTGAAACAGCATCTCATGCTGCTATCTAGACCAGGACACCCTGGAGGAAGGGATCATGTATCTCAATTTCACATTCCTGTTAGATGAGGAGGAGGAGATGGTTTTTCTCTAGATGATCTGGAATAAATTGCTCATTACTCATCAGCAGACTTGATTCGTCACTTATTAGTAATTATTAGTAATTAACTGTGTAGTATCACATATATAAACTATCTTTATGTTTATGTACTATAATCCCTACAAGTGACTGTTGTTCACAGGTACATTTCAATACTGAAAATCACCAAAAAATTGTTCTATGTGAGTCATAAGAACATGTAATAGCCTGACTGAAAAAAGTCAGTGGAGCCATTGCATGTTTGCCAAATTCATAAAAATGTGTTACTTTTCTTGTGTCCATTAGTTTTGTAGCAGTGACCAACTTTTGTAGAAATTTTGAACCAGTAAAAATTAAACTGAGGCTATAGAACATAAACTGAGGTTCATGCACATATAAAACAAGTTTAATTCATTCCTCTGACGCTTATGTGAGCAACACAGCATACTATGTGTTCCTCGAATGTTAATGTAAGATCAGCATTTATTCATTTTGATTAAATCAAGAAAATAAATCCTCCCTAGCCAACTCAATAATACAAAAATGGTGAACTGACAATGAGGCTAATATGTGACAGTGATCCTATGAGTCATAGTGAACTTCTTTCCAATGAAGCAATGCGTCAGCTGCTGGAGAGTCAGGGGATTGTCCTGGGGGGGTCGGGGGTGGGAAAGGGGTACAAAGAGATGTGGATATTGGATTTCATGTTCCAGAATAAAGCTCATAGCCATTTGCTAAGCACCCAGCCTATAAATAACCTTCCAGTTGGAACTCAGTTGAAGGGTCAGGACAGCTGAGGAAGTGGGTTGGGACTCAACTTGTGCGCAGACTGACTGTGCACCTAAATCCACCTAAATCTAACTACTAACCACCTACTCTCCGGTCAAGACAATTAGTTTTTTGTTAGATCTGCGGCACCGTGCGGGCTCCCTAAAAGACCTTTCGCCAGGAACGATGGCTCAGCCAATAAACCCAATGGACGAGCCCAGGTTATACCAGCAGACTCTGCTCCAGGATGGCCTGTACGATCTGCTGGAGAATGACAAGCTGGTTGACTGCGTGCTGAAGATCAAAGACAAGGAGTTCCCCTGTCATCGCCTGGTACTGTGCGCCTGCAGCTCCTACTTCCGCTCCATCTTTCTATCTGATCTGGAGGAGAGCAAGAAGAGAGAAATTGTCCTGGAGGATGTGGAGCCCGGCGTCATGGGTCTGATCCTCAAGTACCTATATACATCTAAAATCAACGTGACGGAGCAGAATGTCCAGGACATCTTTGCTGTGGCTAATGTGTACCAGATTCCCTCTATTTTCACTGTGTGTGTCTCTTTCCTACAAAAACGTCTCAGCCTCAGCAACTGCCTGGCTATCTTCAGACTTGGTTTGATGCTGGACTGTCCAAGGTTGGCCATCTCTGCCCGAAACTACGCCTGTGAACGCTTCCAGCTCATCTCAAGAGATGAGGACTTCCTCCAGCTCCTTCCCAGTGAGCTGGCAGCCATTCTAATGAATGACAATTTGAACGTGGAGTCAGAGGAGACAGTGTTTGAAGTTCTCATGAACTGGGTGTCCCGGGATGTCGAAAGCAGAGAGAAAGAACTCCCGGGTTTGATAGACTGCGTTCGCTTGCGTCTCGTCACTGACGACTATCTGAAAGAAAAAGTAGAGAAGCACAAATTTATTTCATCCAACCCCGAGCTGCAACAGAAACTCCAGCTGGTTTGGAATGCTCGTGCAGGTAAAATGCCTGAGGTTAGAAAAGGAGAAACGGAGGAGAGTGGAGCTGAAAAAGACGGAGAGAGTCAAGACAAAGGGGAGGATGAAAGTCTTCTTCCTGGGATTCTCAATGATAACCTAAGATTCGGGATGTTTGCCAGGGATTTGATCTTAATGGTAAACGAAACAGGCGCTGTAGCTTACGACCCAGCGGGAAACGACTGCTTTGTGGCATCAATCTCTACACAGATACCCAAGAACCACATAAGCCTGGTAACCAGGGAGAACCAAGTCTTTGTGGCTGGGGGATTATTTTTTGATGAACAGAACAAGGATGAGCCTCTTTGCTCCTACTTCTTGCAGGTAAGGAAAGTATTTCATAAAGTACTGAGAGCAAGTAATAAGAAAGACTAATGCACAGAAAACTGCGATTTTCTGTTCATCCGTCTTTCACTAAGCCCTGCTTAGTTTTTTTCTGTAGCAACACTGAGTGATGTGTCATGTGCTACTCATTTAAGGTTGTAGTCATCTATCTATTTTTAAAATCCTGCCATGTCCAGAGAATATTTTCTGTTTATTTTCATTTTCAACTTATAGTCCAAGAACTGTGAATTTGTCTTTTTTCACATGACTGACCCTCATTCACAAATGTTTGACTTCTGTGACCCCAGTATGACCCCGTCAGTGCTGACTGGTTAGGGATGCCTCCCCTCCCGTCTCCACGCTTCTTGTTTGGACTGGCTGAGGCTGAGAATTCCATCTTTGTGTTGGGAGGGAGGGAGCTGAAGGAGCAGGAGTGTACTTTGGATTCAGTTTTGGTCTATGACAGGCTGTGAGTAGAGGACGGTAACGCAAAAAAAAAAAGGAAGAAATCATCTCTGATGATGTAACGCTGACATTCCTTGTTTATGTGCAGCTCCTTTAAGTGGGGGGAGTCAGAATCACTTCCATACCCGGTCTATGGACATGCAACAGTATCACACAATGAATTTGTGTATGTTCTTGGGGGAAAGGGAGACAACAAGTAAGTATAAGAGTGGAATGTATTTATTCCATTCATTTTTTAAATGTGTTAATACAGATAAATTAATCTCTTAATCTAGGATAATATGACTGAATCCTTTATCTGAAGTTATATTAGGGATGTTATGAAACCTTAGACGTCATGTTGCTATATCTTTGTTTTGAAAAAATAAAGGAGCTGTCTGAACAAGCTGTGTGCATATAATGCCAAGAGATTTGAATGGAAGGAGCTCTCTCCCATGAAGACTGCGCGGTCCTTATTCGGGGCAACTGTTCATGAAGGCAAAATATATGTGGCAGCAGGAGTCACCGACAACGGCCTCACAGACTCTGTGGAAGTGTATGACATGGCTACCAACAAGTGGGTTTTTGTTGTAGATCATTTCACTTTTATGAAATCATAATGATTCACAGCTAAATGTTTCACTGGGCCACCGTTAACTCAAAACTGGAGTGTTGTAAATACCTATGAGACATAAAAAAAAGGCCTCTAAAAAATGTACTTTCAAGTATCAGTTATATCTATCGCATATTTGGACCCTTTTTCGCAATAATAATAATTTTGCAAGGCTTTATATTAGTCATTAATCTCTTTGGGGAACAGTGTGCGGCTTTGATACATTTCATAAAGAGGTGCACGTATATAGTTACCTTCATAGCTCTGTTTGTGTTGATGTTGCAGGTGGTCGGACTTTGTGCCATTTCCTCAGGAGCGCAGCTCTGTGAATCTCGTGTCTTTGGCTGGTTCCCTCTATGCTGTCGGAGGTTTTGCCATGATGCCTGTGGAGGACAGCGACAAGCTCATTCCCAGAGAGATGAACGACATTTGGAGGTGAACTTTAACGAGAACATGCCTCTTCGTCATTCCTATTATTGGATTGTTTGTGTTGGACATCACATCAGACAATTTTCAAATATTTTAAATAAACGTTTGAAGATTGTCCTGCCAAAATTCTTCACAGTCACATTTTTCCTAAATTTGGCTGTGAACAGTAGAAATTATATTTAAAGTATCTAGCAAATCGAGTCGCTCCAAATTTGACCTTTTCGCTCACGAGGAATGTGTGTTCACCTCTGCAGGTATGTTGAGACGGAGGGGAAGTGGAAAGGGATCCTCAAAGAGATCCAATATGCAGCTGGGGCCACAGTTTTGGGGGTTCGTTTGAACACTCTGCGTCTCACCAAGATATGAAACAGCCCCCACCCAGTCTTCCTGTCAGTTTGGACGAACTGCAGAACAGCACTTTTTCATGAAAGTCTAATAACAATCTCATTTTGATCTGAACAAGATTCACAAGGTCTCACCATCAAGATTTCTGCTGTGTGGTTGGCTTTTTTTTGTATCAATTTTACACAATGCTTGATTACATTTTTATAAATAGGTTACTCCAATTAATGGACTGTAATTGTGAAGATTATTCTGTTGATAACACTTTTACATTGAAGGCAATATGGTAAAAGTATTAAAAACTGTTCCAAAGCTTGACTAATATAGAAACCACATGCATTTCTGTGACACTCTGTGACTTTAAAAAGCAGAACGAAAGGAAAAATAATCCATGTATCTAAAATATCATTTAAAAAGAAACAAACACATATACTTGCAATAATATATCTATACTGTTTAATATTGAAATGATTTCATTATGCTTTGCTGTGTTACAGACAGTAAACACTGGTCAATAATACAAGAAAAGACAGAAAATACAGTCTAATGTTATTAGCACCCCTAGACACTACCGTCCTTGTACTGTTTTAGTATTTATTAGAGCTGAATGTGACATCTACTGCCTACTCATGGGCTGTACACCAGAGGTTACTAAGACTAACTGCAGTGTTTACATTATAAAGTAGAGAATCCGCAAGAAACAGTACACAATTTCTTTAACAGCATGTTATATGAATAAGTATGACAAATGCGTTGTAAAGGATTTATCTCTGAATTGACAAAGGCCTTGGTGCTTTTGTCAGATCTAATTTTGTCCTAAAATTGGGGGGGGGGGGGGCAAGAAAAATCAAACATTTTTCTCGAAACATCTGACAATACTTTCACATGCAGAACATTTAACAGTTTTGTACAGCTGAAGGAGCCCCAAAGCTGACAAAAACACTTTATCAACACATGAAAAACCAAACAAATTCTTAATCTTTATTGTTGTTAGTAAAAAAAAATGTATTTACTTAAATTATGAGTCGCTTACTTTACCATTTAGTACAATTTCCAGTTTACTTCCCTGTTTCCTTCTCTTTGGCCATTAAAAAAAAAAACACTTTTTTCTTTGAAATCAAACATTTTGTTTGTGTAATACTGAAGTAATTGAGAGCGTTATGTGGCTAAATTGAGCAGAAACACTGATGTTCAAACCTTTTGCACCGGTCACGGCAGCAGTATGTTTCTGAAGCCAACAATTAAGTCTACAGACTGCAACATGGGAGTATTTCTAATTATTTATATACCTCATTGTCCATTGTAGACTTTTTAAAACATTTCTAAACCAGCGATCTAAAGCAAATTTAGTTGAAGAAAAAGCACAAAGCTACAAATCTTCTTTTGTATTTTGATTCTTGATAAGAGAAAAAAATAATCATCATTGCTGGGTTACTCCTTAGTGAAAAAATGAAATAATCAGGGCACATTCTGTTTTTTCAACCACTGCAAACATTAAGAGATATTTATATTATTAACATGGGAGAGAGTTCCATATGATTGAATATGATACTGCCATAACAAAGAAAGTAGGTATACTAGTTTATATATATATATATATATATATATATTCATTTATTTCTAATTTTACGACAGCTAAATGCCCCATTCAGTTTTGTCAGTTAAGGTGCTCCTTAAAATTAAACAAAATATGGATTTAAAAAAAGAGACAAAGACACGCACACGCATACACACACACAATGCCAACAACACATACCATATTTTCTGCTCATTATTCTCCAAGATTTTCATTAATCCTTCCTACGACAGCACTTGCCCAACATTTGAGGGTGAAGGCCACAATATCTAATTCTTTTGGATGCGCACCTCAGTTTTAGCAGCTAAATCCAAATCAACACATCTAGTAGATACACAACTTGTCAGTCTCAAGAGTACTTCTGTACTAAAAAAAAATTACGCTTCACATTTGTGCAGTTTGTGCCCCCTCCTGTTCTCTTGTCTTCGGTCTGTAACCCGGAAATTAATCTCAGCAAAAAACTTTGAATGATGCCTCGTTTCCTAAAATGGATCTGGGTGGAAGAGGTGTGAGGAGAGAGGAGGCTTTTCAGTGGAGCTATATATCAGAATTCAGAAAGACACCATGTGTCATTATGAAGCCTGGAATTGTCTCCACAATCAGTCTTGAAGTCCCACATAAGATCAATCAAGTCATTTTCTTTGCTGACGCAGGCACGAGACACCAGGATTAAAATCGGCAACAAAAAAAGGTAATCTCACAGTATATTCCTTTTTGGCATCGGGGACATCTAAAGGAAGGCGACATATTCCGGTTACCTTACCTCTGCTTCTCCTCTTTGCAATCAAACCCACGTTTTAATTTTTGGTGGGTGGGATTAAAGCGAGAAAAGTTGAGGGGAGGGATTCAGGGAAAATTGGGATGATTTGAAATGGGAAGATCTGAAAAGTTCAAATATTGCATTTGCCGTTATATTTGGTGCACTTTTAGTGCAATGCTAAATGCATCATCAGTAAGGAGCCATATGCAGTCATAAAACAGCTTCTCGTATGAAGACAAGGACAGGTCCACCTAAATTATACAGGCCTTTGGCTGCTAGCCTCAGTGAGGGAGAATTTGGCTGATCGAAAGACTGGCCTTAAATAAATACTTGTGTGCATGTGAAAAAAATTCCCTTTTCAGTTCCTGCTTGGATAATCTCTGCTCCACTGCCACTGGACTGTAACGGGAATGGATAGAGAATATTTGACGAGGCCTCACTCCGGCATTATGATTATTTATGAAGACACATTGAGAGCTTGTAGATTATGTGGATGTAGTATTCGAATGCAGTACATTCTCTATAGTTAACGGTTGTCTTACTGGATGGCCAAAAATTCCTCCCGGTGACGGGGGTAGCCCGTGCACAAAAAAGCATTATGTAAATACAAGTTACTGACTTGTACACTATACAAAATAACCTGTGCTCACAAATTTAAATATATCACAATTGATTCATTGAGGGCTCAAAGTCTCAATGCCCCCTCTTTTAAAGGGCCATTTTAGTAAATGGAACAGCTGGCAAGGACACTTTTCTTTTGTTAAAAACTGCATTCAGTTAAATTATTTCAATCTTTTGAAAAGGGAACTTGTATACATGGACACAGCATGAGCAGATTTGTTTGGAATAAGTGCTACAAGGTCAGCCTGAAGCCTCCAATGGCTGAGATATAAAGTGCTCTAGCAATTCATAAATGTTTCTTTGCTCAAATTGGCAGCTAACAACCTTAAACAGATTTTTCAAACTGTCAAAGATAACATAAACCATACAAGGTCACATATCGTGTGCTCAACTTGAGCACAAACTGGTAACATAGGACTAATTTCTATTTACTATGGATGTTAACCGGGTCAAAAATACAACTAATAACCAGGCATTACCTCCTCAGTGTGGGGGATGGCACTCTCAACAACAGAGAAGTTGTTCAGCTACACAAAAGTCTGTGCTTTGACATTTTCCCATCGCACAAAGCACTACTTTCTTTATAAACCTTAAAACATATGACCATATCCCCACTTTTTCACATCCCTTCACCTTTTTTTGTGTGTGTGTATCCCCATTATTGGCTAGTGTGGCAAACAAATTGAAAGTGCATACATCAGTAGTATTCACTACCATTTCCCTCATTTGCTGTTATCGACTGTCACTGTCCACAACACTTAACCGTACATTTCCAACTTCATAAGGCAGATACTCAAACTAAAACCACAGTATATCATTATCATCTCTTGGGATAGTGCTTCTGGAGACACGGAATAAGAGAAAGAAGAAGAAAAACAAGTCTTGAATGGTTTTTTTTTTCTTCCTGGAGAACAATCAGCTTTCCAATCACAGCTTGGGCCAATCTGTTAGTGATGTGTGCGTTAAAAGGACTCATCTCTCGCTTAAGTGCAGGGCTGCTAACAGGTTGCAGTTTACGTAATTGCCACAAGAGAGCAATAGTGCCAAGCAGGGAGTCGTAAAATGACTGAATATGTATAAAAACAATTGTTTGTTGCCTTCATTCTCCTCTGCACATTTAAAATTTTGGAAAAGAATCATCATATTCATCTCTGCATTTTGTTCTCTGAAGACAACAAAGTTCATTTTGACTTACAATAACGTTGGCAATTGCTTTCTCAAAAAAACTACACGTGTTCAAAGGTTGTCTGATTTCTGACCCTGGAGCTAACTTTGCACTAGTGGATTCAATCACAGCCAGAATGTAATTCAGTTACATTCCAATATAACAGCACTAGATCTAATACAAAGGGTCGTCTCAGACTGGCCCCTGTACAAAAAGCAGCAAATCAAATATACAAAACATGTGTTTGACACTTGCTCGAAGAAACAAAAATATATAGTGTGTACCTTTGCTAAATAATGTCTGATGAGGCCCTCACCATACACCTTGGGTAGTTTAAGAAATACACCTGTCTGGGGTAGTCCTAAGATTAAAAAAGGGTGCTCAAATGTACTTTTATGAGAAAAAAAAGCAATTATCCTTATAAAAGCATTCACAAACTCCAACTTTCCAAAGTACCAGCAAATAGACACGTGGGGGCACATTCAACTCCCTGTAAACATGAAAAATAAAGACACAAGTAATAAATGCATCTGATCAGTATATACAGGTTAATGCTACACTACAAGTACACCGTCTATACACGAAGTGGGCAAAAACACATCAATAGTGCACAGAGACTCTTCTGGGTATAAATGTCAAAAGAATTCTCATTTGCATTCATGCAGTGAGTTGAGGGAGATGAGCGATGCCACTCTCACATCTGTTGACTGCACATGTGGCAGCTGGGCTGTTTAGCTTAGCTTAGTTTAGCTTTGCTCAGTTTAGTGTAAAGACTGGAAACGGCTGGCTGAGCTGCATCTAACATCGCTTTCACCACAACACACTTATTTGCTGAGACTCCAGAGAGCCCTTGAGTCAAGAACATTTTAAATACAGCATCTCTCTCGCTAAAGGGCACAGGATGTTCGGAAAATGTGGTCTTGTATTTGTCAGGAAGGGGTGATTTGCCTCTCCGAGTGTGAGGCCACATGACGCATGTTATGTCCCTGATCTTGTTTTAGGTTCGTACACATACATGGCTTTTCAGATAATAATATTTATCTTGTTCTAGTATCAGTTTTTGTTTAAAATAAGGAAATTAAAAAGTAAAATAGCTAAGTTGTGGATTCAGTAGGAAAAGAGCACTGGAAAATACAGCGCTGAGACCAAATTAAAGGGGTTTATCTCTGCCTTGAAAAGAGCCCTTAGAGGCAACTCAAGCAGCCATCATCAGTGAGGCGTTCTGGGACCGTTGTACAGGCGGATGCCATGGCAGACTGAGAGCACACTGGAGAGCATCCTGTGAAAGTGGCAGAGGAGCAGGAGATCTCAGGAGCCACTCAAGCCCTATACAAATGTGAAAACAGATGCATGATCTGATCTGATAAACAAGATGAAAATGTTAAGACCCCAACTAAAAGGTTACCGGTAGATGGAATCTTTCTCCCTTTGGACAACTTCAGCTTGCCTCAATTTTGATCAACAGATCTGTGAGTGGTGTCGGTTTTTCTCTATCACCCAAAACTCAGCAAGAAGGCGAATAAGGATACTGAAAGAGGTTTGATTAACTTCTGATGTACTCATCTTATGGTAGGCTTTGTAATCACTGTCACTGTTCTTTAAGAGAGGAATTGGAGCAGGTTTTTAAGCTGTATGTAACATTAGCAACAATACTAGAATTCAACCTACAACTATATTGTGGGTTTGAGTGCATTAGGTCTTATCAGGAAGTCACAGAAAAGAAAAAAATATGCAATAATCTCCAGCAGACAGGTCTGCTGGAGAGGAGTGTACTTGCTTAATGTAAGCAAACGATGAGAATCAGCTACATTATCCGTCTCCTGACTTGGGGAAGCTCACATGTTAATTAGCTGATCTGAGGAGTGTCATATGGATCTGAATCAGGGTATGTTGTTTCCCTTAAAAAAACATATTTGTAATGCAAGTAGTAAGTTGTTATTTTTATCAAAAAAAGAAAAAAGAAGAGCACCTTTAGATTTTGGTCAGCTTCAGATTTTAATTAGTCAGATTCAGATTTTTTATGTCAATTTCAAAACTTTTTTCAGTTTTATATTTGATCTGAGTAGTGAGTGTCGAGTAGTCACAGTAGAACGATATTTTCTACAGACTTTTTATATTTTTTAGGGCATGTCTAATAACCGCTTGCAGTTCTGATGATCCATCCCTCTCTCCCGAGCAACTCAAAAGTTTGAAACCTGAAAGTGAACAAAAAATGAAACAGAGAAAATTTAAAGGTGCACTTTAAAAAAAAAAGAAAATCACTCTGAATTAAGTTTTTTTGTTTTTCATAGATCATAATCAAAAACTGACCTTCAGCTTCAGCTCATGTTTCTTCAGTGTCGAAGGAAAAAACGTTATGACTGATCTAGCTCCATAGTCTCACCTCCAATCTCTGCTCTGCAACTCACACGCACACCATCAAACGCCAAACACACCTCCAGCGCTTTAAAAGCTGATGCGACGTGCCACGGATTACACACACACACTATCACAACTGTAAAAATGAAGACAGACAGGATACAGTTTTAAATATCACTGGAGTTAAATGTAAGGTGCAGGGTAGATTATTAATGCTGTAATACATTGTGTAACTATAGCAGTTGAGCTTACAGGGTTTGGTTACTGGCAAGGTCTTATACTTGTATATGTTCAGAGACAAATCAGCGTTTGGTTATTGCTGGGTCAGTCCTTAACTGCTGGCTACGTCTTGGCAGAGAGGAAAAACACATGAAATATGCTCCATTCCTAGTGACAATTTAGGAAACACTCCCTCCGGTTGAGGAACGGATCCTACCGTCTAACAGTTGTGCAAAACTCTGGAGAGATGTGTGCGGTGTCAGGACATCTCAAATGAAACCAGGACAAATCGGTGAAAGGAGGAGTGATGGTGGCCCACCTACTGGGCTCTGAGGTTATCTCTAGTCTTCAACAGAGTAAAAAATAACTATATCTTATGGTAATTGTAAGTGTCTGTGTTGGTTATGAGGCCTCTACGAAGCCTTTTCTATGAGTATCTCCCCCTCTGTTGTCAAGGAGGGGCCTCGCTCTCCCGCCGAGAGTCCTCGCAAAAACGCCCAAAGAAAAACAAAGAAAAGTCAAAGTGCTTCCGATGCTACAGAGATCTGTTAGTTGTTGGAGTTCATCCTACCGGCAGAGAACAGGGGAGGCGGCGGGGGTAAATGCGAGGCCGGGGGCAGCGGCCCCATGGGGTGCAGCAGAGGGATGGACACCTGGGAGGCGTGGGGCGGGTGGGGGCTGGAGGCGGCAGCGGGCGTGGTCAGCTGGAGCTGGCCGGAGGAGTCTGCCGTGGGGGGGGCCGGGGGCCGGTCCGGCCCGTCGGCGACCGCGGGGCCGCTGAGGCGGAAGCACTTCTCCCGGTGCGCTTTGAGCATGTTGGAGAAGCGGAAGCGCTGGCCGCACACCTCGCAGGGGTAGGGCTTCTCCCCGGTGTGCGTGCGGCGGTGGCGCTTCATGTTGGGACGGCTCGTGAAGCTCTTCCCGCAGATCTCACAGATGTACGGCTTCTCTCCTGCGGGATGAGGAAACAGCTCAACAGACTCAAATACGCTACATTTAAAAAAAAAAAAAGGTTTAAGGTCAAGATGAGAAACACAAACAAAGTTTTCCCCTCAGCTCTGCTGGCGCTCTTAGAACATTTCAGAGCAATGTAGTTCATTCGTGGGCTGTGACTTCACTGCTTTGATTCTTACTTAATATCTATATCCCATCCAGCTGCAGCAGGCCTTTGTTTTGCCAGTCTTAGGCTGAGGAGACTCATGTTTCACTCAATAGCCACAAAACAAAGGATGACTAAGGATCATCGGGAGATCACACACACACAATCGCACACTAAATCTCTGCTCATTCCTGTCTGTTGGTTTAGTAAATATGAAACTCTCCTTTATGCAGTGTTTGAAGGGAAGACTTTTTTTTTGCTGCCTTCTATAATTTGAGTCAACTGGATGACAAATTCAATAATCCGAGATTTTCCAGGAAATTTTAGACAATAGTAGCTTTAAAAGTGTTCAAAGCAGAGATCCTTTCTCCATTGACTCATAGTTTTACTGTAAAGCTGATTCAAATGACTTTCTGTTCAGGATTTTCAGTGCTGGTCTGAATTGGCAGTATTGCTAATCTTTTTATTTCAATTTTGTGAAGAGCAAAGGTGCTTAATGAAGGGTTTCCAACCTGCTCAGGGAATCAGATTTTTGCAAAGTGCATGAAAATGTGAAATAACCTCATCTCGTGGTTGTTACAGGCCTGTATTTTCTAAATATTTTATGGGGATACTATTGACTGTTTATCATTTTGTCAGTATGTTGAGTAGCTTCTCTTTTTGCCGTAATGCAACAAAATAAGAAGACAGATTTTTCTGCTATATTTAGACATTCGGTACTGATGAGTCGCATCTGCAAAAAACTCGGAGCGAACATTAAAAAGTCACTGACCAGTGTGCGTCTTCATGTGCTCATCGAAGTACTGCTTCATGTTGAAGTCCTTGCCACACCACTGGCACATGAACTGCTTGTGTCCGATGTGGATGCTCATGTGAGAGCGCAGCTGGTATTTGTACTGGAAGCGCTCGCTGCAGTTCTGGAATGGGAGAGAGGGCGAACCGTTTCTATGGCGCCTTCGCACAAAGGCGCCTAAGAGTGCAGTGGTTGAGTGTCATTACAGTGACTTTAGAGAATAGCTGCTCAAGCAACAGTTTGGCAAACTTAAAGTTAAGTTAAGGCGGTGTAAAATATAAACTTCTACATGGCTTAGTTCCACTTCATTGAATACATCACACAAATAGAGGCGTGTGGAGCCGGAGAGCACCATCACAAACTATTTATCCACTGAAATGAGGCTTTGAATAGAGACATCTATGCTCTTCAGTGTGTTTATGTCCTGATTTGTGCCTCTAGTAGATTTCCTGACCCTGACACGAGCACTTCTTAAAACCCGTATGAGTCACATGAGTGCTGGAGCATCAAGAAGGAGCTCAAACCTCACACTTGAAGGGTTTCTCCCCCGAGTGCTGCAGAGAGTGAACCTTCAGGGACATGCTGCGCTTGAAGGACTTTCCACACGTCTCACAGGTGAATGGCATGTCTTTCGTATGGGCTGCGCACACACACGCACAAACACACACATTACAAAATAAGTTAATGCATTTTAGCATTAGGAGTGGACTTTAGTGTTGAGATGGTTAAATTGTACCCCAGTTCCCCTAGAGCCCAAATGATTATTAGAATAAAAAATTCTTTTTGGGTTTATTTGTATTTTTACAACGTTAAAGCACTTTTTTGCCCTTCAATTTTTTCCGACCTCTGCTTTTTTTTTCTTTCTTTTTTTTGAACACTGGTCAAATGTAACTGTGCTTCGATAGAGCTAAATTTCCGATTAAAGCTTTCCTCAAAGGAATAACATATCAGACATTCTGAATGACACGCAGCAGAGAAATACTTAAGTTCCAACTTAAAGTCCTCTAAAGCATCTCCAGACTTGATCTTCTTTAAAACTAATCTTTATACCATAATCATAGCATTGTCTCACAAACCACTAATGTACCTTAAAATCAACTACTGTGTAGTTCTTTGGACCGTACTACTCCACGCAGAGCAAATTGAGAAGTATAAGTATGCCCTGGAGTACTTTACTCAACATTTTAACTTAATTCTACTTTATTTATTTACACTGCAACTACATGTAACTCCCCTGTTTGGTATTTCCAAGGCATGAATCAATCATCAGGCTCAAGTAAAAAAAAAAATAGGATAGATGACATCATTAGAGTGGCTGAAAACTGAGATATGACCCATCTAAAAGTAAAAAGCCATTTCCTGCCATTTTTCAACAAGCCTTGCAAATATTCAGCAAGACAGACACAAACTATTCCTGGATAGATGCACACAATCAGTGCAGTAAGCCCGTCTGGGAAATAAGATGCTTATCTCACCCCCCCCCACCCCCCCTTAAAAAAAAGGAAAAGGAAAGCAACACCCAAAACAAATCCTGCACAGCAATCAGTAAAATGGAGTAGAGGAAGCGTAAAACACAAATGGGAACAAGGTGACCAGTCGGGATAGTGGATTTTCCTGCCACTCACCGACCATGTGCTTCCTGACGTGAGCCATGGTGTAAAACTTCTTCTCGCAAATCTCACAAGAGAACTTCTTCTCAGCGTAGCCGTGGACAATCTTGTTATGCTCATGTAATGACCACAGCTTCTTGAAGGCCTTGCCACAGGTCACGCACTTCAAAAAAGTACAAAAAGAGACAGAGAGCGGGAAATGGGCAGAATGCTAGTTTTAAAGGCTAACATCCAGGACCAGTATTCTGAAAGGGTCAAATGCAATTAGTCTGTAGCCTAAAGCGTCAAATGACCTTCCAACCCAGAGCGAGGGTCCAGAATCCCAACGCAGAGGGAGAAATGGTGGAATCTGTCAGACAGCACCGACTGTACTGACGGCCATAAGCAGTTCAAACTGATTCCAATCATTAGGAAATGTGCACAGAAACCGATTGGGAACAAGTGCAATGTAACAAGCGGGTTAAGAAAAAGCCGAGCCTCCTACCTGGATGCTCTTCTCACAGTCCGTCTGCTGGTGCAGCAGCAGCTCGCTCTCCAGCAGGAAGCGCTTCCCGCAGTTGTTGCAGATCTGCATGCGGTTGTGCGTGACGTTCATGTGCTTCTCCAGGTACCAGCGGTTGTTGAAGACGCGGGGGCACTTCTTACAGGGGAAGTGCTGCTTCTCCTCCAGGCGCACCTTCTGGCCCGGGCCCTCGGCGTCCGGCGTCCTCCGGCCGCCCGGCCGGCGGTTGGCCAGCGTGGCCTCGGCCAGCGTCTGCCTCATGGCCGCCGTCATGCTGGCGATGGCCAACGCCCGGGCGCCCCGGCGGGGTCGCTCCATCACGGGAGACTGCTCCAGGCCCGGAATGTTTAGGGTGTTTTCCTCTTCCTCTTCATCTTCTTCCTCCTCCTCGTCCTCGTCCTCCTCCTCACTGCTTTGCCCCAGTAGGTCGGCCCTCTTGAATCCATCCTCGTCCTCTCCTACGACCGTGTTGACGTTCTCCCCCTCGTTCTCCTCATTGCCCTCCGAGTCCTGCTCATCGTCGTGGCACTGGGCGAACATGGCCTCTGTAGTCGTGGCCGGCTTCCCCTCCGGTCCCTTGGACACGTTGAGGGTTTGGTTGTTCAGGTTGACTTCGACGATGATCTGATCCCTGTTGAAGGAGGCGTGGCCGTCGGCCGTTTTGGCCTCGTCTCCGTCGCCCTCCACTTTGCACGAGCCGGCCCCCTCGGTGGCGGCCCCGCTTCCCTTGCCCTCCTCCTTCTGGTAGTACGGCTTCGCCTGAGAACCGGCCTGGCCCGCCTCCTCCACTCTGACGGAGAAGGGGCTGCTGCTCTCCCGGGTGAACACCCGGCCCAGCTCTGCCTCCTGTTTGATCTCCCGGTACAGCTGTGCGGGGGGCCGGCCCGCCGCTGGGTCCCCGCAGCCGAGCCCTTCCTGATTCGCCATCTCGGAGCAGGCGGTCCTCAGCGAGCGGCTGCTGATGAGGTCCCGGCAGGACGCCGCGATGTCGCCCATCTGGAGCAGGGTGGCGGCGTTCAGCACGTCGCAGACGGTGCGGCTGCTCACCAGCAGCTTGGAGGTGTAGATGAAGTTGAGGATCTGCTGCAGGCCCTGCGGGGTCAGGGCGTCCAGGGACAGGTCCACGCGGCGCAGCTGCTTGCTCTGGGCAAACAGGGAGTGGAAGAAGGGGCTGTAGGCGGCCAGCACGCCCTTGTGGGCCGGGAAGGTGCTGCGCTGACGCACCAGAACGATGTCCACGTCGCACAGGTCGGGCTGGAAGAGTCTCTGCTCGTTCAGCCTGTCCATCAAACAGGTGAAGTGCAGAGCCACATCCTCCACCAGAGAGAACTCAGCAGACGGGAAGTCTGTCGTCTTCTCCACTATGAGCTGGAAGAGAAGCACATGGAAAAGGTCAACACCAAGACTCACCACAGCCCAGCTGCTGTAGAACAACAGAAAACAGGAAGAAAACGCAGTGAATCAGAACCTCCCTGCTATTAAACCTTCAGGGACTCACAACATTTCACACCATGCAGAATCTTTTGTGAAACATTGCTGCGTTTTATCTTCGGCGGTTCTGATTTGTACTCTAGGGTCAACATACTTTTATCTGTTCATTACCAGGTTCATTTAAGAATTTCAGAAAACAATCTGACAAAAAGGTTATGTTAGACCAAACCGCATGATTCTGATTGACGTGGGTCCATTCACAGAATGATAGTGTATTTAACACAAGCAGCCCCCATAGGAAGCATTTTGGATGAAAGAATTTTTTTAATGAAAACAATTGTGCCACTAAACCTGGTGGGATCTCCATAAACAACAGCATTGCAACTGGGATTTGTGTTTCTAACTAAATCTCATTCTGACAGATGTTTTTTCTGCTCGGGCGATCAATACCTGCAGCTCAGGCCTTACATTAAATCTTTAATGCGATGGCTTAAAACTCAAGGTTAGACGGCGTTTGAAGCTGGAAATAAGATGCTGCTTCTAAATTACACTGTGGTCTTCTGGGTGTCATCACGTGCATCAACGTGAATTTACACACACGTTTAATCAGAGGTCAAAAATAAGGTGTCACTGCTCCGGCTTGATTTTATTTCTCAGAAAAGCAATAACGGCAGCACACTGGTTGCTCCACCTTTTGCGTAGATCGTGAGCACCTTTTTAGTTTTCGGCTGCTCCGTGGTGCTAGAGTTTAAAATGCTAAATAAATCACGTTGAAAAATGCCACGCACGTCGCTGTATTTCAGGGTAAACAGCGTAACGTGTGAGGCCGGGTGCCGTGAGTCAGGGAAAAATCAAAAGGTGTAACAATCAGCGCTCTGTGCAAGGTCCTCAACTTCCCAAGGTGGGCTTATTTTAGCACAGGAAGGGCAGAGTTTCGATCCAGATGGGCTGTGAGTGAGGACAGCAAACTGAGTGCATACACACACACACACACACACACACTCACACAAACACTGAACATGATGTTTGGTCTCTGCAAGGACTGACTGGCCTGCGCATTGGTATTCAATGCCGTTTCCTCCCTCTTAGTTGGCCCTCGCAGCACACCAGCTCACTCCTCTCTGCCAGAGGCCTGACCAATCACGCACATGACGAAACCCGTCCTGAGAAATGATCAGGGAAACCGTGCTGGATAAATGGTCACTAATCCAGCAAACAATCAATAAAACTTAGCGTCCCGGACATATTTGTATTGACACGTGCCTTGTTTTGACATCAAATCGGAACATGAAATGAAAAATAATGTAGTTGTGAAGCCTTAACTACCTCTACACATCTCTGATTACAATTGTTAGGAGCTAAATGTGGTTATTTAAGGAACCATGTAGAGTTCAGGAAAACTATGATGGTATTTATGTAGCAAACAAACGTGTAATGTGACTGAAACACTCAACTGTCTATTAATTGCCCTGCAGACTAAAAAGTACATTGTCTTTCCTTTCTGCATTACCTCCTTTTTATTTTCTTTCTGATGAATGGCAATGTCTTGTCATTGTTCCGGCTGGGAAATGGATTTGCATGTAGGCCTAACCTTGAGAATCCACTCCGTTTGAAGAATTCAATTACGGAGTGTTAGATTTATTCATAGTTCTGAGCTGCTAAATTGGACCCCGAGCAAGAAGACCGGAGATCGGGTTATCTCTCTCAGTGCAAGGCTGCAGACATCGCCCAAGGGCAAAACGCAGCAGCTTTAATCAGATCGAATGGAAGTTGCGGGCTGGAAGTTACGCTCCTACAGTGATAATGATCTCCTCCTTCTTTAGGAATTCAAATAGGACGCAGTCCAAGACGTACACTTCAGGGATGAGTAGCAGAAAATGTCCAAAAACCTGATTTCAATGTTTGCACCTGATCGGTATCCAAGAGTCACTTTTGTCATTAGAGGTTTGAACGAGTTTTTTTAACCACTTTGTGATTTCAAATGCAAAATCTGAAGTTCTTTCAGGCCCTGTGTGATGATAAAACAAGACTGAATGAGGCCTCGTGATTACATCACAGTCTCTTGAAGCCTGGATGGTGGAGACCTTAATCATGTCGTTTGAAATTTATGACAGTTAGTTCACTTTATCAGAAAAAGAGTTTGACCCCTGACTGCACTGAAGAATAATATATCTGCAACATTCTAATGTCTCACTGGGGTTCATTTTTTTTCTCATTTCATGTTTTTGTCAGAGGTGTGTCGGTCATAAAAGCAATGGCCAAACACACAGTTGCAATGAATTAATACGATAGGAGGGTAAAGGTCTCTAATAGATAAAGAATAGGAAGCACTGACTTCAGCCTCGTATATTTCTGTGCTTGCAATCAGTTTCAAACTGTAGTTTTTAGTTTCTTTATCACAATAACACCATATTCAGATTCTGGTGTTCTTCAGAGTTCAGCACTCTAACCTCATCGGATGCTTTTGTGTTTCTGAGGTCGGACGTCATCACAAATGAACACTGACAACTTTTGCTGCTTTAGGAAATGAGCGTGCTCGTCTTGACTGAGAGCTCTGCTTGTTTATCTCAACGTTGCATGAGCGAGACGCTGTAAAATGCAGAAGGACCGAATGTTTTCCCTCTCCATGATGATTAAGCGGGTAATCAGTTGTGTGTGAGAGGTTCATTTTCGCTTTCCGGGCGTTCCTAAATGGCGTAGGGATTTCTGAGAGACGCTCCATGACTATTCTATCCAGCAGCAAATGACCACAGCTCTGCTGCAGCTGCCGCGCCACCAAAAACAAAGCCGTCTTGTCACATTTCATCATCCTGTAACCAAACACGGCCCTTTGAATTGAAAGTCTAATGCCGCTCCCCAGATCTCTCTCCATCCCTAACTCCCTGCCACCCCCCCCCCCCCCCCTCGCCTCCCTCCTTTCCTCTGAAATGTCAGGCAGAGCTTGTTTGCCGTCATTAGAGAAGCGCCACCTTTAACCAGCCTCTCAGTCAGAAACCTCCCAATACATTATTCATATGTGGCCTGACCTGTGACAAACGCAATGTGGAGGATGGGGGGGGGGGGATTACCGACACACCAAACCGGGGGCGCCATATAAACTGACTTCAATCAAAGCTCGGCTCACCCTGGAAACACAGACTGTTTCATCGTCAGCCAGAGACAGCGGAGTGAGGGGATCTACGGCGAGGAGGCCTCAGCGGGTCTCTTTCACCAGGTGCTCTCCAGGCTGATGCACTTCAGTCCCATAAAACCCATACCTGCACTTCTGCCTCACAACGTTCAGATCCCCTTTGTGTGAGTCAGAAGCCGAGCGTTATTGTCGTAGCTGCATCCGAGGATCAAATCTAGAAAAAACTGAACGATCACAGCCATGCAGTCACGGAGGGATTTTTATATGCAAAGAAGTGGGATTTAATGATGCCGTATACAGTACGCCGGCTCCGCATAAGCTTGTTAATGTTGTCACTCTGGAATTAAAGCTCAAAGCACTGTGCAGTCTCAGTCGCTGTAGCGGCGTTCTCCATGAAAAATATTTGACTAATTGGCCTGATAATTGGCCTGGAAGCTCTGTAATGAAATGTCAAACTCAAAAAGGCAACAGTACAAATACAAATCAGCCTTTTGTTTAAGTGCTTTAATGGTGGAAGGAGGGGGGGCTGAAAAAGAGGGAGAAGCACTTTGCTCGTGTACAGGAAGTGTCATATGTCAAATTTGGAAGCATGAGAGATTTTAAAACGATAACCAGACTTAATTAAAACAGGGGCACTTCTTTAATTAAAAAAAAGATTTCCAACCCTAAAACTACTTCACCACTAATCCAGTTAAGATGCAGCTCGGATTGTTGAAGCACAGCATTACAAGTTGCCGGAGTGGAAAACTTATCCTCTACAATCTTTTCTTCCCCCTCACATGTTAATCAGACGCTGGAGAATAAGTCAATCAAAGCCGGGGGCTGGTGCCGGGGCTCCTCCCGCCCCGGCCATGGCCGGCCCTGATGCTACAGACCTGGCGCTGTCTCGGTTGGTGGCCACGAGCCACGCGGACCCTGGGGATGAAACCCCTCTTTCTAATTTCGCCGCCGAGAATGCCACTTCTCTCCCACACCTTCACACTGGACGGCCTGTGTTGACTTACTGCCCTGTAAAGTCTGCCCGGCTGTTTTTCTGGCCTGTGGATGCTCTGCCCACTGCATGGCTGCATAGCTGCAGCCTATCTGGTCATACTGCCGGGGCAGAACACACTTTATTATTTCGGTTTTCAACAGGATTTATGAGCAAAGCAACGTCCACCTTGGATTCCTCTTTCGCTTGCTGACTGGTGAGCAGACTGAGTCATTAGTAAAGGCCAAAGTCAGAGAAGAAAACAGAGTCACAAAGTCAGGGGAGGGCAGGCCGTGCTCAGACAGGAGGGAGTCTCACTGGGGAAAACATGGCGGGGGAGCGGGGGGGGCTACTCTCTCTGCTACAGGACTGCTTAGACTGAAATGAACTCTGTGTCCTAACACATCGGATTCTTCATCAGGTCGGGTGATTGATATGAATAAAATCACAATCATGAAATGCCTTTTGGAGCTGATTTTTCCAGGCCTGCCAGTTCACTGAGCCAAGTAGAATTTTGAATAAATCATCTGAAAGTCTGAAGACAGCAGCTTACATTGACGAACTCACTGAAACTGTGGATCATATTTTTGTAAACAGTGTAAAACATGGCTGTGTGCATTCCAAATAAATCTGCTCTGATCAACATATTTTTGTTTGTTTTATTTTGTTTCCTTCCCCTGGCCCTATCACTTTGTATCTGAGAGATAGGTTAGTCAGCCTGCTTCTTTGCAGATGAATGAATAGTTTTCCTTTATCTTCCATCCAAATTAGTCTCACATCTGAGTTAAAGAGGCAAATTATTGGTATACATTCCTGTCAGATTGCATGCTGTGTTTGCATTTTATCTAATAAAGTATGGCGTCATCCAATTTAAAACTTGAGGAAAAAAAGAGAAATGTGATGAACACTAAATACATGTCTATGGTTTCAGCTTTCATATGATTTAGTGGATATTTAGTTGTTAGTGGAATTCTTATTAAATAGACTCTTGAGGTTATATTTTTTCTGCAGACAACTTAGATTTGACAAAGTAAAATGGAACAAATACCACAGCAGAGAACTAACCAATGACATCCTAAGAGTTATTAAAACATGCCTCTAATGTACAGCATAGTTTTAACTCCAGCTCAAAGGCAACGCATATCAATACGATGTCTGCAGATGTTACAAAAGATTCACCAAAGGAATTTAACAGACCACTACAACTCGCTACAAGCCAAACATCAGATACGTCCCTCCACACGGAACTAAAAAGAGATCTTCCTGCCATCAACACATACCAAGACCACATTCCCATGAGCTACTGCCCCCACTGGGGTGGCCGAGGGTCGGCAGGGTGTGATATGCCGCGTCCACCCACGCAGCACTTTAACCGGCAGCCCAGAGCCCGCTCGGCAGCGCCGGTCACAGTGAGCGCCGGTCAAAGCGAGCACTGGTCACAGCCAGTGCTGGTCACAGCGAGCTCCGGTCACAGCGAGCTCTCCGGCTGAGGGCGATGTGACTGACACCCAGAGGAAGGAGAGCGGGCACCGCGTCAGGCCTCATCTCGCTCATTGGCAGGGAGATGGTAGGAAACCAGCGCCCGACCTGACACACACAAACACACAGATCCCTGAGTCATCAGTGCCGCGCGGAGCACAACAGGCCTGAATGCCACCCCCCCCCACAGAGATCAGCCGGCCACAGCAGTGAGCGCGCTTCCCCCCCAAACGTCAGCGCTCCACGCGGCGGGAAAGAACTCAGCTCGCCCACAACCTAACGGGAAGGGACAAGGGCACGTCGTTTCCTGGTGGACTCCAATCAAACGCTCATTAAAAAGTCATCAGGCTAATGTCTGCCGCCGTGTCCTCTGCCCGCTCACCAGGCGAGTCCTGGCTGCTGACACCCGGCGACAGGTTCAGTCTCAGAGATGCTGAGCAAGGGATGAAGCCTCGGATTCTCAGAAGGGAGCGGTGGCAGCATGCTTAATCCTCCGCCGTTGTCAAGTGCGTGATGGCATGCTATGGATCAAACCATCGGTGTTTGTACCACCTCTTGCATAGATTATTGAGCAGGCCCACCTGGAGAATAGCCTGGGCCCCATATTTTAGGGAGAAACTCAATTCTTTAACAGGCTATTTCAAAATCAAGATTTCAAAATGGAAAAAAGCACTACTGACACACATAAACATTATTTTAACAAAAAGAGCAATAACAAAGAAACCAAAGGAGACTGAAGGATCGCAAAGTGGCAGCAAAGATGAACTAAATTGACATAAATGGGCACAGGTGGATGAAAAGGAACACAAAAAAAAAGAAAAGATGAGATATAAAACTTTCACAAACAAAACATACAAAAGCCACGCTGTCCACTCAGACAGAAACGATTTACAGAGACAAGAGGAGCGCCTCAAAATGATGTTGATCGCACAAAACGCAGAGAGAGATGGAACGTGCACACACAGAGAGACACAACATGGCCATAAGGGCACGCAAAATGATGACAAAGACACACAAAATCGCAACAGCGGCAAACAAAACTTTCTTTAGAACACAAACCACAAAGATGGCACAAACATTAAAAAAACGAAAAAGGATGAAGAGGAAACAGGAATCACAAACCAACCACAGGGACACAAAACAACAAAAGGGAAAAATCAAGAGAAAATGAGCCAACTTTGGACAAAAATGACAGCGAAGAGGTAGAAATCCACCATGGATCAGCTGCACACACACAACCCACGTCCTCTAGTCTGGATAGTCTTACTCATGTTGAGCAGAGGGGCTCTTTTACATTTTGTTGTGCATCCCTCTACAGTCTGCAGCCGCCCGTCTCCCGTTTGAATCCAATCAGCACGGGGAGCCAGCACTGACCTTGAAGCAGAGGAACCCACACACACCAGAGCACATCTGCGCACGTATTTAAAATCTGAATGCACAGGTCCCCGTTCATCATAAATATTTATTCCTGCCCATTCAGGCAAAGAGGAAGTAAACAAACGGGACATACAGGCAGACACCACAGCCCCACAGCAGAGGAAGAGGAACCTGGCGTGAGTGGACAGGTGTGTCCGGTTATCAGACATCTCGGGTTTGCAGAGATAAGGCAGTTTAGCACTAGTGACAAGCTCTACTCTTTCCTAATGTTATCAGTGCAGGTCGATTCACTGCTGGTAGAAAACACACAGAAAAGTCACAGTTAAGCCACTAAAGACAGAGAGGCACAGGAAGCCACACATGGGATGGTCACAAATAAGCAAGTTTGATCCCAGCTCCCTGTTTTGACCCCAGACAAATCATCTAGTAACACATTTTTCTGTCACCTCACTCAAAAAAAGAGTAAGTATTGTTATTCCAGGTCTTGCTCAGTATGCTATCCCTGTATCATCCTCCAAACAAAGTTTAAGCTGTTCCCAGTGTTTTGAAAAAAAATGAGGAAACGATGAATCAACATTATGAACAGAAACAAAATCTATTCCAAATGTTTTGATCTGTCAGCTACTTAGAATAGACCACAGGATTATACAAAAGGATTTCACAGAAAAGAAAATAAGAGTGACGCATCTGCCTGTTGATACTTGAATAAATTTAGATCTCATTTTCCGACCAATTAGTTTAAACAACCAGCGAGCTGCATAAAGGTCCCCCCACACTCCCCCTTATGGGCCACCCTATTCTTTGAAATAAACCACTAATCATTCTTAATTGCAGTCTTATTAATGCTGAACACTCGCAAATATTTCTAAATGAGCTCAGCTCATTATCTTAACAACCTGAAGTAAAGTTAAAAAAAAAAGAGAATCTCGGGCCGAGGAGCCATCCCATCATTTCCAAAAGAGCAAAGACCAAAGGGCTTCAAGGTTTGGTGCTGGCTGTTTACGGCCCTCTTTCCTTCACTTCTGCCAATTATTTTGTTCCCTTCAGCCAATTTAAACCTTTAAGCTTTCTTAAAATCATCCCGCTGATGGCTACGATTAATAAAAGACAATATCATCAGGGTTTGCGCGGCTCTAATCCCAGAGATCCAGCCTCCCCTCAGCCCTGGCTTCCCTCCAGTCCAGTCCATCAGCTCGGACCGGGCCTGTGCAGCGTTGCCCAGGTGGAGCTCAACCGGCTCCCATCACTCCATTTAAACACGTTTCCATCTATATGTTAATGCAACCACAGGTGACAAGCCAATCTACAAGTGATACGCGTTCACCCGAGCGTGAAATTGGGGAAGCACAAACAAAAATAAGGATGAGAGCACAGCTTGAGGAGCGTTTTGGCTTCATGCGCTGTTTTAAGGCCTGACGGCGTGGGCGGGATTGACTCGGCTGCTTGCCGCTTGCCGTCTTGTCGTTTGAACAGGCCGGACAGGGTGTGTGTTGTCAATGTGGCGAACCGTGAGCCAACGCGTGCGACCGCCCGGCCGGGGGCCAAGTGGGAAGAAGACATCGACCGGCAGCCACCTGGAGCTGAGTTGATTGGCTTGAAGGGGGGGGGGACCATCAAAGAAGCCACCCGGAGGTGGAGATGGCGGCGGGAGGTGTGACGGCAAGCGCTGAGGTTAGAGAAGCTGGAAAAACTGAGTTCTTAGTTCGTGTCCGGGCCTATGAGCGGAGAACAGGAAGTGCTGACTCAGGACGGCCGGCCAACAGAGGAGCCCATGGTGCTGGCATCTCCTGCTCACACACACACACACACAAATACACAGATACACACACGCTACAACGCTTCATAACAAACTGTTCCCAAGCATTTGGGAACACACACACACGCACACACATCCGCCAGTCGACACAGGTACGGGCCCACCAAAGAGCTGTGGTGGCCCAGAGTGGAAACAAACGCCCCTCCAGTTTTGGACAAATCCAAGTCTGAGCCGATTAAACGGATTCCTCCATGTAAATGATCCAGATGGTGAAAGATGCACCTGTTAAAGGAAGCTATTAAAGAAATCAGACGACTCCCGTGAGCAGCAGGGAGCAGGTGCAGGCCGGCCAGATCAGCCATACCTCCATTATCCCTTCAAAACAGAGAAGAGGAGCTCTGAAACCAGACTTTCAGGGGCTCCTTTCTTGTGCCACCTTGTGCGAGCGCGCTTTTGTTTGTGTGGAGGTAGTTGATATGTCTGATGGGAAGGTCAGAGAGCACGGAGTGGAAAAAGGAGTAGAGGAGGAGCGCCGGCTTTCTAAAGTCACAACAGCCCCGTGGATAACCGAGTCGGGGGGGAAATCGGAGCTTAAAGTTCAAAGTTTGACAGATTTAAGATGAGAAAGTTCTTCCTCTAAGTCTTCTGTCTGTTTGGCTCCGCGTGAGGCTTATATAAAGTTTAGCCAAGCAAAAAAACAAAGGAGGAGGTATATCCTTTTACAGAAATGAGACATTTCAGTTAGAAGCCTCCAGTATTTGGTTAACGTGCCTAAAGCCGTTTATGCTCCTCAGTGAGTGAGCCACAAATGAGCCATTCAGACACAATTGGACAATTGGAGATTAGTGGAGTCAGGTGTAATGCATGAGGTGCGTTTGTCACTGTACGACGCGTTATGCTGTCCAAAGCCTCACATCACCAGACTGACGACACTCGTTTTGGATTTTTTCTGGAACTAAATCAGATGAAGTAATTGTCTAACCATTCTATGCTCCTTAAGGTCCATGATTTGTGCACAATCTTAGAAGAGAGGCTCATTCTTTTAGCTCCTCCCACGGGTTTTCTGAAAATCTGAACTTTTACTTCACAGTTTCTCCTCATCTAATCCTTAATTAAATCTTAATAGAGATGAACAGAAGATGAACAGAATGGAGACCAAGCTATGAAATAAAAATGCTGATACCATGCATGTATTCGTTTTCCTTAATGGACGGTTTTTACTTCAGGCAGGAATCCAGAAAAGGTGACAAAACTTTGCCCCGTCCGTCTTAATGTCCCCGACAAGCCTAGTGAGGCACCTCCATTATCACTGCCCTGCTCAGGAGTGAGGCTATTTCCGCTATTTCGGCGGGGTGGAGGAGAGCACACACAGGATGCTGTTGTGAGGTGGCACCTCAGAAGTAAAAAAGTGTAGCTCTTTGCTAATGTGCAAGCGTGGGGGGGAAAAAGCAGCGGAGAAATCCAAACTCAGGGCAGCAAACCGATCAATAAGCGTCGAGACTGAGGCAACAGAGGACCTTCAAGGAGTCATGGAGGGACAGTTGTTACTCAGCAGCTTCTTTTTTTGGGAGAAATCTGAAAACAGGCTTGTCTTTCTTTTTTTTTTATTCCTCCCTGGCTGCCTTTTCCTGCTCATCCTTGCAGAGACTGAAGCGTTGCTCTCCACTCCTGAAGAGATGCTTTGGAAATAAAGATAGAAATAAATTGCAGCTTATCCAAAATCCCCGAATACGTGGGTAAATCTACCCCTAGTCCAGATCGGACATGTAAAAATAAGGTCTGACTTCCTGCTTCCAGCCTTAAACTGGCTCCAATGTCTCACCTGCAGGCTCTGAATGAAACACAAAGATAAGTGTAGGGGTCAAGAACCTCAATTCCCTTTAAAGGACCAGACTTAACGCCTTTCTTCAACTTTTCTGCGCATTTTGAAAAGCGACACGTGCACGAGCCACCAGAGATAAGCAGCCGAAATGGATAATGGGGTCATTCCTGTATAAAACCCAAACATTAATCTGTGTCCGCGACCAAATGTCAAACAAATATTTGCAGTGGCCAACAGATCAAGGATTCCTGCCTCCGCTCGACAAGTCTCAGAAAGCGGCACAAAACCTCCCTATAATCGGCTTTAAAGCTCCTCTAAGTCTCTCTGTTGCCGTTCACGGCCGCGCCGGAAACCGCTGGAACACTTTATAGATGTCTCCATCTTCAACATCTCTCCGAATCCCTCTATTCCGGTCGGACTCTGAAAGTCCTCAGAAACTGTTTGGCCTCTGATAGCGGAGAACAGAGCCAAACTTTTTCTTTTTAAAAAAGGGACACACAGTTCATTTGGAGTAAGCGGTTTGCTCACACCGTCAGGCAGCAGAGAAAACAGCAGAAAGAAAAGAAAGCACAAACCACCTTCGAACAAGTGCGTGCCATCTGAACCCACGGCAACAAAAGGAAGCTTACATAAGCCCCGCCGGGCCGGCCTCGCTGACCGCTCAGCCCTGTCCGCCGCTCCTGCTCTCGGGGGCAGACATTAGCAGAACCCAGAGAGCACGCCGCGCGTCCAGAGGGAGGCGGGCCCGGTGGATGACCGCCGGGGTTTGTTGCCGGGTTCCGGGAACGGCTTCGCTGGTCACAAAGACTGAGCAAGGCTCTCCCGCTCAGCGCCCGGAGACAGGGAAGCCTCAAAGTCCAGGGTGGGCAGGAATGCCCTGAATAGCCGTTACGTAAAGCGGCCAGCCCCGGTAGGACGGGCACAGGGCCGCCCGCCGCCCCCACAGGGCCAAGCTGGACCTGAACGCCGTCCAGGGGCCGGACGTCCAGACCCTAACCCTAACCCTAACCTTATGGAAACGTGCTGCCCGTGTGCCCTCAAATCTCCGAGACCCAAACACTCCCCTCAAACTTTTCTAGTCAGATTTTATATTTCCCGTCTCTCAGTCACTCCGAGGCCGTCATTTGTCATCTCTGCTTATCATCCAAGTCTCTTCTGCAATTCTCTCTGCCTTTTTACGTCCTTTAGAGTCCGGTTTGAATCGTCTGTTGGGCCATTGTGCGCTTTCCTTTCCTCACATTTGTCTTTTAGTGGTTGGTTTGATTAAAACTGGTTCTTAATTTAGTCTTTTTATACTCATTTTTTTCTACAGTCTGTTGTTATGGTGATTGTTTTTAGCTTCTCTGTAGCAGTTTTATATCTCTGTCTGTTTTAATAGTCTGTCTATTAATAGCTGGGTTTTTTGTTGTCATTTAAAGGACTGTAATAAAACTTTATGCTGATTATTTGGTTACGTGAGCCACATAAGCAACAGGGCCTACGGGCCTGTTGACCGAGTGTGAGAAACCAGCCTCTTCCATTTGACCGGCTTCAATAACAGAGCAGAAACAGTCAGTAACACGCCCACCCAAACGGTCAGAAGATAAGCTTTCAAAGCTCGCAGCCTTTCAGCGTAAGCACGCCGCACCTTTCAGCACTTTCCTCTCATGGACTTCCAAAAACAACAGCGTGGGCAGCTCTCGGCCGGAGCCAGACCTCTGCGTCCCCGTTTCCGCTCGCCAGCAGCCACCCAGAGAGCACCGGGACTGACCCCGCTGACCTGACCCAGATATTAACCCAAGCCTCCAGATGTGCTGCGCTGGGATTACTCCACCACTCCAGCGGGCTCCACATGCTTTCCTAATGAGGCATCCTAAAATGACCCCGGAGACACAGCCCACTGCTCGTCCCGCTATCGGACCCTGTATCAGCCGGGCTCTTATCTGCTGAGGGAAGAGGAATAAAAACATCATGGACGGTGGCGGTTATGTGGAGACACCAGAGTCAAAAGTAAAACCGGACACCATCAAGTGAACAGTCGGACTTTCTGTTTGTCTGAAAAGCCTCTGAGCAGTTTGCAGAGAGTCCAGCCAAACCAAACCAAACCAAACCCGGGATATTTTAGGTACGGGGAAGAACTCCATCTTCTCCTCGGTGTCAACTGCATCTGCCAACTTACTCAGAGGAGTGACATCCCCTCTGCTGAGCTGATTCTCTAAAAGGGGAAGAAAACATGCAAGTCTCTTCTTCCCCAACCTGACCTGCACCTGCTTGTAGAGAGGGAAAAAGAAGAAGGTGGCAGCTTCACTTCAACTCCTGACCACATTTACAGCAGAATGTTGCAGAAGCGCCACGGTATTAGAGAATTTAACTCATTGTCTGCATCAATGTAGCTATTGTAGCCTCTGCATTCTTTCGGCGGCTTCAATTTCCAACTTGCGTCGCGTCGGCAAGTTACAAACTTCACCGCAAACGACACAAAGCACAAAACCCCCCGATGACGCACGGCACGACGAGGCAAAAGTCTGGCAAGTTTGATCGGCCTGCTAAGTAGCTCGAATTTTGCAAGAGATCAAGAAGGGACACAAAATAAACAAAAAAAAAAAAAAAAAAAAAGCAGCGCTGCCCTGCAGCCTACCATTTTGATGCAGCGTTTCGAGGCTCAAAGGAGTCCCAGAATAACTCCTTTCGCTCCGGTTTCCCCCTCGCCATGAAAATGACCGTCGGATAGTCACATTTCTTCAGTTTTTGTCTTCTCCCTCAGTCTCTTTTCCCCCCGTGCTGCCGTAGCGTTCAGACAGACAAAAATGCAGAGGCTGCTTTTGCAGGAGGAATTGGTGATTGGAGCTCGGGGATCATATGGGCTTTTTGTCAGACGTTTTTAAAGGGACACGGTACTGTTTTAATATCGTCTCGTTGCGATTCGGGCGCATTTTCTTCCTACTGTACGGGGGAGGTTTGGGCGGCGGGGGAAGGACACGCGGCCATATGGCGCAAACGCCGGGTGCGCGTCCTCGCGCTGTGCGCCCCGGCCGCGTGACGTCAGCGGCGCGCAGACACATGCGGAGGTCAGGGAGTTCAGTCGTTTCCCACATTACCGCGCTCACTGCGGACCCACCTGCACGTCAACCGCAAATTAGCGCCACAAAGCCCGGCCAGCACCACTTACCCCGAGGTGGGACTGTGCCTGTGCATCCCGGGGATGTATTTCTCTTTTTTTATTTATTTGGAAATAGAGTAAAACCTAAAATATAACAGTATGAGAAACATTTTGCAGAAAATTTCCATTGAGGTCTATCAAGACAAATCTGTATTACAGGACCAAAAGTGAATAGAAAATGATTAAACAGCTGTGTTTCAAATTATACAAAAAAAAAAAACAACAGCAACCAAAAAGGAGCAATGAAGAGAGCGACAATTACTTAAGACTAATTTCAATTTAAAACATTTCAGTCTTTTCTGTTTTGCAGTGGTATTTTATGTCCGGGCCCCTGAGGTCACTCTGAGTAAGTTGGCCCCAAACAGGACGGAGCCCTGAGGTCAGACTCAGAGCAGCCATGTGCTGTGGATCCTCCTGTCGATGGGTTTGATGCAGAATCCCACCATGAACACGTCACCGGCCCACCAGTATTTATTTGACAAATAATGCTAAATAACCTTTTTCTTTAATCTTTTATCCAACCAAAACATACCCACTAATGGTATGAGCAGCTTCCCAACTCTCTATAAAATCATGTTTTATTCAGGCTCCCCTGTAGTATCATCACTGCTATTGATTCAAGTTGTTTGCCTTTCATTTAGGGTTTTGGGAGCTAATAATAAATTCTTCTTTCTGCATGACAGGAACAGATCCATACCTTTCGGTTACTTGTGGAATACAATCAACCACAAATAAACGTAAAATATTTTAAAAAGCTATGACGCACTGATGTGCATAGATTGCATTTATCTGATTTTCATTGCACATTTTCAGCTGGTTTCAGTGATAGATGACAAACAGCAGGAACAAGAAAAGTTCTAAAAGACTGAAGTCAAACCAAAAACAAAACTAACAACAAACCAATAAAGACAGATGGTCAAAGATTTATTAAAGTAAACATTCACAACTGTTTCTGTAAAATCAGAGATTCTATACTCTGAGCACAGTTTTGACATTCATGGCTCCTCATAAAGGAAATGGAAACAGTTACAGAAAGACGTGCCTTTTTTTCCCTCCAACCTTATCTTGATAACAGAAACCCCTTAACTCAGAAACATCCAAGCAACGATGTCCGTGTGACATTGAAACACTTCAGTATATAAAAGGCAGCAGTAGAAAACGTATACACAAATATATTATTATGCAAGTTATTTGCAGCTTATTTCCCCATTAGAGCGATTCTGACAGATCTTTCACCAGCTGGTCTCACCTATGACAGTCACTAAAAAGAAGTTTGTTTTGTTTTTATGTAAGCATATCCAGAGTTTTTTTTTTTAAACATAGACTAAAACATTCATTTTACAAAATGATGTACAGTACATTATCGAAACATTCAGCAGATGGAGCTGGGTCTGCTCTGCGGCTGATCGGAGGCAGCAGATGTGCTGCGTGGGCTCAGCTGTAGCGGCTGCTGCTGCCGCTGCGGCTCCTGTGTCTGGAAGAGCTGTGGCTGGACGAGCGGTACGAGCTGCACGACACAGAGGTTACGCTGGCACGCCTCCTCACACAGGACGTAGGCAAAAAAAAAAACTGCACCCGGAGTTATCTAAGTCTCACCGTGAGCGGCGCTCGGAGCTCCTGTAGCTGTGGCTCCTCCTCCGCCCTCGCCTCCGGCTCGCGCTGCGGCTCCGGCTGGAGTAGCTGTCGTACGAGTCCGACCTGCGTTAACGTAGAGCCGCCGGACAGCGGAGGAACGGCGTGAGGCATGTTCGCAGAATGACACTCGACTTACAGCAGTTTGACGCGTAAAGACAGCCTCACAGACCTGGACCTCCTACGGCGATACGAGCAGCTTCGGGAAAGACTCCGGCTGTACGTCCGGCTGAGAGGAGAACAGAGGGGGGGGCTTTCATTATACATTATAGGGGAACAAAGAGGAATGGAGCTTTTGGGCCGGGTGTTTACACAATATTCTTAAACAAAAAAAACACAAAAAGTTGCCCGAACTGGGAACGAGGTTTGTGATGGTTTACCTGTGGCTCCTGTAGCTCCTGTAGGTGCTGCTGCGCGAGCGGGAGCGTCCTCGCCCGCGTCTCCTCCGACTCCGGCTGCGGCTTCTGTAAAATAAACTAAACGTGTCAGAAGTGACTGGAACAAAGTGTGTCGACTGGACCCCGGTTCTGCTCCGGCTGTCGATGCTGTTGGTGCTGATCTGATTTGAACCCGCTCTCACCTGGAGGAGTAGCTGGAGCTGTGGGACCTGCTCCGGGAGCGGCTGGAGGAGCGGGACCAGCCCCGGGAGCGGGAGCGCTGGCTGGACGCTGAGCGGGACTGTCTAGACGTGGACCTGGACTTCTTGGGGGATCGGGCGTGAGAGGTTCCTTTGGCCTTTCCCACGGAGGGGGAGCTTTCCTCGCTGGAGCTTTCTTGGTTTCTTGGCCTCTGGTTGAGCCGCGCCGTCTTCCGGACCTCGTCGAACAGGGAACCGGGCCGGACGCGGCTTTTGCTCTTGATCTCCATCTTCACCCCCTGCGCGTGGGGGGTCTGGCTCTCCTGAACTTGCGGGCTCTTGGCGGAGGCGGCCGGCCTGACGGCGCTGTGCAGCGCTGGCGTGCCCTTCAGCGGCCTCCATTTGAAGTTGACCCCACCCTTGCCGGCCGGGGCTTCGTCCTGCGGCCGGCCGGCGGTCGTGGAAGTGGCGGCGGACTCTTTTACCTGAGCCGTGCCGTCGGTAGCTGCCGTTTCTGCGGGCTTTGAGGTAGATTTTAGGGCCGACTCAGGTGCTTTGTTGAAGGAGCCGCGTGCGAGTGGAGGCTGGACGATATCCCCACCGCGCTCCGGAGTGCAAATGTCCATATCTAAAGAGCCCTGCTCTTTGACGCCTGGCAGCTGAGGGGCGTTTGCACTGTGCCTGTGGGACGACGGCGGATGAGGCTCCAAATGTTTAGTGTTTTTGTTACTTTCTTTTGACCTTTGCTGACCTCTTTCTTCTTTAGTGGCATCCTTGATCAAATCAGTTGAATTTTGGTTGTTATGTAACATATTCTTATCAGGATTGTCTTTAACTACTAGAGGACTGTGTTTTTCCCTTTTAAATTCATCACATTCTTCCTCCTCTCCAAACTCTAAAGGCGGCTGCCAGTGGAAAGTCTCTTTCAGTTTCTGATGTTTTCTCTTGGATTTCTTTGCTTTATCTTTACTGTGATGAGAACCAGTCTTACTCTCACCTTTCCTCTTATGCTTATGCTTCCGTTTGGCTTTCCTCTTACTTTTGTGCTTCTGGGGCTGTGCAGTATTCTCAGGACTTTCATCTGATGGACCAGAAGAGGGAGCAGGAGCAGCAATCTTATAAGCCAGAGTGAGCCCTGCCTCTGACGTATTCTTCAGACCTTCAGAGTCGGATTCTGAAGTAGCCTCTCCTTCCTCCTTTTCAGAAATCGCTAATATCCTGCTGGTTATATTTTCGGGATCGCTCTCTGAATTCCACCCAGTGAGATCAGACAGTTTCTTGTTAAGCGGTTCTGCAGGCTGAGCAGCTTGCTTCTGCTTTTTTAATGGCACAGCACTGTGGCTTTGGCTCACTTTGTCACTGTCACTATCCCATTCACATTTGTTATTGAAGCTCTCTGCCTGCAGCACACTGTAATATTTTCTTTTAGAACCATGTGAATCTGGGACACAAGGATAGATTTCCTTCTCTATAAAGCTGCTAACATGACTGAGCTCGCTGCCTGTGCCTTTCTCTGAGCCCGAGAGACCATCCTGGCTACTTCTGAGTGAAATATACTTGTCTACATTTTTTAGCCTCTTCAGAGAACTGTGATACTCGTTCCAACCCTTATCTGATGAAGGTTTCTTGTTGCTACTTGCTTTCTGGGACTTTTCAGAGTCTGACCTGTTGTAGGACGTTGACCTGCTCTTGTACTGATGAGAGGATCTTGACCTGGACCTACTAGGACTTCTGCTCTGGGAGCGACTGTAAGAACGACTGTAGGACCTGCTTCTGGATGACCTGCTCGGCGAACGCCGCCTTAGTCTGGAGACTTTTCGGTCTTTGCCGTCACCATGCCCAGACTTTGGTGCAACTGAAGTCTGAACCTTTTCTGTGACGTTTGCGGCTGTTGGTTCAGTGGAGAGGGTGTTACTGGAGACGACTTTAGCTTTAATTTCCTGAATGTGAATGTAGGAAGGTTTCCACGGTTTCTGGCCCGGTTTCCAGCGGGAGGGAGGAGGGCTATCACTAAGCGGGATCACAGGGACCTTATCAGGAACCGGAACTCCCGGCAGTCTGGGGACGGGGATGCTCTTGCTGTCAGGGAGCTTCTCAGGTACGTGGACCGGGGCGTCCGGTTTGGACTTGCCCGTTTTTCTCCTTTTCGGAGACCTGGATGAACTCCTTTTTCTAGATGGTGACAAAGATCTGGACCTGTACCGAGACCTTGACCTGGACCGGGATTCAGAATAGGATTGAGACCTGGATCTAGATAAATATCGACTTCTAGACCTAGAGAAGCTTCTGGATCTGGAATAAGACCTGGATCTTTCTCGGGACCTGGACCGACTGGATGCGTAGGACCTAGAATATGAGCGTGAAAAAGACGGGGAGGACCTCCGCCTCTTCCTGGTTGACGAATGATGGGGGCTCGAAGGAGAACGAGTTGGCGAGTGCGATCTTCTGGACCTCTTCCCTGAAGACGCTGACCTTTCGCCATCTGACAAGTATTTTTTCTTAGGTTTGCTCTTGGAGACCTTCTTCTTGTCGTGCTTGTGCCTTTTTGCTTTCTTCTTGCGCTTGTTTTTCTTCTTCTCCTTTTTTGGCTGCCGGCGCTGGCTTGACCTCTCAGAGCTGCGGTCCGAGGAGTGATCAGCAGACCGAGACCACGCGGAGTCACTTCTGTTATCCCATCTGCTTGAGGAATGGTCATTCAATCTGTTAAGTGAAAAGATGTGTGAAGGAAAAAAAGGGGGAAAACTGCATCTAAAGGCAGGAGGTAAACTACAAGTCATACTTGTCCCCTTTGCTCCACCTCTCCACGCTCGGGGGCTGATAGTTTTTGGTCCTTTTCATTTCCTCCTTCCAATGTGGTGGAGTCTCACTGCTTCCTCGCTCCTCCACGGACGCAGAGCGTGACTTAGACTGTGTGGGAGTGTGATATCTCTGAAAGAGAGGTATAGAAGATCTGTCACCCGCTTTATATTTGCTGTTTGCAATCAATTCATTTCTATGTTTGTGATCAGCTTCTAGAAAACACGTGACATTATCAGTTTAGAGTATATGATTGTGAAAGTAATTTCAACCCAAAGCATATCCTAAGCAATATGGGTTAAAAAAAAATGTTTTTTTAATTCCAGGGACTTAACATCATGCTATCAATCTTTGATTGCATTGTAGGGATTTGCGTACAATTGTTCCTCTGCCTTTGATCTTCCGTCCAGACTTTGACACAGAAGGTTTCTGGTCGGCTGGAACAGCTGCTTCTTCTTCTTTAATGCTGAAAATAAAAGATGAAATGTTAGATTAAGCCCCGTCAGTTGTTAAGGTGTCCCCTGCTGAATGTGTATAACTAACACTTCTGCTTTCACTTCCTGAGACGGCATGTCCCGTCGCAGCAGGAAGCGATTCTCTGGCACAGGTGGGATTTCCTCCGGCCGCACCACGGGCTTCTCCCTCTTCACTCCCTGCTCCTTCTCTTCTTCCACTTCATTCTCTCCCTCCAGAAGCTCTTCTTCCCCTGGCCTGTGGGAGCTGTGACAACACGGTGTGTTAGGATGCAGGGCAGCTGCTGCTGAGGCATGTACAATGTGACAGAAATAAAAGTGACCTTTGTTTGGAGGGCTGAACGTCCATATTCTTCTCCCCCTTTGTTGTCCTCCTTTTCTTTTTGGACCGTTTACTCTTTGCATGTCTTTTGTGCTTGTAATGTTTGTGCTTTTTATCTGCCTCACTGTCAGAGTCCACCGACGAGCAGAAGTGGGAGGACGAGCCATTAGAGCTGAGGCACGAGTCAGCAGAATGGGAGCCTCTTTTCCGCTTGTCTTCAAGCACTGAAGGTGAAGGTAGAAAACATTGAATGCTATCAAATCAAAAGTCTTTTAGGGGTAGAGATGAGTGACACGATAAAGCCTTTATTGTTGCTCTCAGGTCGGTTGATGCTATCACAGAGCCCGTCTTGCTGATTCACACTGAACAAAAGATCAGGTTACATGCCCAAGACTGATGCCAGTGGAAGACGTCATCGGGCTCTTTCAAACAACAAACCAACCCTTTCCCTTTTTCAAAGGTTACCGTCTTCAGTGTTACTAAATAACCATTAACAAATAAACAGATAGCTAGACACAGTAGAAACGGCAACATGTGGTGCATGGTGGGCTGCCACTTGGAGGCAGCCTCATACCTTTTTGGAACAATCTAAGCTGTGAGCAGGGTTTGTGTAGCTCTTATATCTTTGCTCTACAGTGCGAGAAGTCAGTGGTGGACCGAGAGCTCCCCTGTGATGGAGTAAAACTAAGTTTGAGGTTTTCCTCTTGTGAGGTTTCATCTTCTTTTGGATGAATGACGGAGAAATAAAACAGCTCCAGGGGTAAAACCCCATCATTAGAGGCAGTATGGGTAGAGGGAAGGAGTGACTGTCTCTGTAAGGGATCTTCGATATAACTGATGGATTTAGCTGAGGTGAAGGAGTTCTGAATAGATCTATTACTCCAGGACACAGACTGGTGATTAGAGGCTGTCACTTTCCAGGTACCAGCCAGGTACCAGCAATTTGCCCTGTCTCTGTTTCAAACTGCAGCTGCAGGATTTCCAACACACAAATCAATGGACTATGGCCATCTTGTGTGAGTATATTAGTATTAGTATATTTTTTGTGAAAGCAGACACGCCGAAGAACTGACCATCATTTGCAGACTTTGTGATCAGCTGCCCACAGTCCATCACCCTCACATCAGCATACGGTCTGCTAGCTGAATCAGTCTTCAGCCCTTCAATCTTCTTTATCACTTCAAAGCCAGAGATTACGAGACCAAAGACGACGTGGACTCTGCAAAAACAGGAATAAAGTTTATGCCCGTAACGATAGGACTACACTCTGATCACTCATCTTCCTACGGTGAGATTAAACATGATAAAAACTTTTAGATTAATCTAAAATAAATATAAAATTCTTGGCCACAACTGAAAAGAAAATGTTGATGGTAGGACGTCAGTCCTTCCCGTTAAAATTCAAACAACTAGGTTTTTTGACATTTTAAACAGATTTTTTAAAACCTCCACAGATATCCTATGTTGTATGGACAGGTTACAAAGTAATGACCAAGGCAGAGTTTCCGATTAACAACAAGCGTAAATCTGAAAGCATCATTGAGGAAGAATTTGGGTAAACTTACCCATCAAGATGAGGTGCCATCTTGGTTGTGCTGTTTATGGATAATCCAGCAGTAAGACAAGCAGGAAGTCAACCAGTCAAAGTGGTGGGTCATGAAAAAGGTGGAAAAAGGGTGGAGGGGGGATCGAATGAGAAAACAAGTAATCGATGACATCTGGGTGGGTAGAACGTGTTAGACCACCCTTTGTAGAAATTTGATTGCAAACAACTTAGAAAAAAAAAACTCTTAAAATCTTTTATTGAGAATTACATTTGAATAATTCTATGTGATCAAATCAAATCTCCATCTAGATTTCCTCCTTCATAGTCGATGGAGTATTTAATCATGGAGGAAACTTCAGAATTCAAACTCAAGGTGACCTGTTTTACAGGTAAAAAGGAGCTCTATGCGAGTCACCTCAAGCTATTTGTGGAATGTTTAAGACTACAAAAACACATAGTTTGCGAAGCATATTTGCAAATGTGAACTACTAAATGAAAAATACAGTTAGGAGAGAGAGAAGCACAGCCTTTGAAACACATTACCTTGGAAGGGCAGGATGCTAGAGTTTCTGTAAATTTTACACAAAAACGGCAAGAGAAAAAAAAATGTAACACATTTGTAGGTGAGAAAGAATTAATCCAATGTTTCTCTGCACTTTGAAATCTAACTGCACACAGAGATGGGACTTTTGATCGTCACACTCAATGACAAATTCTACTCTGCAGGTTCACAAGAGGAAGGAACAGGAAGCAAAAACTAAAATCAAACTCCATTAATAATGAAAGGTAAGTGCTGTATTTTTAAATTAAAAAAGTGCTCACATGAAAAACTGTGAACCATTGGTGTCCTTCCCACGATTGGCCATCGACAACAGGAAAGCTCTGTCGTGTTTGAGGGAAAGATTTTCATCTGTTGGGTACAGAGAAAGAGGAATCAAGGTCTCAAAATGTGTTTTTCTCAGTGTGAGGAAATATTAAAGGGGAAAGAAATCTGCATAATTTAGGCATAAAGTCTTTGTGCTGTTCCACCAAGCATTTCGTCAGCTCTTTCGATAAGACAGAATTTTCTTCTTACTTTTCAGGAGCAAAAATCTAGTGACTTGATGTATTTTAAGGTAATAGCTGAATATTTTACATCACCTTCCACTTACTGCTTCCAGGTCCAATTATAATTACATTATTATTACATAGGAATCCATTTGCTGAGAAGTTCGAGTTACCTTTATGGACAATGAGAACCCATTTAACCACATTTATAAAAGACAATAAAAGTGTGTGAGCTCCCATTCAAAAGGGAATCAAAACTAAACTCTCCTAGACTTTAGAAAGAGAAGGATGGAAAAGGCAAACTGGGCATGTTAAGTATATCCATGTGTAACCAAATAAGCACCTCTTGGTCCCATGTTTTTAATCAATGTAGCAGTAAGACATCCAAACCTCTAAGAACCACCAGCTAGACTTTTTTTTTGTGTGGTATTAACACACAATATGTTTAAGCTGCCCTTCAACACGTTACCAGACAACGGAAGATCCCGTTTTCTGTCCCTGAGATAATCACTTTCGTGAACGGTTTCAAGTAGAGATGGAAGGACACCAGGCTGAAGGTAATTATTCAGGCTCAATCCTTGGCAACAGCATGTTTAGTTATGTGCTTGTCATTAAATAAGAGACGTTATGAGCAGTCATATGCTTACTGTGAATACTCAAGACGATTCCCGCTCTACTTACACAGACTCAATCTACAGTCAGTGAGACACTTATCCTGGGAGAGCTTTATCTTTTTAAACATGAACAGACTCCTGGGCTATCTATGGTAAAGATTTTCAGACTAGTTGTGACTTTTAAAAGTACATAGTAGTTCCTGTAAAACAAACTAAAGGTTGGGAGGAATGGTGGTATCATAAAGATTAATTTAAAATGGAATGAATCATAAAGATTAAATTGACCCAGTTACATTTAGAAAAAAAAAAGTCAACTGTGACGCTGGACTTTTTTGTTGTAGATTTGAAGATTTGAAAAAACAAATAAAAGTCAGAAAAAATCTTAGTTGCCTAATGGTATTTCAATCAAATGAATGTCAATCAAGCTGTATTATCCCCAGTGTGGAACATGAAATTGGCAGACAAATTAACTACAAATGGGGCATTTCTAGGAGGTCATGTTTATAGTTGTGTAGCTATAAATACAACACATTTACATAGACAGTAATTCGAGCAGCCAGAGGCATTGGGGCACTAACAGGGCAGCTGATTGAAAAATCCTTGAGGGCGTATGTGGACTGCAGGGAGCATGTGAACACTTGTTACTGACTTAGGAAGGTGATGGTGACTATGCTGACAAAGTGTTACTGAACTGTGTACATCTCTTACCTTCTCATTTTGCAAAAGACCACTCTATAAATAAAAGAATATGTTGAAAAATTTAGGCAGGAAGAATGTAGCTTTCAGTAAAGAGAATGGCTGCTTCCCATGCTGATTTAATATATAGTTCACAAATAATCATTTCTAAAAAATAGAGCACAGCTCTTTACATTAGAAAAAGAAGGTAAACTGAGACACATGAATGGAAAATTCAGACAGGACCTGTGGTTACTGCTACAAGCACATGCAATGAGTATAACATCGTTTGTACGCACATTAAAGAGATCTATGAGAACTTCTAACTATTAATGAACAATTCCAATACCTTCAAAGTAGCCACCGTATATGGATTCTCCTCCTCTTCCATTTCCTACAAAGGTTAACAAATAAACACAAATAAACCTCAATTCCTTTCTGTCGCATGTTCATAATTTTGTCATGACATCATTGGAAAAAGTGCTGCCTTCACAGCTCTTTGAAGTCACAAACAAATGATGACTACAAGCTATCTGAGCACATTTTTGTAGCTACAGCCCCAGTCAGGAAACAATACCTCTCCGGGATGTCTGCCATAATCAACCACAACAAAGCCAGCGCACATGTTAATGCTGCCTCAACACTTTAATGAGCCTAATAGTAACTAATTCAAACTCTGGCACCACTTTATTTTTCTCGTTGTTTAATGAACTTTTTGTGTGAATAATTGACAGATTTGTGCACGCATTAGTTAATGATGGGCATTCAGTAATGCTCACATTGAAACATAGATTGGTTAGCGTTATATTACCTTCTGTGAAGTCGCCTCCTTGGATCATAAAGTTTTTCACAACTCTGTGAAATGTGGAGCCTTTGTAGCACAGCTTTTTCCCTGTGATTTTCCCAGTTCCCTTTTCCCCTGTAATAGCATGCATATAGAAATTCTATTCAACAGAGATATTTATTTTAGCCCACAGTGTTAAAAAAAAGGCTTGTGTGTAAACCAGATGACAAATTCTTGTCCCAAATGTTATAAAACAGGCCTATTGATAACAGTGGGAACTGTGGTCAGGAATTCTGGTTTGGACAGCCAAGTGCTGGATAGCAAAGCTTTAATAATAAAACTTCCAAAGTAATCATAGTTGTCCTGGAATTCTACCTTTTAGATTCTATTCCCCCGCTGAGGTGAAAGAAAACATGAAGACAGATATCCATTGGTAAACATCTCATCTTAAGAAAAATTAGTTTGGCTATTTAAATTAGATTTTTCGATTTGTAATATTTAGCTATTTATAATCAATGTTAGGTATTAGTTACATATGGACATCAATAATCAGGACAGATTAGAGACTTTGCTAAAAGTCACACCAAAATAACAGCAGTAGAACTGTGTATAGTACGATGTTCAGTGCATTAGTCTGACAAACAGCCAACTCTCATGTCTTCCAGCATCACATTTCCAGCAGCAAGGCATGGTGAAAAATGAGACGGAAGATCGATCGACTGCCTGCTGGCAGATTTATGGCTGTCTGTCTTTTGCAGGCTGCTACAGCCATGCTCCAAGGGATGAAATGTCCATCTTCAAAACCAAGTCCCTGCGATCTATGCAGACACTCCATTTTCAGATCTTTATGTCTCTCCTTACTGTTATAAGACCCAGCAAATAACCGCTGTAATGGATGTACCTTAGGTACCTGCAGACCCTCAGTGTCAGCTTCTTTTAGCATAAAAACAAAAAATATCGACAGAAAACTGGACTTCTGAAGAGTAAAAATGTTTGTGGACCCCCCCGACACACAATATATTCACCAAAGGTTAATGTAAAAGTCTTAAGTCAAACACATCCTGGTGTGAACATTACTCACCTGTGCACAAACAGAGAAAGTTTTTACTTGTCTTGGGGCAAATATCTGAGAAAAGCTGAAAGACTATGCGCCCAACTGTAAAGAAAGAAACAAAAAACACAGAATAGACAAAAATCAACACATTTTCCATTAAATGTTCAGATAATATTGGGCTTTGTTAACTCCACAACAAAAAAAACATGAGCATGATCAGCATACAAAGAGTACAATTAGGTAGACCTGATGTTCCTCCACAGCACAGTTTGAATTGGTTACTGGCACGTGTTTAAAGAGTTCCTGTGGTGAAGCTCAGACATTAAAGAAACTTCTCCACAGAAGTTCTGAACACACAAAAAGCTGTTTTACCCCAGCTCGGATATATCTTTATAACACCGGTCATGCTAATTTAACTCTAGCATCTATGCCACCCGAGCACCATCTTAAATTACATCCAGGCTACACTACTAATGCCAAAACAGGCCATCAAGCCCACACAAAAATGGCTCTTTTGTAAAAACAAAAGAATCAGATACAAAACAAACCACACAGGTACAATGTATGTTTGTTTTTTCTTAGATTGCACAACGCACGAAGAAAAGATGATACACTTTAAAAATCAAACCAGTCCTCTTTTCTGTTAAATTATAAGGACAAGCCTCACCTGGCTCCCGGTTGAGCTCCACATCAAAGTAGCACTGGGGGCGGTCTTTCACCCCCATTGTGATCAAAGTCCAGGCGACCTAAACATAGAAAGAGCACAAAAAATATATACAAAAAAAGCAAATAAGGAAGCCGACTTCTCTTAAAAAGTAAAGCATCGCAATTTTAGTAGTTCCTGATTTATAGAAAGCGTCATTTTTGAAAGGCTTGGAGTGGAGAACACATTCTAAAGACTAAAGCAGCCACGGAGAAAGGAAGCAGAGAGGAAAGAACGATGGGAGGGGAAAGAGAGAGATGGGGCCTATGGGGAAACGTGTTGTCAATGCAAATTCAGTACACATCACAACCATCTTGTCACATTTTCTTCTTAAAACGGTACTTACAATACCAATAGGACAGGGTTTTATAACAGCTTATAAACACTTATTACAAAATGACAATGAACTCTTTAAAAGTGTATTGTTTAATAAGTATAAACTTTAGGTGTTCACTCGAAAACAATTACCCAACAATATTAGTGTCATGACATTAATGAGCTCCACGTCTGACAAAGGACTGTAAGAGCAGCGTGGCCGCAGCCTGATTTAGCTCCAGCTGTCTGAGACCACCTGCTATAGGAATGCCTTATCAGATCAGCTTCCACACATATTCAATCACACAACAGAGAGCCCTTAGATTACTCAGCACAAAGGTGACATTATGTTCACATAATAGGAGTGTTTCAGGTGAAGTATCAAATAATGTGGATATAGAATCCACGTTATTTGATACTTATTTGAACATCTATTACATCTCAGTTGAAAAGCCAGCTCAACAGTGATGGGACTTATTAATTACATAAATGAATAATTGTCTGCGATGTTTTAGTATATGTATATAGAGAGAGATTTTATATTTGCATGAACTGTATCAGGTTTCATACCTTGATGAGCTTTATGAACTGGAAGTAAGATTCTTTAAATCGTCCCTGTTGAGTAAAGAAAGCAATTGTTTTCAAATTCAGTCACAACTGTAAAGAGCTCTTTAAAGTATTGACATTTTCTAAATGGTGCAAACAGCTAAGGGTGCTAACACTTGACTCTCAAGCAGTTATGTCATTCTTCTTTACACTACACACTTTCCAAAATCTTGCTGCTCGATATGGATGGATCATTTTGAGATTCTGAGCCACTGTGAGCTGTAACAGCTCAGATCTTCACGAAAATTTGAGAAAAAAGACGAGGACAATCTAGCTGAATTTGAAGTAAAACATTAAAAAACACTGTTTGTCCAAGCCAATTTTGGTTATCCAAATAAATTATCCTCATTTTCCATACAATGATGTGACGTAAAGTCTGGAAACAACAACCAATACTAGGACTATAAACTGTAAATATGACAAACATTTTACTTACGTGTTACTATTTTTCAAGCCAAGTACAAAAAGATGCAAATTCCTTCAAGCAACATCGCTAACAACAGCTAGCTTAAACGATAGCTCTTCCAAAATGGTTGAGCTAACCGTTTGTAGCTGGTTAAAGCTAGCGGAACGGCTCGCTCCCCTGCCACTATAACAATGACAATTTTGTCACATTTCGTCCAGACAAAAAATATAAATGAGTCAACCTACCTATACGCAGTAGCTAGCCAGAAAATTAGCTAGTCACTGACTGTCGATTAATTAGCTCATGCTAACTTTCTTTTTTAAGGTGCTCCTTTAAAGCTTCGTCAAACGCGCCGGGATCTAATTTGTCCCTACTGCTTTACCGTAGAAGATCTGTTGTGGTTGTTGTTGCAGGCTACTCATGAACAGAAATCCAGTTAGTTTTTTTCAGAACAAACACATTAAGTACATGTTATTATAGATCATAAGGGGTTTTCTAGTGATTATTAATTTCGTTATTAACTCCCATATCCGAAGCTGGCTCCCCGCCTGCAGAGTATTTCTTTGATATAATGCTATAGGAAGCTAACTTGAGTAGCTTTTTGATCAGGTGCAGCATGACTCCCAGAATAATGAGGTAAGATATAATAAGATGTAGCTAAAAATCGTATTTGCTTTACACTAAAGAAATAGACTAAACAAGCTGCTTATCTAAAAAAACAAACATGCTGAACAGATGGAGCTTCCTGCCTACGCATTAAAAAAGTATCGCTATTGTCTTCTATATAATGTTGTATCATTTCCTGGTATTTAATTGTATTAACCAACGTACTTTTGTTTGTAAAATCAATAATCGGATGTTGGACAAATCTTTGTTACGCTGTAAGTTAGTTATTACAGTGTCATGTGATCTTTCAGTTTTCGTTTTCAACAACTTTGTTGTGAACTACATTTTGTTGTCAGTCTAGTATTAAAGTCATACAGTAAACAATAGTTTGAATATTTGACATGATTAATGTCGAAGAAACAATGCTATAACATGTAAATATGATTTACTGCAGGAGTGCTGTGTTGAATTGAATTGGTGATGAATGATGTCTATTCAGTCTTACTAAGTATAGTATTTTTTCCTCTGCCCCATGCAGGTTTTGTGTTCTTCATGGCTGCTGTGGATCATGTCTCTGATCTTGTTTGCCTTTGTGGTTCGGGTCAGGGATGGACTCCCCCTGTCAGCCTCCACAGACTTTGAGCACAACCAAGAGCTCCAGGAGAGGAAGCACCAGCTCAGAACCATCAGCAAGTCGTTGGCCCGCTTCCCTGATCGGGGTACCGTTAAGGGGAAGCAGCTCAATATATAGTAAGGGTTCAGGAGAGCAGCAGCAGACTGATTCCCAGCAAAAACACACACTTTAAAGCAGCCCTGTGTGGATTTATATTTGTGATGCATTGTGCAGACATGGTGGATGTCCATGTGAGCGCAGTGGCATCGCTGTCAAAGGGCGTCAGGCTGTTTGTTTTCTAAACACCTTTCTTCTCTCACCTGTTCAGCTTCGTCTCCTCAGAGGGCGTCTCTTACATGAGTGTGTGTCACTTCAGCCTCCCTGTGGCTAAAGCCTTCTGCTTCTTGGAAGATCTTCGCTGGGACTTCACAGCATGCTTCAATAGCTCTGTTGTTGCCTTGGCAGCTCGGCCATATCCATTTTTGGAATTCGGTGAGGGAACAGTTATGGTGTCATCTATATTTGATCGTCTGGTACTGTAAAGGTTTTGCTCTAGAGATACAAATGCTTTGAACAAAAGGAATATTATTCCATAAGATTTCTGTGAAGTTATTCATCCAAATCTAAATCATCCCTTGGCTGACAGACAGCAAAATTCAAAGGCTGAAGCAGCAGTACAACCAAAGTGGTGGTCCAGTTCTGGAGGTGACTTTGGCAGAAGTTCAGGAGGATCTGAGACTCCATCCACCCCAGATAATAAACCTGGATGAGGTGGAGCTGGCCAACGGCATTGCAAATGGGCACTTAGAGCAAGGTCCTGCGTCTGGTAAGGCAAATCATCAACAACAACCCAGAAAATGAGACGTGTTTTCATTATTTCTGCATCTCTGGGGTTTAACCGTTTTTATGGCTTTCTTTGGTCGAGCAGGTCAGAACCAGAGGCTTGAACCAGTGACAGCACCAGGCATCCTTTCGCTCGTCCTTAATATCATGTGTGCATCTTTGAATGTGATCCGTGGGGTTCACCTCATAGAGTATACGTTCCAGGTATGGCCATTACAGGGAGCTGATCAGACTCTCAAATAAACACTGATTACTAGTTTAAAAATTTTCATTTTAATGTATTATAATTGTTGATTATTCAAACAAATTAATTTGCCACCAAGCCTCCCGCCTACAGGTGAAAAATGGTATTAATGTAGTTATATTATATTCATCTCCCTTTTTACAGGATGATTATGAAGGCATTTGGAATGTTGTGGCATTTCTTTTGGCATTTGTCTGCTGTGCTTTTCAGGTAAGTAACAACTCACGTGTTAGCAAAATTTCTGATTTAAAATTGGAGTGAGCTCCATTCAGACTCTCCCTAACCCCTTTTCTTTTCTCTGGCCCCACAGTGTCACCTCTACCTTTTCCATTCATCTCTGAAGAAGTTGAAGTCCTTCGCTCTGTTGAGTGTGATCGTCCTATGCAACTTGTACCTGTTTGGCTTTAGGAACGTGTGGCAGCTCATTTTCCACATTTCTGTTGCCTCAATCTCCACTTTCCTCACCCTCAGTCGGAAACTACAAGACAGAACCAATGACTGTGGGGTCTGATGAGCGCAGGCAGTGTTCAGTCCCATTAACCGTGACGTAAATGCCTCCGTCCATATCAGTCATGAAAATCTATGTGGATTTTTTTTTTTACAGAAAAATAAATAAAAGGACATTCATTACTTTCAAATCACCACAGAAGTACCAGTGTTCAAGTACAAATGTTCTTGTACACTGTAAATATTTGCACTTTGCGTCAACTGTAAAGAAAAGACATTCAATGCAGTTTTTTTCTGAGACCTTGGACATTCTCTGATTTCTCAAAAGAGAAGAAAATGCACATTTTTTAACAAAGATAAAGGAATTTTTCAGTCAGAGTTGCTGACCAAAGTTTTTCAAATAGAAAAAATTCTATCTGTGTCATAACTGCACTGACTACTTCAGATTTATGTGAGTCATCTGTGTTTCCGCTAACATTCAGTTGATTTTTTTTGTGCTTTTACGGGCCTTTGATTATCTTTGCATAATTGGTTTACAAAGCTTGGTGAAGAATTGTAACAATCTAAATTGATGTAGATGTTTTTTGTATTTATGAATATGCGCTTTCACAGCAGATCATTTTTGGCATTAATGGGAGTGTCATCCATGGATCAGTTTTTGTAGATTTTGGAGTTTCAGGGAGATTGTAAGGATAGTGGGAAAGGCTGCTTCTAAGAGATGTTTGAATTAGTCCCCTCTTTAGGATATTTTGTAATCATAACTCAGATGAGTAAAATGCATAGCTGTGTGATGTTTCATGCCTTACTATGTGACAAAACAACTGTTGCTTTTTAGTTTTTAGTTTATTCTCTTAGGTTTTAAAGATTCTTTAAAACCTAAAATTTATAAGCTTCAACATATGATTTGTGGTGACTTTAGGTGACAAAAAGTTATGATGTTGAGGATAGTTGTGTTCTAAATGGCCCCCATTTTTGGCTCAAAATCTTCTTTTTTATCGTACAATCAAAACAAATACATCTGTGTTAGTTGAGTCTTTTTCTACTGCTGCCTGCGTTGTGAAAATGGAAACATATGATCAGGGTATGAACGCACTGACTTCTTGGTTTGATCGTATAATGATTTGTAAAGCTGCACTATTAGGTGAAGAATTTTTTGTTGGTCACTGCAAATGTTTTTAGATATTCAAATGTTAGGCTTAAATGGAAGATTCTCTCTTTATATCTGTAGTTCTCTATTAATGTTAACACAACACTGTTGTGCTGCTAAACGAGTAGACTAATTGTAATTCTCTAGTAGTTTGGTTTTTGTCACACTTGCAGTTTGTAAGATATTTTTAAAAAAGTTTGTCATAAAGCAAAGTGTTTAATTATTGTTAGTAAGATAAGTTGGGTGAAGTCTACTGTAGAATAAAACCCGTCCGATGAACATACATTTATTCAGATAAAATGGAAACATTTGCTTTAAGGAAAACAGCATGACATCTGACAAGCCAAACTTCCTCTTTTATTAGACAAAGAACAGTTTTTCTTCAGTTTATTTTTAATCAGGACTTTCTGAGCTCTGATACAGAGCTGAGAATGGGACCGGTCCAATGAGCTGCCAAGCAGACTGAGGCTTTCCTTTGTCAGGGTTTGAGTGGATGTTGTCACTGTTAACTCCTAAATGTTCAAAATGATGGCAAGTTGAACAAAATGGTGACATGGAAAAGGTTATTTCACTTTGCTGCTAGGCACGTCCTGTGCAGGACATCAGTGATGAAATGCTTTGTGATACCAGGTTGGTTTTGTGATGGACGGTTTTGTTGTAATTGCCCCACGTCAGACAGATTACAAAGCGATAATCAGTGTTTCCACATATACCAGTAATTCATCATGGGGGCATTTTTTACGAAAAACAGTTATGTTCTCACCTTTGCTTTTCACATCCATTTGTAGGTATGTTGTGACCCTTTTCAACACTTTCTCTAATTTGATGCAAAGCTCTCTGTATCTGATGTGAAATTTTTTATGCCCTCAGAACTAATATCATCCTTTAATTTATTGTAATTTCCAAGACTGCCGTTAATTACAGGAATGCTTTCTTAATTTCTGAGCTTTTATCCTCTGTTGTGGTAAAAATGACATTTGACTATTAAATTGTGTTTTTCTCCATTCCTTAAGAATGCATTCATTTAGACATACAACAGTGATTGGACAATGTAAACATGAGTAAAATAGAAAAAAAGCAAACAACACATAAATAGATTTGAAAAAGAAGCCCAACAAGAGTATGTATGCACAGTACTCTTCTAGCTTGTTTGTGAGTTTTCCTAGTTCTACAGCAGATGGAGCCCTTTCATAAAGTTGAAGTTTGCGTGTCACTCCACAGTCTAGATGCATTCAAGAGAGTCAAACTTTCTGCACGGGCTGCAGGATGGGATAAATTATTTTAAATATTTTAAAAAACGAATGGTTAACAGTCTGTCTTACAAGTGTGCAACCATTTGTACACAAACTGCTCATTTTTTCATCAAAGCTACTGTAAAGAGAATTTTCACAGAACTTTGTGTGACTGTCAGATGTGATCAATATGATGAATGCAGCAAACTGGGGATGTGAAACATTTTGATCAGAGTGTGTAAGTTGATTTATGTATTCTTTAGACCTTCAAAGGTCTCATTCAATTTATATTTGATAAAGGGTAACCCTTGTGTGAAAATAATAAACTGAAAAACTACTTTAAGCCTGTCCCTTTTAATTATTTTGTGTCTAAACTAACAATTGTACTCGTATCTACATGGTTCATCTATGGGGTCCATATTGTTTTATACGGTTATTGGTATATAATTTTATTCAGAAGTCTATTTATGGGGATATAACTTTAATGTGCAAAATATTTAAAGAATGCAGCTGCAACACCTCTTTTCATGCTTCACGTCTGAAATGATCAATTTCATCAGCAGAGAGACATATGTACTTAAGTTTTCACAGACTCTGGTAGAGCTTTTAAAAATAAGATTATTGTGTTTACTTCATGAACAAACATGATTCAGTGATGGTCTATTAAATGTTACATTTGTGCGCTCTACTTGAGCGAAGCCTTGTGCCATAAAATTTCATAGCCATTGAACCAGCCCTGACTGTTGTAGTCTGAAGTATAATTACATTTCTGGGAAAGACTGTCCTACTTCCAAATATGCACGCCTGAGCACTCAAATCCATTTTTTAGGAAGTTTGAGCAATGCGTGTCTGCCTGTTGTCATGGGAGCAGCTGCACATGAGGGTTGTAAATTCTTGACAGGGACAGTTGTCTAGCAACGACTGTTGTGTGTCGTACAACCATGTCTTGATCGATACACCATGAACGACTAAAAGAGTCATTTGTTTGACTGTTACCACTCTTTTATTAAATAGACAGATATTAACACAATAGTAGTATTACCAAGTTAAAACAGGACATTTGAGATTGACTATTTCAAAAGAAAAGGGAGTGTGGAACATTTCCCACCTTAAAACAGCTGTTCACTTAATACTATCACACCTTGAAATTTGACCATTATTTGAAGGGTTTAGCTTCTTTCATCCAGACTGGTAGATGCTCTTGCACTTGACAAGCATCCCTGTCTCCTTTAACAAATGGATTGAACAGGATTTAGCCGCATTGAAAGTTTTGCTCAAAAGTTTATGGCTGACATTTCTTTAGCTCACACTCATGTCTTTTGATTGTCCACAGAACAATGTTCCTTAAGCCATACGTTCGTGTTGTAAATAATTTACATTGGTTTTGTTCACATGAAATTAACAGAAGCCATTTAAAGGTTGACCAAAAACTCTGTCTAAAAACACTACCCTTGAGGTTCACATGTAGTATCCTCTGATAAAAAAGGCAGCTTCAACAGATGTTGGATCCTTCTTGTGTGCAATTGAACCTCAAACAGAGTTTATTTCTTTTCCCTTCCCCTTCAGTAGCAATCAATTATCAAAACATTATTGATTGCTACTGAAGGCGAGGGACCTGAGCAAACTCACAGGTCATCTGTTATTACCCTTAAAGACAAACTCCATCCCAGCAAGCACCAGGAAGGAAAAATGACTCATTAGTGTTTCCACAGCAGATCAGACATCACTTGTAAGTCTCTCCTTGGATACACCTAAAGAAAGTGATGTGGAGGCATGCTGGGAAATGGTACATTATGCAGGGTATTTTCACTAATTCCTGTGGCATGTCAAGGGCCAACTGAGAGAGGCTGTGCTGATTAGGTATGATAAATTACCTATGATGACCTATGAGGGCTATCTGAATTGATCTTTGGGCTATTTGTTTTGGAATCACAGCTCCTCTGTGAACCTAAACTTAATAAAAATTTACATTTAATAAGAAGGTCAGAGCTGACCTGATGAGAAAGATTATGCTGAATCTTCTGGAGTTAGACTGCTTGAAATTACTTTGAGCCTAGGTGGATTTAATCAAAGTCAATCTTTTGTCTTGGGTCAGCTGACATCAGCCATCAGGTGCACCACTCTTTTATGGTATGGGGGACCTTAATCCAGACCTTTTGATTCCTTCTCATTATAGTATTTGAGTTAGTAGATTCTACGTTTTGCTGTCACAGTTTCACTCAAGGACTCAACAAAAAAATATGATAAAACGTTCAGCGAAAGGAATCAGAGAGGGAAACTGACAAAGATTTAATGAGGCGGATTAGATGACAGAGCAGGCAAATAAGGCAAAAAAGGCAAATACTGGGTGAATATAAAAGAGAAATAAGCAGTTCTCACCACAACAAAGTAATGGACACATTAGCCAATCCAATGAACTGTACTGGAGGCAGTTTTCTCCTGTTTACATTGTCCTCCAAACCACTATTGTATGCCTGAACTCTATTCTGTCTGACATTGACCTGTGGAGGTGTATGCCTGTTATCTTCCATTCACGACACTGTGCATTCTGAGTCTAAATGTTTCTAACTATCATTCACGCACACACCCCACTCCTGGCTGGCATCCATTGATGTTAAATTTGTGCTTTATTTAGCTCTGACAATGCTTTCATACCTGTAAATTTACTCTTTTGTGCTTTCCTTCAAGTCCTACCCTTTTTTGAAATTCAAAGAGCACACAGATAGGCTTGAATTGATTCGAATATCAGTCCAACACCAATTGCTGCTATGATAATGAACCACAAAAGAAATGTTAGAAAGGTAGACAGACTTTTTTTTAATGACGAGTCATTATTTTAGGGTTGAACCTATTTTATTTTCAATCATACATTCATTTCTTAACTAGTGACTTGTCCATGGTGACCCCCCCTCTTTCCCAGTGACACCTGGGGTTAGACTGAGAAAGCAAATCTTTCAAAATTAGTACCATACTATATTGGAGTCTGAAGTGTTGCAATATCAATCTCCCAGAACATGGCAACATATTCCATGTTCAGACTCAAAAAGTCAAACGTATATGCATTCAAACTCTGAACACTTATTAAAGAACTCTTGCCACAAATCAAGCTCAGACAAAAATTCTTTGCTATCACAACATCGGGCCAAGACTTTAATATCCCATGAGTCACATTTTCTTCCCAGATGTATTATGCATTCAATGTAAAAGTGAGATCAGACATCCTGTCATTGTAAAAATCTGAGGAGCAACTTCCTAAGCTTGTTTACACTCAGCATAAGTCAAGGAGTAGGGCTATGAAACCATTCCTTCTGTTGTAAGTGTTATCAGTGACAGATACCTTTATGCACTGAATGTAAGTGACAGTGTTTGAGGAAAGGATTTCAAATAAACTTTTCGAAAAAAAAGCATTGACGGAGAATGGGCCTTAAAAACTGAGAATCAAAAGGAAAGTTGATTGGCATACATTGAAGGTTTTTTAAATGGTTTCCTCTGATTTGGTTTAATTATTTTATGTTCTATGCAATACACTGTTAATTACCTCTTTACTAAGTTTTGCTAAACAGTTAAAGGTGTCAATCCAGTTTTTGGCACAATTCATTAAGGGAAAAAATTATCAATAAAAGCACAACCTTTGGATTAAAAGTTTGTTACATCAGAGTCAGTTCGGAATTTTTGATTAATTGTTTATTCGTCTCAAAGTCCTTATAACAGAAGTCTGCTCTTCTGCCAATAAGGAGAAAAATATGTACTCTCCAAATAAGAACTTGTCCTCTGTTGTTTCTGAAAGATCCTAGTAGACAAACCAGAGCACTGCAGTAAAATCCAGTCTGCTTACAATGTTTAAAGATAAAACGGCTGATATAACATAATCACCCAAAAAACTGAAGTGCCTTGGGGGTTTCCAATAGTTAGGTCAATGTTTTCGAGGCAAATCTCAGATTTTAATCCAGTAACATAGAAGACAAAGACGTGCATTGAAGGCTGAGCCAAAATATATTTACTGTAATACACAAATGTGCTTCAAATTCTTGATACTGACAGCAAAGCTCTATGTATTGGATGATGTATTTCATGTTTATATATGAAATATACATCAAACACGAGGTGACACAGACTCCCCCATAGGTATCACAGGAAAACACACATCTGAGAGCGACTACGCAGCTGAACATGTAAAAAGAAGGTGAAAATAGCACGATATTACTTGAAAACTAAAAACTAGAAAGAGAAGATGCACTGTTTCTCAATACAGATGATTATCACGAAAAATGTAATTAACATTGCTGATTAATAACACAACCTGTAAAGCCCTGTGAGGGACCTGACAAACAACTTGTTACAGATTACGTTAAAGGTCTAAAAAAATGACAAATTATTCAATGTTCTTTGTTAATATGAAGGAAGTGGAAAGAAAGGTGCTCAGCTTATAGGAAGGAATGCCAAGGCACTTATGTTGACGGCATCGGGGTCAAATGGAGGCTTTTGAGAGCATATAAACTTGGTGGACAGCGACATCAAGTCAGTTTGAAAGGACTCAAAGACCTGCTGCCTTTTCAGATTGTGCTGTGCATAATGAAGAGAGAGGAAGTCTCCAGCATGAGATTTTACAGGAAACCCCACACATACAGACCAGTACCCAAATAAACTGTTGATAATCAGAGCAGAAAATGAACCGATAAAGACTGAGGAGCCGCCAAAGACTGAGGAGAAAAATAAACATAAAAACTCAGGAAAGCTCAGTGGACCAAAGAAGACTGTCAGAGGAGCTAAGATGAACAAACATACTGTCATTTCATAGTCTCAGAGAAACTTAGAAGGATCTTCTCTAAACATGAGATGCAGGGCACTTCAAACCCAAGAACACCCTCAGAAACAGACGGGTTCACCCAAAGGACAAAACAGCCAAACACAAACTGAGTGCTGCTGTACATATAGTTCAGTGCTGAGTGGAGTGGGAGGACCGCTAAATAAGTGAGATCAAGCAGCAACTCCACAATCGTTTGCCATGGGACAGGAGAGCTACTTCACCGAGTCTAGACGAACTAGCTGATCTCCATCCGGAGGAAAAGAGACACTCTTCTGAGAACAATAATGCTCACATTATTGGGGGGTCCTCATGTGGTTTGGGGGGTGGTTTGAGAGAAAGGGGTCAAAGAAGCCCTACGGGAAAACCTACCTGAACACAGGATGGGGGTTTCAGGCATCACCTGTCCAGCACTTACAACGCAGAACTGTGTCTCCTCCCTGGGCAATAAGACAACCATTCACACCTTGAATCCTTTGAGCAAATCTCATTATTTCAGACACTTAGACATTTTAGGGTGTGAATGACTTAAGTAACCTACACCATGGTCAAGGGGTTCAGTGACTATAAAGACACACCTAGTATAGATAACCCCAGTCTATTTCTATACTGACACCACCCATCATCTACCTTAGAATTGTGTTTCTCCCTGCTCAATAAGAGAAACACATCTTCAAGATTCAATGAAATGTCCAGTTATCCTTACTCTATTTCTTAGAATAAAAAAAGTTTCAAACCAGAAAACATAAATTCAAATATCCTTTGGAAATAATTTGAAAAGATTTGTTTAAAGATTGGATGCATAAAATATTCTATTTTCAAATTTGAAGGTAAAATTATTAAAGTTTCATCAAAAAATAGTTTTGTCTTGCAATTCATGGCAGGATCATGTCTCAAAAAAGTGTGAAACAAAAGACTAGAGAAGTGAAAGGACTTCCCATTTGATAGACACAGCGGTGCTGATGGAGGAGACTCTCTGGTTTGGACAGAGCTTCCGTGTTTGCTTAATAATTCACCCATCCAATCATAAATATTTAGCCAGCCTCATGAATTCTCAAGAATGCTTATAGGGAGAACACCTGTTGTACATTTTAAGACTAAAATGGAATCTGAAAATAACTTCATCCATACTCTGTCTGACGATATTCATCTGACAGTGTTTACAGTGTTTATGTTTTGATATGCATGTATACATTTGTTTAGCATATGTTAACGTGTGGGCCTCAAGACTAATGTTTGTAATAAATGGAAATATTATGACGCAATCCATCCTCGTAATCATTTGAAATTCATTACAGTTCCTGTGAATTTAATTGTGCTCTTTGCATGTTCATTTCCACTTTATGGATAGAGCTAATGAAACATTAGTCAAGCTTAGCTAATGTGAGGCTGCAGGGTGTGTTTGTTAATCTTTTCACAGCACACGGTGTCTTTTCTTGGTTGGAGTAAATATTTCTGCGTGATACTGAATACAGCAAGAAGTCCACCACTCTCAAAAGCCTGAGCTTAAACCCATAGGCCCGAGGAACCACATGAGGATAAATAAAGGTAACTAAAGCTTCATAACACTGTAGCAGACTTGACAGGTTGATCAGAAACGTCAAAATTCCAATCAAAGAGCAACTGAGTAGACATGGAGGGAAATTTGAAGTAGCCAGGTTAATTAATGATCACGGAAGGACTGAAATCTCTAAGTGAGGAAACAGTACAACTGTGAAATTGCTGAAGAAGAATATCTCATGTTAAGGACTCCCTGTTTTCAATAGTGTTGGTGTGTAGTTGTAGTCATGACCCGATGTCTGCCTTTGGGAATTGTCTATTTTTCTTGTTTTCTAAAAAAAAAAGAGCATAAGAAATAGGGGGTAGTTCCTCTCTTTTGTGCTGACAAGTTAATGAAAAGAAGCTTTTTAGGGAGGAAGACAGTCTCCTTGTCTTGAGCTTCATGACAGCTTGCACCAGCTTAAAAACTTATGGCTGAGCAGCTGTTAATGGAAAAACTAAATAACTATCACTATTATAATACATTTATTAAAAGAATAAAATATAACACACATAATGACTTTTAATGAGTCAATCAATTATATAGAAGAGAGAACAAATTAACACACACGTCCAACAAATTTTTCTACATGAGTGAACACATTTACTGGTTTACTTGTCGTTGCTTTATTTTCACTGAATTTTATCACAATAAAATAGCAACAGGTGCTTTTTTGCAATGGAAATTTTTTTTAAATGATTGAAAATAACGTCACAGCTGAAAACATTGCTTTTGTGAGCTGTACAGAGTGCTCCCAATCAGATGTCTGCTAAAAACACATTTTTACCCCTGCTTTCTGATGAAACAACACATACTTATCAGATGAAACAATTTTGCACTTGTGCCTTGAGAGAAGGTCAATTTGATCAGATCATCATCTATGTCTGAAATGGAACACAAAGAGGCGCTGGCAACTAAATACGACTGCTTTTACTTACAGTGATGAGCCTATTTGCATGAACAACCGAGTCTGAAGCTTTTAGTGAGCATTTAGCAAGTGAAATAAAAACACTTTACTGGATCAAAGTCATGTCAGGCATGAGAAGACATAAAGAAAAAAAAAGCCAAGCAGCAAAAGGCAGTCAATGAAGGCTAAATGTATTTTTTTTAAAACTGAATCTCCCACTTTTATTGTTAATCTCTGCTTTATTTTCACTGTGGGAGGGGATCAAATTCCCTGCATTTAACTTACACGTAAAAATAGCAACATATTTTTATATATTAGGCATAAAAAAAAAGTTAGTCAAAAGACAAAAAGTGGATTAATGTTTACACAACTGTGACCTTTAGCAAATATATGTACAGTACATGTGCAGCTTCAAAATGGTTTGTATTGCACCAGTGTTACAAGTATTACACCAACTTAAACCTCACATACACAAGACAACATTCACTTTGCAGGAACGTACACAAATCCATATCACATATAATTAAATATTATTTGATATTCATTTCAAGTGCACATAGTTTACTGATTCACAATCCCATTGTAAATGCACCTTAAATGATATTTTGTGATGCTTCCATGCCAAATAATTAAAAGATTAAACTGAGCAACATGAGTGACAAGAATTGCCTTTGTACTATTTAAAAATCTATTTATTTACATTCATTATTGTACTTAATTATTGTATATCATCATGTTCACAACACCACATTAAATATAACCCACAACAGATGACAGGCACTAAACAGTAAATTTCTTCAGGAAATAGCTGAATGTTGTAGAATTACACAGATTAATTTTTTTATTCAGAGTCCAATGTGACGATCGATTGCATGTCTGTGAAAAGTGTGAAGTAGCAGAAGCTTCTTGCTCATCTAAGCCATTTCAGGTCTTGAGTAAATACCAGAGATAGATCTGGGAAAGCTAATCCTTTAATCTATCAAAGCAATATAAGGAACATTCGAAGAAAGTCCTTGGAAATAAGAGGGTTCCATTGGTAAGATGACTCTGTTCACCTGGCTTCATTATCATGGCAGCTAATAGGAACATAACGTGGTTACTTTGGCGTACAAAAAAGTGCTGACCTTACATTCTACTCTGGGAGAATCATATTTCCACTGCTGAAGGACATAGATGCAGGAACCGCATTTACATGCATGTAAGAAAATCGATGAGGTTGTTGATTTTCACCACAAACAATATCATCAAATCCAGATTTTAATGACTACTAGAACACACACATATATATTTTTGAATAACTTTTTTGAAAACAACGTTATTTGCCAGTATTCTTCTCTTTCCTTGTTCATAGTTTAATATCCTTTGCAGTACTATACTGTTTTGTAGTTTCCTGAAACCTTTGAATAATCAGTACAAAACAAATATGAAATCCTTATTTGTCAGCCTCGGATTCAAATAAAAATGTGGTAGAAATGGCTTTGCTGAACAGTGACTTCATAGTTTGTGCTATGAGCACAAAAGAGGCATCCTGCCTCTCTTTTGCTTCTGGCACCACCAAAATATGTTACTCTGCTCTTTAGAATTTCATGGCATGAGTTTTTCTTTGATCTTTATTTGTCTTACACAGTCTTTTGGTTTGAAGTACATATAGCTTTTGTTTTCAAAGGAAGCTGAACCCTCTGGTTGTTTCCTCTGGCATGAACATGTGGGTGACTTTCAGGCCTAACCCGGCTGAACTGAGAAGCACAATGAAAGTCTTGATGTGACGGGACCAGTCATCCCTGTCACCTTGCTTTGCTTTACAATCAGGCTCCAACACTCTCCACTGACTTGTCAGTTTCAAACTCCTCCAATAGAAAAGTTCAAACTTGACAAGTCAGTGGAGATATCAAGATAAATTATTCATATGGCAAGTTTAGGAGTTCAAACTTATGTCAGTCCACCGGATGCTTCCAAGTGCGAGTATTGGTCCTCTAAATTATAAATCGGAGGGCTGTTCAATGCCTGGGCGTCTACACAGCTGTTGTTCCTCACAACAAACCACAAACCGCTTCACCAACAAGCTTACAAGCTTACGTACAAGAGGATTTAGTTTCTGTAGCGAGGCTGTGAATCACACATGATGCAATAACAAAGAGTGACTGATTACTGACACTGCAGCTACAATGCTCTCCATATGGCACACAGTTCATAGGACCTAATCTATTTTCTGTACACTATACACTTGTCTGTACAACATTTTATGAGACCTCTCGAGCAAATGTAAACATCGAAGGACTGCATTGTGTAAAGGCATTTCCTCTCCAGAATTGCTGTGCAGCCCAACAGCTGGTGAAGATGAAATTGAAAAGTGTCACTTGAATACTGACTCCAGGCACTCATCAGGTGATAGGCCCACAAACGATTCCAAAGCAGAGCCCGCTCAGAAGACAGCATCCAATGCGCTGTGCTGACAGAAGTAAAGGCAAAGGGTAATCAGTCTCCCGTGGTAGCGGAGAAGGGCAGCTGTGCTCCGGACCCATCACTTTAAATCAGCATCACGCTCTATGCAAATCCTGCACCACTCGTTTTTTTTTTCCTTTATCTTTTTTTTCTGCCGTCTTCAGAGTGAGGAAAGCTAAATATTTCACACTGTTTTTTAAAAACTTTACAGCAATTCTTTTGTCAGTTCTCACATTGAGTGGAAGCACCTGCTTCTCTTTATTAATCCACTCAACGTGTGTGTAGCTGCACACTTTCAGAACGTATCTTGAGATTTCCAGCTGAAACCTTATCTCATTTTCTTCTTGCTGTGCTTCCACATCAGTCTTGCTCGTTTAGATGTTCAGTGATTTTTTTTAATCAGTTTATAATTGCATTGGGTTGCGAGTCTGATGGTGCACTTCACATTTGGATCCCTCTCTTAACATATTAATATGTGACATGTCACTTTGCCCCACATCTGAGCAGATGGGGAACTTAATAACAATTGAACAAATTATCTGTAATTATACGGCTCACAAATTTGCCTAATGAGCTCTGAATATGAAATACAAAGAACATATGAAGGGAAAAATGGAATAGCTATTCAAATGTGGAAAAGCTGTGCTTGTGAAGTGATGCAGGTGTATCTTTGTCATTTAAACTTGTTTTTCCAAAGAGGCTCTGAGCTCAAGAGTTGCATAGAAGATGCTTCATCTTCTTTTATCTACACCACAATCAAGCGGGCTAATGGAGTGGGGTTTTTTTCCATTCGAGATCATCCATATGCATCACATGTGTATCAAATATTTGTCGTGAGAGCATTTCATGCTTTTTTGAGTCATATGCAAGACAGGTCATCTTGACAGGAGGACGAACCCCGCCGGGTTTTGGGGCTGCATCGCGTCAACATGGTGATCTGCGTGCTGAAGTTGTTGCTGCTGCCAATAGACGGGTGTTGGTATTTGGTGTCTGAGCCCATGTATCTCTGCAAGTGCCACCTACGCCACTTCCGTTTGATTTCTCCTTGGACCTGCAGTGGATCAAAACAGTGAGACTTGTAGGTAACACTGTGGATTTCTAGTTAAAACAAATACCAAAATATATCTTTTACATGTTTTTATTAACTCTGTATAAGGCTAAGTCTGTTACGGATATGAAAAACTCTGAGAAGTTTAATGTATTCAAATTTAGATGAAGTTCCCTTTCTGACTTTCAGGTGCAGTTGCTGTTTCAGATTAATGCTCAAAAGAAAAGGATCCAGCAGTGCCTGAGTTCTCTATATCAATAAATGTAAATGTGAGGAAAGATCAGGAGATTTTTTGGATTGAGTATGTGGAAGTTTTTGCTCCACTGGTGTAAGACAATAATCCAGCCTTGTATGTGTGCTTCTGCCATATAGTTTCTACTTACAAAACACCTAGAGTGGAATTCCTGCAGGGAAGTTTATTTTCTCATTTACAGCAGTCATATCTTGGAAACAGACTCGTGATGTGTGTGGCAGCTGTAGGATTATGTTTTAGTCTGTCAAACTGTATAGGAGGGTATTATCAGGGGTGGGATGAGCAAGCTAGGCAAGCTCTGGTCAATCTGACATTCAAAACTTGCTTTTCTGATACTTGCTATAGGGAGGAATTAATGCCAATACCCTCCAACCAGAATCTAAACTAGTCTTTTTTCAAAGAAAAGCACAGAAAATATTGTCCAGTCCATGTCCATGTCTTTCCTATAACTGATAATAAATGCTGCATGTTATAGTGTGCAGTACCGAATCCAAAAAGTTGGGATGCTGCAAAAGTCTATAAACAGTTATTTAAGTCTAAAATAATTGGTAAAGTTCAGATGAGTTCACAAAGCAAAAGGCTATGTGCACCTATAGTTAAATGATTTAACGAAAAAGGTCTCTTGAGACTATGATTTCTAATAGTTTAGGGATTTCATCATCTGCACTATATCATGTTTTTAAAAGATTGGATGAAAATCCGGAATAATCTTTTTACACGAGGGGAAAGGCTGAAAACAAATATTGGCCTGTGTTAGTTTTTAGTTCCTCAGGCGGTACTGCACTATAACTAGATATGACTTTGTAGCTGACATGGTGCCTTGCAGTTCACCTTGCAGTTCACTACTCCATAGATAAGTGAAAGCTTAATAGACAACTGTAAACAATATGTAGAAGATCCAAAGTGGCCATCACTGGGCCAAGATTAATTTGAAATGGATTAAAAGAATATTGGAGAACTGTCAGATTGTATCACATGGCATTCATTTTTACACTATCAATGCTTCAAATGATCTTATCTTATCTTAATGGCATCACTATATAACATAGTTTGCTTTTATGTACATGTGGATATTATCAATTATTATTCACATGCTGTATTGTTGAACAGCTTCATCTTTGATTTTGAGACATTTGTGGTGTAATTTGAATGTGCTTAGTGTCAGATATTTTATATATTTATATATATACATCATTTTAGTCAATTTTGTCTCCAAAGTTTTCATAATCAGATATTCTACAGTTATCCATCTAATTGCACCAATAAACTGTCCACCTAAGAACTGTCAGCAGGCAGATACACTATTGTTTGAGTAAATCTTCAGTACCTGTTCCCTTCTGTCTGCACCCCACACTCCTCAGTGCACCGCTGAAACCTCTGGTCTTGCATGTCTGCTTTTCAAGCTCAGACTGTTGTGAAATGCATTTGTAACACTTCATCTAACCCATACAATGGCAGGTGTGAAGCAGACCAATAGCATTTTTCATGTCTCCTTGTAGATGTGGTGGAATACCTTTTATTCATTCTATTTCTTTGTACTATTTCTCATTTCTGTATGTAATCCAAGCCATTTCTATTTGTTTTAAATAACTCTTTTCAGACCATCCAAATGTTTTTTTTTAAGTACAGATTTGATTACTAAACAATTAGTATTTCACAAAGCCTGAACTATGGTATTTTCTGGTAGCTAATTTCATAAGAATGATTACATCTAATTTGTTTTTCTGTGTCTTAACGTGCTTCTAATATAGCAATAAATGAATCCAGTGCCATTCTCGAAGCTTCTGTCATTAAAAACAAAATAACTCTGCACCACCACAAGGCTTCCCACTTAACAAAGGACATCTGAAATTGGACCCGATTAAAATTCAGGCAGAGTACTGTCAAGCCTGGCAATCCATCCCATCACTGTGATTCAATCTGGCCAGGCACTGAGAACATAACTAATCTGCCTGCAGAGAGCCTCCGTAGGAATTACTGCCAAAAAAGCTGTTCTTTTTTTTACAGTGCTGCTGTCCTACCAGGCAAGTAGAGCAGAAATCAGGTCTGAGGGAGGAAAGATGGCTGAAATGGCCATCAGTAACGACTCGCCATCAGCAATGACTTGCAGTTCCATCGACAACACGTTTGTGTGTAAGCGTGAAACAGACTACAGACTACACAAATATAGGAAATGTTTACATCACCTACCTCACCATTGAGGAAACAGTAAAGGACAGCAACCCCAAAACCCTAAAGGGGGGGAAAGGTGAAATTCTAAATAGGAGTTTTAACTTATATATCTGAAATATAACATATGTTCAACAGTTTTGCAATCATTTGCTCCCAAGGACTCTCCTCCGTACCTGAAACGATCCCAGAATCAAGTCAAAAACCAGCCGTGGCTCAGTCTTCACTTGCTCTGGGATGAATGCAAAAACTATGAAATTGATCCCAAACAGTGGAATCAAAAGCAGTGTGGATTTTGCCAGCCTCCTGAAATGACAAAAGCAAAGAAGAAGATACAAATATATATCCCACCGGTGAAACTAGTTTTCAATCTGTGTCTGTACATCCCAATAATCAAAAGCCACTTTGTTGCTTTCCATTTTAAATTTCAAGAAAATACCATTAAAATTGTCGGTCGAAAAACAGCTCATGCATTATGGCTAGTATATGAGATTCTCTCCACCACAGAGAGATCACATAAAGTGCTGCATCTCTGTGTTAAACAACTGCTATGAGGAAAGTACTATTTGCAGGGAATAAACACAGAAAGGTAATGAATTTCTACTGGTAGTCCAAAAAGACCATCATGGATCATCACATCCTGAAGAATAAATATATATACCACAGAAACAAGTCTATTTCACTCCCAGGTCTTCGAGTTTATCCAAGATTATATTTGTTTACACTTGTAAAGGCAGTCTATATAAAAAATAATAATAAAACACGGAGCTTATTTGGTTCAAGAAGGAAACCTTTGATGAGGTTTTAGTTTTTCCCAAGCATTTTCATATAGATTAGTATATATCAGCTGATACATAATAAAAGCCATACGTACAAATACTGGTTGGACTCATTTCTTCCAATATCTGGGCAGTTAATCTTCTGGCGAAGAATTCGAATGATGCAGATGAACAGAATAAAGTTCATCTGTGAAGAATAATGCACAGGAGAGGACATTGGAAATAAGATGGTGGTTGAAATGCTTTTGCTTTAAACTAATTCCGAGAGTTTAAATAAAGTCACTGCGTCTACAAGTTGTGTCTGTTTTTTTCTAACTGACTGAAATGTCTGATGCAGATTTCCATCCTGCTCTGAGTGGATGGATGCGCTGACCTGCAGTAAATTCAGAATATCTAAATAGTTAATCAAGGCTGAACTCTGAACTGGCTTCACACCACAGCTACTGCTGCTGCATTCAGAGTGATGCAGCGTGAAATGACAGCAAGGCTGCAGCCTCTCAGTCTCACAAGAAATCAAAGACTTCCAAACCCTTTACTTCCATTTGAAAATGTCTAATAGTTAAGACGTGTTCCTGATGTCTTCACTGTCAAAATAAAACTACGTTTCTAAAAAAAGAGGGAGGTTGGTGTTCCCCTAAAAAAGGTATCTAATGCATGGAGTTGAGAATAATCTAATGTTAATTGTACATTTATAGGCACATTTCTAAAAATAACTATGCTTTTACACTAATTGAATACTTTTGAGGCACTTGATCTTCTAACAGACGTTGCTCCCTTGGTCATGTCATTTTAAAAAAGATGTCTATCTGACACATTCTATGACACATGCAGGATTATTCAATAACAAATTCCTCCAAAGAAACTATTTACTTAAGGTTTGATGAAGCACAATGGAAAGAGGAAAGGTATGTCTAAACAACTGAATAATTGGCATGACTGCTGATGAAAACGCGCAAAAATGATGAAACCACGGCAGTTGATTTGCTAAAAGGGATATTTCACACCACTGCATATTGTCGACTTATGCCTGCTGAACTCTTTTCTCTCCTTTTCACGCCTCTCAGCTAGTGTCTTCATCTTCCCTCACACACACCCCCAAACACTGGCTCATTTGTTAGAAACACACATATTGACAGTAAAAATGTCCCTTTTATCACTAGACGACTCCTTCAATCAACTTGTGAGCTGTTACACCTCTTCTTTTTTTTTTTTTTTTATTTGGCACCTTGGAGGGATAAGTTCACTGTGATATTACTTTTACATCATTATTTCAAATGTATAACAACCTGCAGCCTGTGAGTTCATCTTTGCAAAAAGGCTGGAAAGAGCAGCAAGTAGTTTCATTCTGTCAGAATATGATATTATCAGCCCACTGTTTCAGAAGCTTATTCGAATATTCTTTCACATTTCCTGAATTCTTGCTTTGTTTGTCAAAGGGTTGATATTTTCTAGACTGATTATCATATTCAAATCATATAACTTTTATCTTATTATTTGCTTGTAATACTGCATAGTCAAATCAAATGACAAAGCATCTCTTCTCCAAGCAGTCATTCACATGTAAATACCCTTGTATATAGACCTTGTATTTGCTTTTTGGCTACTCACAGGCAGCCAAATCCACTTTTGTTTGCAGTAAAAGTGTGACTGCTATTACATAGAGGACTTCATCACTGGATACTTCCACTATACTAAGTGAAATTAGCCTGCTGGTGGGAAAAAATGTTGCAATAGCACTAATGAAAACACCAGGTTCAAGTTAACCTCTCCACTGAGTTAACAAGCAGAACAAAACAACTACTAAAAGGTTTCTTAAATTACTCTGTTGGACACATCAACATGAACTGATGAGAGGTGAAAATATTTCCAGGGTTTGTGGCTTAAACTGTACTGCTGACGCGAATGATGAAAAGTAATTCAACTTACCAGAATTGATGCCAAAATTGGGGTTTTAATGATCCACCAAGACACATCAGTGGTCTCAATTATGTCCCAACAACTAGAGAGACATCAAACCATGCTTTAAATGTGCAAGATGTGACAGATTGTAGTTATAAAGGCCTATAGCAGATAAATATTGTTTCTCTTACCCCACATCGTTATAATAAGCTTTTGCGATGCCCCAAGCTGTGATGAAAATTGTTGGACCTCCTGGGTATATGACACAAAAATACAAGCAAAATCAACGCTATTATCACATTCTGCCGAGGCTCTGAGTTTGTTGTTTTTTCTGCAGCCTCTTGGTGAGACTTCTGAAATGGGACAGAAAAGGAAAGACGTTCTCACCCCAGCCAATCAGAATATAAGCCCAGAAGTACTTCCTCTCGGAGAAGAAGGAAACGGCCAGCAGCGCATGAAGATAAAGGCCCTCCACCAGCAGCCAGAAGAAACTGGCCATTATACAATACTGGAAGAACACAATCACTGCTTTGCAGCCAACCTAGAAATGGGCACAAAGGCATAAAACATATAGCATTATACAACAGCATTTTATTTCTATGTAATTTCCAGTGCATTATGAATTCTGCTCAGACAGTTTAACAATGGGTACATTAATGATATAAGCTAAAAGCAAATATGAGGTCTGCGTTTCTGCATCAAGAGAGCACATAGCCATTAAAAGCAGAAATGTTCCAGCAGGCCTTGGAACAAAAGTTGAGCACTGAAACAAGAAGGCAGAAAACACTGACAGCTCTCTTCTGATGATCTGACAGCATATCAGCACATTTCCATAAAATCGGGTGAATTAATTTTAAATTCATATTGTACCTAATCATTACATGTCAGGGAGCCTATATCTGAGCTTGTTGCACAACAATACATATAAAAAGGTATAGATCAACACCATATGTTAACATGTTCTGTTGGGCTATCGACAAATCCTCAGGGGTGACACAGAAATTATCAAATTCATGACGTTGTGCCCTTTTAAAATGGATATCAGCAGGTTTACCAGATGTGACAAATGGGATGATCACAAAGCAGCGTGGACATGTTAGGCATTGAAAAGAACTGAAATTAGGGCAAGTTTGGTAAGAGAAAAGAACAAGCACAGTAGATTTTATGCCGACAGTTGCTGCAAGGTGTCTTTTGCCTTTACAGTAAATAGAGCAGAAACAAGGACGTACACGTCAAGGAGCAAAGCAGAAAAGGCTACACCTCTTGTCTAAACTCCAAATGTTAAGGATGATAAATGAGTAAAAAAGTTTTATATAAACCTACAATGTCACAGCTCATAGGCATGGCATGTACTCACACACCATTAATCCTCACATCAACTTTTCAACTATTTGAAAGAGAAAAAAAATAGGCTCTCTCAGTACCTTTCGCTAGATATTTGTATGACCTCCCTAAATGCAGTAGACAGTACTTTTAGGGCTTTCTGACAAAGATCTAGGAATTGTGTATAATCCTGACTGTTCTGTATTGTGGAAGATGTAAAGTTTAACAAAAGTATACATTTCAAATCCTGCTTCTAACAAAGGCTATAGTAGTTTATAAATCTTAAGATGTATTTAGCCTAAACCTTGAATAACATTCAGGGCTCATGCTTAGTCCAAGTCTAGTGATATACACTCAAACAACTTCTACCTAAGGTACCAGCTAAAGGTTTGGGAGTCAACATCAGTTGCAAAGTAATATAAGTTGACTACTCACACAGTGACAGAAATAAACCATTTTTGGTGAAGTAAGACTTGGGATATCCCAGTGCTTCTAAGCATACTACTACTACTATTATTAATAATGAGAAGAAGAATAACAATAATGATAATAATATATGGGACACTGAACAATAAAACAGCTACAACATGTGACAATCTAAACATGTAGAGTTTGCTTTCTTGAACACTGAGTTTTGAGAATGAAAATGGAATAAAGGTTTTAGAAAAAGCATAAAAGGGCCAATGCTGGTGCCGAGAAGGATTTGGTTTTCTGCATAATTTTTTACCCACTTGGCATGCTGACAGGAAATCAGACTTGTATGGGCAGTCTGAACCTCTCTGGTTTGTGTGCAAATCAGTACAAATTGTTTGCTATTGCTCACTTTTAAAAAGCCTGCCATCATAGGCATGTGGATGAAAGATGATATATTTTGCTACTTTATAAATTTACAAGCTAAAGGATGGTGTTGAAAGCATGCATGCACGGACCTACACACATCATAAAAAATGCATATGTTTTATCCTTTGCCCGCAGGAGGTGTATGACAAATTAATCAAATGGATTAAAAAATAAGCACTGCAACTGTAAAGATGGAGTAATAAAGCATTCATGGAAAACACCTACGCAGACAACGAAGCATAACTGAGCAAATCACAAAGCATTTAATGGCAGGGAACATTGTACTACTAAAATTGTCATTATAGTTTCTTTTTACAACCTAATGACAGCAGCTGGCTCATTTCAGCATAAAAAGTTATTAACACCTTTTAGCTGGCCAGAGAGCTCACGAATTAATTTACACCAGGGCTACTCATGTTGTGTGACCAAATTGTGTTGTGTCACCAAAACCAGAACACTAAAGTTGTGTGATAACATGTGTTTGTGATGGTCATGGTTTTTCAGTCCTAACTCTTCAAGCACTCTGTTTTGGGGGACAGGCCATGACAACCCTTTACCTTGTTATTCAGGTATAGTTTTGTATTTCTTTTGTGTTGCAAAAAATTGCATGAAGATTCACGGAAAAGATGACCATGTTCAGATCCAAAACATGTCGATCAAACTTTTCAAACCCCTACATCCAGCTCATTGTTAGTTTTAGATCTACATCATGACTTGGAAAAGAATGAAAAGTCCTGATATGTGGTGATAACAATTATGAATACAAATATACTGCTCTAATACCATCCAGTGGGTGTTTGCACCACTGCTAATTTGACATATAGTGTACAGTGCCCCTTGGTCAAGTGCCGGTTCATTTCATATTTCGCAGCAAGAGTAAGGACGGCTGTGCATGGAAGCCTCAGTGGAGATGTGTCTGCCACACTTATGGAAAACGAGAAAAGATTGTTTGTCTGCTTTTCTCCAGAAAATTGGCCAGATTTCTGTTTGTTTACAAAGGTGAATGGGAACCGGTTCTCCTTGGTGTGTTCGCACCACATAATGGTGGTGAAGGCAAAGAACGTTGAGAAACCCATCACGGATGAACAATAAAACAACTTGGAAAGACGGCATTAGCTGAAAAAACTCACAAAGCCCTGTCAGGTTTGAGGAAAACAACATCACATAGGGAAATAAGTCATATCCAGGATTATTTAAATTAGGGCGAGTCCAATCATTACAAATGTTACTCGGCCTCTTACAGTCGACAGGGAGATGTTGATTTAGTACCAAGGAGGGACAACAACACAGACAGAATCATTTTCACTGCCCACATCAGAATGCTTGACAGGGTCAGAGTGGAGTGGACTTGCACCATCAGCTTGGCTGCAGATGGGGCACCATCATTTACTGGAAAAAAGGCAGATGTCTCAGCCAATTGCAAAGAAAAACCATGAGCTGTTGATTGAGGGCACCATTTTTAGATTTGCCATCGTATGTTACATCACAAAGCATTGTGGCAAGTCATAAGAGATTAGAGTGGTTGTTCACACTGTTAATTTAAAGTAAGTCAATTAACTAAATCATCAGCTCGACAGCCAGCCTAATGATACGGACATTTTTTATTGCCTGCCATATCATAGTGAAGTAAAGTGGTTATGTCAAGGAGCTGTGCAGTTCTTTGATTTAAGGGGGGACGTTGGACACTTAATGAAGCAAAGTTGCAGGACTCAACTATGCAGAATGGATAAAGGACCTTGCAGACCACTGGAATAATGTTTCTAGCTGACATGAAAAAGTCAGCACCTTTTGATGGAAGTTTACTTTTTTTCATTTAGAGTATATAAATAGTTTTCTTCCAAAAATACACTGAAAAATAATTTGATTCACCAGAATTTATATTTTCTGTGTAAAAGGCTAACTCAGATGGGCGGAGAAGTTGATGCCACATTTAGAAAAAGTACATATTGGGTTCCTTAACTTGCCCAGGAAAACACTAAGTTGTATTTGTTTGCATCTCTGCATTGCAGAGCTAAAAAGCATTAATATTTCCCACAATTATATTTTTTAGTTTTTAAGCATTATATATTTTTTTCAGATTATACTCTTTAATAAGCTTCATCCCCTCTTGTGTCTAGAACAGTATGATGCAAAAATAGAGCACAAATGATGAGTGATTGATTAGATGTGTTACACTAATACAGATCTGACACATTTAAAATGAGCTATTTTAATGTCTCAGTTTTTTGGTGAGATCAAACAGCATCTTTATGCTCCCAACACAAGGCCAGGTTCACCCAGTTAGATCATCATTGCAGACCTCTGATTTGTTAGAAATAGGTGCGTTACCGGAGCATCTGTGCAGCAGTGCTGCAAAGATTATAACTCACAGAACAAATCACATATCCATGTGGGTGAATTACGAATCCAAGAGCTCATTTACAAACCATCAGAGCATTATTACTTTTTGTTCTGTGCTGCCTAAATCTGAAGTTGTGGTGCAATTTTTCAATTTATTCAACTTATTCCTGTACTTTGTGAATCAAAGTGCATTTTCTGATTGAAACCGATTAATTCAAGAATGTACAATGCACAAGTTAGACACTGAAAATGGGATTTTGCATCCACTGACAGACATATGTTGAACCTACTCAACCAGTAAGGATTCTAAACACGAGGCATTCAGCTCTGGGCTCCAATGTCAAGCAGAGTTTCAAACAATCAACTCACAGAGCCTGAGGAGCAGTTGTCCACCTCCCCGACCTCATAGAGAACGACATCCTTGATGAACACAGCAATGGCCTTCATAATAAATGACACAAACAAATGCATGTGGATGTAATTCCTTGTGCAGTGAAGCTTCCTGGAAAAAAGAGAAAAGAGATATGAGAATAAAGATCAAGACAAAGATAGGTCACACTGACAATGATCTAATGTCCTTAGAGTTACTAGCTTGAAATGACAGCAAATCACAGACTGGATTAAAACATAATTAGGCGTCCTAGTTTGTTGAGTTGCTGAGTGGGTGGATGCACTTCAGAGCACATTGAATGCTTTTTATGGTCCTTTGTACACTTCAGAATCAGAAAAGAGGGGGGTTCCAAATGGCTGAACATTTTTCAAACCATCAAGCATCAATTATTCAATACTTTTTCACCTCCTGATTATATTATCATACTTGAGAAGATTAGATAATTAGGGGAACACAAATTGGCTGTGACTAGTTTTGCAATTGCACCATTCATTCTGTTTTTTCAACCTCAGGGAAGCTTCTACCTTAGGGAAAGTTATTTTTTCCTTTCTGATTAAATACGTGTCCAGTCACAGATGTAAACCATAGGAGTCATTATCGTTTAATTTCCCTTTTAGTCGGTTCTCCCAGGAGAGCTTGTTCACATTCCGTCACAGCAGCCTGAAATGCCAATTATTATATAAAGTTATCTCAATTATATACTCGCTGAAAACTACAGCCGTTACTAAATTTAATCCTTGTTTTCTTCAGCTACAGTAAAAAATCCATCAACATCTTTTTATGTGGCTAACTGAAACTATGTGGACTTATTTCATTGTGCCAGCTTCCATGTTGTAAATGGACACACTTCAAGGTTATAACAGCAACAACTTTGAGGATGCCACCCTCATGACAAATCTTGGATCCCTACAGTTTACTTTTCTTTCTGTGGTTCCTTAACTTTCAAAAACCATAAAATCGTATCATTGCACCTTTCCTGCAATCTGCTGTGCGTTTTCAGGAACAGGTGTGATTCTCCCCATCCTGCCATCCCCCACTGATAACCTTCACTGCCATTCAACCACTATAACCTCACAGTGCCTTGTCTTAACAATCCTTGTGCTTCAAATTCTGAGGGTATTTTGATTTTCTGACCACACATGTTTATTTTCCCTTTCTGACCTTGTCTTGTCTTCTGGCTCTGTTTGTGTGAGGGTCAGAAAAGTCTTCCGAAGAAACACATATTCACAGCTGGACCTCATTTTTGGAGAAAACTGGAAAACCATCTTTGCTCATAACTAATTCAGAGACACAAAATGCAGTAGTAGAAAGGCAGGAGCACAAAAAAAAATGTGGGCAAAAATCAATTTTTCTACAAAATAAATGAAAATTAGTGTTATCCATCAGGGACAGCCTGAAAAGAAATGGGTGGGAAGAGAGAACGAGTTGCATTGGAGAAAATGTTGCATCACGTTTTTTACATAACAGTTTGATGGAGATGATGCAAGCATTGAGAAGAGTTGACAAAGTAACTTATCAAAGGGGAATTCAGTGACATAAAGTACACAAAACTAGGTACTCTATGTGCCCAAATGCACACTACCTGTTTGTGTCACAGTGTGCTGTTTTAAGCTCTACAATATGGAAAACTTTCTTGTTCAAATAATCTACTAAAACTTGTAAAAGCGTTTGACATTACAGTGAGCTGCTGCAATCTCAAACTAAAACATCCATCCATCCATTTTCTGAACCACTTATTCCCTAATGGGGTTGGGGGGGACTGGAGCCTATCCATGTATTCAATGGGCGAGAGGCGGGGTACACCCTGGACAGTCTGCCAGTCCATCGCAGACCACACAGAGACACACAAAGACAAACACCCACACACACTCACACTCACTCCTAAGGGCAATTTGGAATGTCCAATCAAACTAATATGCAGGCTTTTAAACAGTGGAAGGAAGCCGGAGTACTCGGAGAGAGACCAAAAATTTTCAAATCTCCTTTAACCCCACCCACCTGCTGTATATCTAAAGCCTGAACAGGCCTAGGGTTATCAAGTTTGATTGACACTCTATTTTGAGAGTATTTATGTTGCTCATCTCATCTTTTAGATTTCACATAAGCCTTCTTTTTATTCGCGAGTGTAAAGCTGCACTGATCCGAGACGAGCAAATCCCTCTGAAAAGTGCTTGATCTTGATGTGTGACCCTAGAATGTATGATTTGTCACGTCATCCATGTTAAATCACCCGGCATACATAAATCAGCATGGTGCTGGAACTGGGTCAGTGAAAACTTCCTTTCATGTTATAATTTTATTATTTTACCAGACAACCTACTATGGGCCATCTGTCTATCCAAGCTATATATTTTTATTTTTATTTTACGTACCTGAAGATGCAGAGGATCACAATAGCTGTGGTAAGAGAGATGAGGGAAACGCTGTGACCGATGGTGTAACCAATCTTCACTTGCCAGAAAAACTTTCCCTGAAAGGAAATAAAAGGGTAATGCACATTACCCTCAGTATTTAACATCTGTAAAAAATTTCGATTTTGTAAGATTTTTGTTTTTTTTGTTTTTTTCATAGAATTAGTTCTGTGGAGCTGATCAAACCACTTTTTCTTCATAATCAGAACAGTTTGTTGTTGTTTTTTTCCAACTGCATAATTTCTAAAATTTGTCATAGAAATTAAATTTCAATAAAGGCATTCAATACTGCATCCCAAAAATCTTTATGCAGAACTTGGACTTGATCAACTAGTCAGCAAAAAATAAGGAACCTGTATTTATGTGGTCATAACATAGTCGTGATGGTATCATACACATTTCTTACATTCTGTATTGGGAAAAAAAGACTCAGAAAGTTGCTTTCTGACCCAGAAAGCAATTTAACGCAGGATATTTCCAAAAGCATCCAACCATAAATCTTTTTTTTTTTGGACAAGATATAAGCACTCCTTGTTGAGAAATAGAATACTGCCTGTGTGACCCCACTGGTTTAAGGTCTTGCTATTCTGCCACAAGCACATCTCTCACTGCATCTGCTCTGTGCGCTGAGTGGCAGTAGCCATAAGAAGATCAGACTTCACATCAACAACACCACTTTACTTTCTTGAGCGGCTGACATGGAGAATCAAAGCAACTACATAGTGGTTGAGAGGTGAGTGCTCTGAACTCCTATCATCAGTGCAGAATGGCCAACCGGAGCAACTTCAGCATGACAGGAAAAAACATTTTATTAAGTACACAATGAATGACGATGCAGGCGACTGAACTCTCTGTCACACCGCCCTGCCCCCGTCATCAGACTGAATGTTTGATACCGTCAAGCCCTTTGGCAAAGGCTTGACTATCACAAAAGTTCATTTATATGATAATATAACAAACACTCATTTCCATGTAAATAGTGCTGCAACAAGAGTTTAATCTTTTCATGATTAAAATAACGAAGAGTTTTTGTTATCCTCTTATTCCACTTTCATCAACAACAATAAAGACAGTATTTAATACAGTGACTCTTGTGACCTTTAATTGTTGTAGGATTACCAGAACCAAAGCTTTGTATCTTCCATCCAAAAACTAAAAGCATCAACCCTGTATTTTATTGATGCAGTCCTAGCTAGTATGGGGTTTTACCTTTAGCATCACCGTGTCACTGCCATAGCAATATATGATTTGTGCTCGATGAGTTTTGGAGCTCTGCAGTCTCTGGCACATGGCGATATAAAGTATGCAAAAAGATGTATATCAAATTCCTTTTAAGGAGCCTCAACCACTCGGTCCCTCTGGACTCCCTATGTGGCATACCAATGAGGCCGCCTCCATGATTCAGAGAGCAATGCCCACCAAGAAAGCTTTTACCACCATGTAGTGCTCATCCACTTTTCACCCTGCTCCACCTTTATCAAGACAGACAAGACTAACTCTGTCTGTAGAAAAACAAAGCTAAGTAAGTCTAGCATTTAGTGTATTTAATCCCTTACTTCTCCAGAGGGTATTATGAATAATCCTGCATAATACCTGGAAGAACCAGAAAGAATAATGATCAAGCCTTGTGAATGAGAGATGAGTGTGTTGTGCTTCAAGGATGTGCATGCTTAATCAAACTATGAATATTTCCTATTTCATATTTGGCCCATAGGTATTGAATTCTTTATTTGAAAGCAATGAATGCATGTTGAGAAACAAAAACAATTTAAAAGCAAAACACAAGCTAATCTAGAGAAAAACATGCAAAGTGGGGCGATTTTCCTGTTTACTTTTGGTCTTAGACAATTTCCCACAATTTCTTCCATTTCAACAAATTAGGAACATTCTTAGTGATTGTGTGCTCACATCTTTATTTGCTGGGTTGAAGCAGGATGTGATCAGGTGAAAAATAAACAGAAAAAGTGGCTGAACAGGAAGCATGTGACAGAGTATGTAACAGTATGTAAGGCCATGCTCGGTGTTAGAAAATGAGTGCCATCTTACATAAAGAAAATTCAACAGCTGCACCCTTGTAACTCTAAATATGTCAAAAAAGATTTTAACAATTTCTAAACATGGCAAAACATGGCACTGTACAAGTTTATGGTATTAAATAAGTTGAAACCGAGGCTAAGGTCAACATGACACCGGAACATTTAGGTCTGTTTGGTTTGATGAAGGAGAATATGAGTCCTCACCTGACCTCACCTAACCAGTGTATTTGTTCTTTTGTAAAGTTAAGATTTAAAAAAACAAATCCAAAACCCTTTCAGAAAAGTGGTGGTCTCTTCACTTTGGCTGTGATCCATTTTTTACACATCGTGTGACGCCTGCCTTCACCTGGCAGTGCAGAGCTACGAGGTTCAAACATCTGTGTGAGATCAGCTGGCAGCTCCTTACTTACAATGCGTTTCAAAAGACTCTTGCCGATAAAGCTACAATGCTAATTATCTAAAACAATATTTTCAAACAGAATATACTCCATGTTTAATCATGTAAGAAATATGAAAGGATAAATATGAACACATGATCCGGACATCAGAGCAATCGGATCCAAAATCAATACAGCCATTTTCCTGATAGACCCAAGTACACCCACCCACAGAGCAAAGAAAAGATGCTCTCATTCAATTTTTCCTGCCCACTGGCTCTCAACGTGGTTTCCCACTGCACTGTGGCATTTATTTATTCAGCATGGGAACTCAAGTGCAGCTTTTAGACGGTGGCAATTTACTCACATCATCACTGGTGCTGTTGAGATTGTATCCGCAGTTCACAGCTATGTCAATGGGATGCATCTCTGTCCAGCCGTTTGCTGTGCAGTTTTTGGAAAGGTTACCTGAAGGAGAGTAGAAATAAAGAGGTCACAGCCACCCAGTTAGATTTTTTTTTTATCTACCAAACAGGTTCAAGATTGGTTTGACACTGTGCGAACCACACTGCAACTTCACAGTTTTTCAATTCACCAAATTCAACAAGAGGAAAACTTTAAACTCACTCTTAAATGTGAGCTACTGTTGAATTTTAAATGCAGTGCGACATTTAATCATTACAGGTAAACAAAAAATGTATTACAAATCACACAGCATGTAAGTTATTTCTTTGCTTATAACTCAAGTAAAAATAACTGCGGATTTTGTGGTTCCATAGCTCGATATTTAATCTGCTAAAAGCAACATTTCATTGTTGGAACAACAGGACATGTCTACCAGAAAATATCTCTTTGGATTGCAGTTTAAGTCTTAAGTTTACGAAAGTGTTTTTTGAAAATAAGCTCACAAAATCAAAAGTGTAGATTTAAAAAAAAAAGTTAACCTACGCCTGAAACAGACTCATTAAATACAGCTCCTGTTCCTCCAAGTTTTATTTTAAAAGCAAACTATTTCAGCTGCTAGTGGAATTGTCATATGATTTTATTCAACTTCCCACTCTCATCATCTGGGAGGATTTGTGTTTGTGTGCACAGGTAAAATCCAGATCGTGGATCTGCAAACGCCAGCGACGAGGATCGCCTCTCAGAAGCCACATCTGACAGTCTCATTGCATGACTAACATCGTAATCTGTGAATCTTCATGCAAGAGGAGGGTTTTATAAAAATCCTCTCAGAGCATGATTCTTCTGGCCACCCTATTGAGATACTGTCACACAGTTTCATTGATTCATCCTACTTTGTTTTTTTTTCTCTGTCTAACTCCGTGAAAATATCTATCGATAAACTGATTCAATTTCAAATAGTACACATTCCCAAAATCTCCAATGACTGGTGTGATAGCACTGACCGATTAAATATGCCCACTCAAAGAAACAACAATTGTTTTCACATTTTTCCATCTGGCTCCAGTTTTCAGGACCTATGTTTGGAAGGACATTTAAAAAACAATTCAAACACCTCGATGGAGTGAGAACAGATAATTTAAAGCAATTTCATCTGTATACGGGCCCTGGATTGATTTACCTTTGTTTAGTTGGTGTTGGGTATGAAAGTACAATCTGCAGGTGGAGTCAAAGCTGATCCACCATTTATGCAAACAGGCTTTAAATCAGCGGTGTAGCTTACTTGTCTAAATTAATCATTGATTGTGCAGGAAGCTAAAAGCAGAAACAGGTAGATAAACAGTTCAACTTTGTGTGAAATTTTTTATTTTATTTCATTTTATTTGTTATTGCTTTAAAAAAAAAAAAAACTTTTGTTTTTGTGTTGGTGGACTGGGTGAGACTTATCCCTGAAATCCAAGTCCTTGTCTGTCTCTGGGGGATCTCCCCTCGAGCTGTTTCTGTCTCAGTTTATTTGCTGTGCGTAACATTTGCATGCACTGTTTGTTGTTCTTGTTCAGCGACTCTGTGCTTTCTGGCACTAACACCAAACTCTAGCCGAGTTTGTTAATTGCATCGTTGTAAAAATAATTTAAGAAGCTTTTTATCTTTGCAATAGGCTTCAAGAAATTGCGAGTGGGCACCGACATTATTTTCTCTTAATATCTCACAATTGAATGTCCTCTTGGTTCAGGTAATTTAATTTTCTTTTTTATATGTCGATGTCACGAGTTGGCTGAGAGGAAAAGGCAAATGTTTGACTTCATATCAGGAGTCTACTGCTTACTTAGAACAAGATAGTTTTGCAGAAGACAGTTCTGGTCAGCACGCTGCATGAATACTATTTGCAATTCAAGGGCAAATGTCTGACAAGTAACCTCAGAATGTTGAACGTTGTTGATCTACCCTCCAGGCAACTTCATAATGCTCTAAACCCAGAGTCTTTGTTTCTTTCACAAAACGTGGTCAGGCGCAGCTCACAGTGAAGGCCTTTTCTGTGGTTGCATGTTGTGATTTACAACCTGACGCCTCTGCAACATAGGAGCATGAGTAGTTTCATAGAAAAAAAGAGCTACTTACAATACAAACAAATGTGGAAAAATCTACTTATTCAAAGTTTGAAAGCTCACTTAAAAAAACGACCAATTGTAGAAGAATGAAGAAATTGCAGGAAAAAACAATAATCATGACTGTAATATAAGCATAACTATTCGTCTATACAAAAAATAACTGAAGGTTGATGAATACCTGTGGACCTGCCCACTGCCCATTCATCAGGAAAACCAGCTCAGTTCCATCATTTAAACATCTTCTAAAAACGTATTTTTGGGACTAAGCAGTATAGAAAATGGATGGATTGTTATCACACATTTTCCAAGCAGTATAAAGGAGTTTAATAGAAAAGTCTTTCCTATTACAGAGAATTTGTTTGGGTGTCTAAAGTCAATGCCGACTTCACCAAACTCACTTTTGAAACTTTTCACTCAGATTTGAAGTGGATGTCTATGCCTTACATAAAACCCTAAAGAGGAAAGTGGAGTGGGGAATCTTTTGAGAATGAAAATGTAGCACTTTTCAATCTATTTTGTTATGAAAGCTCAGTCAGCTCTCATGTTACTTAGTTAGGTTCTGGCATCGGGTCATATTTTATTCTCCCAGTTATTGAGTGCTTCATTGGTAGATCAAAGTTTTACAAAAGGCCTCAATTAAGATATCCCCAACGAAAAAAAGTAGAGTCGAGCTGCTTAAACCCATCACAAAAATAGTCATGAAAGGTTAAGTTCAGATGTTTTTTAATACCCTAGGCAGACTTATCTGCTTGTGAAAAATAATTGGGTAATGTCTCCTTTTAAGCTTCAAAAAAGCTGTTGAACCAGACTGTGCTGAAACAGCACGACACCGAGTCAGTGCATTAAGACAGGAAAGAATTAATTATGAGGAATGAGTTGCCACAGATATTAGATTTACTACAGCGGGATAATTTCATTTGGACCTCATTTTGTTTGAAAAAATGCTTGTGGCACAGTTTCCTTGGAAAAGAGGGAGAAGGTAATTTCACTCATAGGTTTTTGGCATAGAGACACCCACACGCTCCGACTTTCTCTGTGCCAGGTACGGATAGCTGATAGGCCGCGTGTTTGTGTTGTGGCGATAAAATCTGTTTGCACGATCCCATCTTCAAGACCAGATTCTGTTTTGAAGATATAAAGAAGGTGGAATATTGTGACTATATGTATAGAATTGAGCGAATGGGACTGGTGGTGCAATTACTCAGAGTTTATGTAAATCCTCTGAACGGGCAGAACGTGTCGGAGTGAGTGTCTTTGTGTGTGAGTGGATTGCAGACGGACTCAGTGTTGTGGAGCAGAGTGGTGGAGGCTGTGATAATCACAGTGGGCAGCAGGCCTGTGATCCCAGAGGACACAGATACCCAGTAAATTAGTTTCACGGCTGCAACCACTGTGACATGTTGAAAAAAAAGAGCAAATTAACTTCCCCCAACCAAGAAAAAGATATGTTAAATCCACGTAAAGCTATTACTCTTTACTGATATGTCTCATCAAAGGTAAGGCAATTACACAGGGACAGATAAATAGAGTTTTTTTTTTATGTCACGGCCCGAGGACCGAGTTTGAGCAAAAATGGAAGTAAATTAATAGAGAAAAAAGGTCACGAATATACATATATATATTTTTTCGGAATGAAAATTGAAATTTAGTTTTAATAGCCTTAGTTTAGCCTTAGTTTTAGCACAGCCTTGACCAGGTCCAACAAAACTCAACTGAATCTCTTGTTAGCATGTATTAACGCCATTAACTGTTCAACATGGAGCTGCTGTACAAAGCGCATGTTCCTATTTATCCCTTTGTGACGCTCAGGAGTCACACTGACAAGAGGCGTCACAAGGTCAGCCGCACAATGATTCCATAGATTTAACTCCACAGCTTCTGACCGTGAGCTCCAGCCGAAATGTGGGTGAAACACAAGAAAAACATTTACCCCAATGAAAGGCAAACGCTTGAAGAAGAATTAAGACGCTGGACAACTTAAAGGCAAGTACGTGACCCCTGTTTACTGTAGATGATGCACCGACTGTGCTAACAGTAAACTGGATTGGAAAATGTCTCCCTGGTAAATCAACAATTAAAAGACTGATGGAATGAGGTCAGAGGCGAGGCGAAGGGTAGACAAGTGGGACTTTTGTTTACAAGTCCAATCTTGGTACAATCTATCTCCATTTTGCTGTCCTTTATTGTGTTATTGTCCTTTTTTGCTTAAGATCATTATATACCAGTCTTTGCTAAACTTAAGAGAGCATCCTAGTTTGAATGTATTTGGTTGCAGAAAGCTGCACCGTCGTATTAATTCAATGCTGTTAGGGACACATGTGCCTATCATACTGTTAGTTCAGAAAACCCTGCACATGAGTCACGGCTCTCTTTGCTCCCGGCCAAACGTCAGTGGTTGCTGAGTGGATGGAGAGAATGGGGAGAATATAAAGATGATATATTCATACAGTATATAAATTAGCCAGAGGGTAACAGTAAATTTCTAGTATGTTCTGAAGACATGTAAGGAAATACTCAAAATTCAACCCTATTATTATTTTGTTTTGCCTGTTATCCTGATTCAATATCATTTTTATCTAAATTATAGTAACTGATTCATCAGAATAAAATGTAAGGTTTGTGTGAAAGAGTTTATAGATCAAAAATGGAAAGGTGGAAAAATGGAAACCGGGGCATTGCCTGACATTTCTGTAAACGGCTTTGGAAAAAAGCAAAAACACAAAATGTAAATGCTGCGTAAGCTTATTTAAAGTTTTTCTGTTGCTGTTGTTATTATGAGCCATTATGAACAAAAGGAAAGTGGCTGCAGTATCAAAACATTGCAAACTTGCTGAGTAAGGATAATTAAAGGTGAAAGAAAATATGATGAAAAATGGCTTATATGAACGTAGCGGGCCTGTTTGCTTAGACCACATTTGACTAATGACACTTTAGAGTTAGATTTGAATATGATAGGAAAGATTGATATGAAGGCTTGATATCGGCACATACGGGATTAAACATTTGTGCAAATGTGGCCTTTTATCAGTTAACATGATGAAACTAAGTATCACACTAATCTCCTCTGGCGCTATAAATGATCTGTGTATTTTTTTATCTGCTTGTGAAATTAATCCGGAAACGGTAAAAGCTCTATCATTCAATGTCCTACAGAGCTGTCAATATCTTGGTTTTAGCACATCTCTCAGTCGGGGAGGAAAAATGAGCACTGACTTGCTGGGTCACACAGGCAGGAGCAAAGAAGAGCAGAGAAAAAAGCCCTGAGGCGCTCAATGGATATCCATCACTGCACCAATCTTAAAAATGACTCTCATAGAAGAAGAGAAGGAGCTTTGAAGGAGAGGTTTGGGTCAGGCTGTATCCCCAACTAGTCCTTAGCACTTTAACTCTTGACACATGTTTGATTAGAATTTCAGACATTGATCTTAGGAGGAAAAAAGTGAAGACTGAGATCCAATCATCATTTAAGTGCCGCTCAACCTGGAAAAAAGCTGATCAAATCGCAGCATACGCTTAAAAGTTCCAAAGGAAAACCTCCTGGCCACCTCTCAAACTTCAATGAGAACAACCAGAGGTGTATACACGAAGAACTCAGAGGGGTTGGAGGTCATGAAGAAAAAATACATAAAGCCAAGAGAGGAAGTAGTTTTTTGTTTTGTTTTCAAGGCAAAGTTACATAACTTGAGAGCCACCCACAGTTTGCACTTCTCTGTCAAGGAGGATGTTAAAAAACTGTAAGATCTCCCATTGCGTATTCTCACTCAGTAGAAAATAGAAACAAGAAAATTTGTCTACATGTAGAAAATGTACAAGTGACTCTATTCTTAAGATGGCAACAAATGATGTTACCATGAAGGTGGTGAATGACCATTAAAAAGCTGGAACCTTGTGTTTGCTTTTAACCCTAACTGCATACTGGATTTATTGGGAAGGTGTTGGTTAAAATTATTGTGTGAAAGAAATCATTATCTAGCATTTTGTTGGCATGTTGCAAACTTTCAATGGTTGTATTCTTTCTGCCTTGGGAGCACGCTGACTCAGTGAGTTTCAGTTCGCAGCCTAATGGGAACAGAAATGCCATACATTTTCTGTGCAGGGAAAATACGGAATAATAGTTTACTTTGAGAGTAAATAAATGTGATAAACTGTGGTATTCAATGGTGGATGAAAAACATACTGTTAGAAAGCCAAAAGCGAACGCAGTATAAAAGATTTAATGACCTAACGATTGTATTAAGTAAACCATCAGGAATAATGGGGAAAGTAATTCCTCAAAATTCCTCCAAATGATTTTTTCAGTGTACTATGCTTTACCTCAGTGTAAGAACAAAACAGCTTAATAACATTTGTTGAAACTAGATGTAAAACAGTTGTGTGATACTGAGAAGCTCTACTTGTTTGGCCAGATAAGAACGAGGAGGCTGGAAAACATCAACAGTGAGCATGAAGTGTCTTCATTCAGTTTCCTGTTTACTAGGTTAAGAGTCCATGTGAATGACTCTATGAATGCCTAGTTTATTCAGAATTTGTAATACGGCTGTCAAAACTAAAACACAGCTGACTGAACATTTAAACACAGCAATGATGTTGTATCATATGAGTTTTCATCTATTTCTAATTTTAAGAATAGGCATGTAGTAAGTCTAGTAGCAAATACCGAGTGTGAAGCTCTGACAAAGAAGGAAAAAATCAATTGAAAGTGAGTGTAATCTGTGCAGTACGAACTGATGAAAACATTACAATGGAAGGTAAACTGATGAAACAAACTGAGGTAACAAAAATGACAATATTTGAATATTTTTCCATTCGTACATTTTCTACGGACACTGAACCCCAACATTGCCTTGAACATGTCGATGTGAATGATTTTGCAGAGAAAATACACTGGGTATATCAACTGAAAACAATAACAGAGAGAGTGTTAATCAGTTGCCTTCAAGGTTTAAAATACTCATTTGTATACAGGTGGTCCTGTTGCTCCTCCATGTCTGTACAAATGGCTAGACAGAATTCAAAATTAGTTTTAAATATCAAAATCTTCCAAAAACTAAAACTTAAATTAATTAAGGAATTAATTATTCATGGGTAATAACTTCTGATACCAACAAAAGGTCACTTTTTGTTTTGCTCCCATCAACTTGTTAGCGTCATTTGTTAGAAAAGTGGAGGCATTTTAAGGCTCATAAACTTTAGATTAAAATGTTATATTATCATAGCTGTACTTGTTATAGCTGTACTTGTGTGGGCTCCATGGCTTTTGGATCTGAAGGCTGGCTTGGTTTGTATGTTCTCCCCAAATGTGTGGATTCTCTTTGTGTACTTTGGCTTATTCCCATTGTCTATGGACATGTGTGTCCAGTTTACTGGTCATTCTAAACTGACTGTAGGAGATACGAGATACAGTTATTGTCTCTTGTCTCTTTATTAGCTGTGTGATTTGTTGCTGAACTGTTCAGTTTCCCCTTTTTTTCTTCTGTCTCTGGGTCAGTGGGAGCTGGGGCAGGGTCCAGCCATGACCCTGTTTAAGGTAAAGTGAGTAAAGTAACTGACTGGATAAACATCAGCTCCGAATACTGTGAAGGTAGACTACAGGAAGAAAAAATGTTAAATAGAGTTGAATGCAGCAATGAGGGCAACAGCAGGATACAGTCATTATGATAACTTAATTTGATCATGTTATAAATATGGCTGTAAGGAATGATGAGATGATAAGGGCTTTGTGCTTATTGCGGTACCTAGCAGCTGTCAAGGAAGATCTATTTTGGAAGAGATAATCTTTGTTCTTGTTTGGCTGCCCTCCAGCCGCTTTTTTTTGGAAATTGGCATCACAACCTGGCACAACCTGATTTCAGGTAGCTGTGGCTCAGCCGACAGATTGGTAATTTTCTTACCTGGAGGTCAGAAGTTTGATCGGCCAAATACCCTTAAAAAAAACCTGGCACAAATCTACATGTACCCCCCTATATGTTCATCCAGATGTGACTGAAGAGAAGGAAACACAACATACCATATATGGACTGCATACAGGCCTGATAAGAACTGTGTGAGTGAATGAGAAGCATGTGTGAAGCGTTATTATGTAAGTATAGAACATACAAAATTTCATTTGGATGTGGCTTCAAAGCTGAAGCTGCATGATGAATTTTGTGATGCATTTTCTGACTGTGCCAACAATTTAGACAGCAATCAAAATATCGCCTATAAAATGTATGAATATTTTTTTAAATCATTAAATTAAATTAAATTAAATTAAATTCAGTGTTTATCTATTCATTTAACTCAAACCAAAGGCACAAATCATGGTGATGTGACCAAATTTGGGATACATGCATTTATGCACCTTTCCAGTTGTTATTATAATGATTTTAATAATGATTTTTACCTCTCTGTTGGTCGCTGAAGTAACTGAAGTACGTGGGGCAAGTTATTGTCACCACCTCTCCAACTCTGGCTGAAGGCCAGCAGGCGATGATGTCCCACATGCCCTGGCAACCTGCCAGAGGAGGACAATAATACTAACATCATATCGCTCACTTTGAGACAGCCACACGCAGACGTAAAAAGGATACAACGAACTGGTTCAAATACAATCATTTCTTACCGCTTGGTGCAGTCATGTGTCAGTTTTATCGGTTATTGATCGGTTTAATCTAAAGAATTCAATATTATTTCAAATTTCTCCTGTAATTTTTCTTGTTTGGACATCTGATATTCCTGTTTGAATGTTTAATTTTATTTGTCTTGTAACACCTTACTCTGTTTTCGTGTTTGAACTATCACTCTGCGTGAGGGTCACTCTTATTCCCCTGTATTTCGGAGGTCAAAAAGCTTACATCTAAACATGATTAATACCTTGCTGGACAACGGCTTTGGCTGTTCCAATAGTGTGAATGAAAATTTTTCTTTTTTAAGCTTCTTTTAAATACTTTGTTGAACTCTTTTCTGTATTTGAAATGAGTCACAACCTTGTGTCGGTCAACACCATCTTAGCCAATCCCATCACACCCCTGTGCAGCTCAGAAAAGTGTGAAGTAACAGACACTCCAGCACAAAGCTATGTCCAAAACAAAGTGTGTTCTGAAGGTCACATCAAAATTCCTTTTTTTTTGCAAAAACACAGGGAGATTCTTCGGGGGAAGAAAGGAATATAAAACAACCCCAGGCGTCAGTTTGAGACATGTTTAATGTTACATTTGTGCCAGAATACAGAAGCCTTTTTTCCATGCCTGTTATATTTCAAGTAAAGTAACAGCTAGCTGTGAAAATCCTGTGTCTTACATGTTGCACAACCATACATTGTGAACCTGAAAGGTGCATTCTGCTAATTTGTTTATTCAGGATGTTACCTCAGAGCAACTTCCACTACCTTCCTGTTCAGGAAGCAGAAAGAAGAGTAGAAAAAATAGGCTCATTGCAGAGATAAGGAATGCTGTGTCCAACCATATGAATTCATTTGATGTCGCCATGTCTATTATGTGCAGGGACCTTAATTCAAATGAGAGATACAGCTGTGTGCATTCAATGTACATTCATTTTAGGAATGATAGAAAATCAAATATCTCGCTTATTATCTGCACTTTGAAGGATGGAATGTACTGTCTTACCCACTTTACTGAATAAAAGTGTATAACTAAAATATGTCCATTCACAGTGGAGGTCAAACTGTCCATATTCAAGACATTATTCAAGCTTCCTTATTCCTTTGAATAAAGTGAAAGGACTACCGGTAATCGTCTCTGCTCTTAATGTTATGTGTCCATGTGAGTGTCATCCATTGCTGAAATCTCTGTCATAACTGCTTAGTAGCTGTATGACATGTTAAAAATTCAGCAAGGTATTCTTTATCAATGTATTTTTGGGACTTTACTTTTTTTAAGGTGCATGGTGCGTTTTAAACATTCAAAAAAATTCCTCTTGCTACATTAGATTTACCACTTCTTGCCTGCAATATGGCAATAGCTGTACAAACAACAGTTAGTGTAAAGCTAATGAAAAGGGGAGATGAAAGACAATATAAGAAGTGGCTATTCCTCTTATGATTTGAAAAAATATTTAATTGTGGCAGGTTTTGGGAACCAATAATGTTGAGGGGGAGTGTTTATAATGATAGGTACATCTTCTGAATACATCTGAATACAAGTCTTGCTTTGATTCCACACATGTTACAGCACCTAACTCCCAGTGAATGAAATGGTTTAACACAAGCATCTTATAATTCTACTTCCTGTTGCAAAGCATGGTAGACTGCATTAGTTACTTGTATGTATTTAATTGAAGGAAACCTTCATTTTGAATATTGAATGTTAGGGTAATAATAACATAATTTAAAAAATATTTTTAAAATATTTGTCTTAATATCTCTTTTAAGGTTTGACTTCAAACTTATAAGAATCAGGTGTGAGTGTGTGTGCCTTTTTCTGCATGCAATTAGTGTTTCATTACCCCACGCTGCACGACATTACCAAAGTATTGATTAACTCATTTTTTTATGCCCAGTAAGTAGGTTCCTGCAAACATTACACAGCAACAAAAATGAAGAAATACTTTCAAAAGTGACCTGAGGTGACGTTCCCAGAGGTGCTGTTTTCACATCGTTCTTTCTCCAGCTCAATCTCATTCACCACGTCACACATTTGCACTGATATTACCTGCAAAAGAGGAAGAATTTGCATTTCAGTGTCAAAAATGAAGAATCCCTTTTTCCTCCCCCGGAATAAGTTAGTGAAAGGATTTCTATTACGTGGTCGTGGGAAGTAGTTACATGCAAAAGACAGACTACATATTTACCGCTTTCTTGCAACTGCAGCTTTTTATTCTGTGTTTTTCAAAGAGATTTATTTTTCTCTTTGAAAAACAAAGCATGAATAATACTGTAAATACCCTGAAATGTTTTCAGTCTTAAATTCAAACAAAAGCTCCCTCTTGCAAAGGAAATAGAAGCTATCATGCAAATGGATAAGGTGGAGAGGGCAGCGACTGAGTAATCCGCTGCGATTGTTCATCTGTGTCAACAAAGGCTGAAAAATGCGGGCTGACAGCCTCTGGCCGAGAGCCAGTGGGCCAATGAAAACGTGTAAGACGTGCATCAAAAGCTAGAGAAGGTCAGGGAAGATGAGCAGAAAGAGAGAAAGAGAAGTCAGCATGAGGCAGAATGTATTCACGAACTCCCCAGGAGAAGCTACACCCTACTACACAAGCTACAATACTCGAAGCTTAGAGAGCGGTAAAGGTCATGGTGAGAGAAATTCTGCAGCACTAAGCACACAGTGTATTAAAAATTGCACAGCTCATGTTCTCTAATTGGTGCTTACAGATGTTTTTAAGTCTATTGCATGAGCTCCCCGGAGCTGTCACTGCTCACCTCAGGCAAGACAACACTCTGAACAGCAGCAAGCATGTGAGTATATACATAATAATGT